GGCGCTTGTGAGCCAGCTTCTAGGCAGTAGATTGGTGTGGATGGAGTGAGGGGAGGAGTCCCGCGGTAGTCGTTGAGTACGGCGACCGGGCGTCCGCGCCAAGCGTTGCGTCGCCAGGGGTCAGCCGCCGGAAGGTGGCAGGTCCTGGGCGGTCAAGGAGGGGTGCACGGCTCAGGCCCGAAAGGGAGCAGGCAAAAGTCCCCGCGCTACGCAGTGGACGGATAGCGCCCGCGAGTGCTCGCACTGCCACGGCCTCTCCAATACCTTCAGACTACCAATCGTTTTGCCTTTATTTTGTCTGACTACGTTTTAAAACCGTATGTGAAAATGCTCTCAAAAATCCCGAATTCTTGCAGTGAAGGGATGAAAAATTGGTCTAAAATGATGGAATCACTTCACAAAATATTGTCACGATCAAAAGTAGGATGTCAGCGAATACCGAAGCTTCAAAGTGAAACGAAGGACTGTCGAAGTGTCTTGATGTTGCTCGATTCATTTGTAAGCAAAAAGCGGCAGGAATAATTGTGAATGGAAAATTCAGAGCTGATATGGCAGCTGAAGCGCGAACTCGCTAAGTAATTGTGCTGCAGGTCTGATTTGTGGCTAATTCCCACGTCTCTCTTATAAAAAAAGTGGAGGCTTCGAGTTTTCACCTTTTATAAACAGAAGATTTTGTCTAACGCTAGAACTTTGTATGAAAATGGGAGTTAAACTGCTTTTGCTAAAGACCCTTTAGACGGTATGTTTGCATGCCTCCTGTGCTGCAAGCTGGCCAGATATTTCTTCTCAAATAGATACATAGAATTGCGATTCAACTGTAATGCAGAGAATACCGAGGATTTCTCATTATGTGTTTTAGATAAGACATAGTTCTAGCATTTATTTGATTTTGTAGCATTTCAATTAATTACCCCCTTCACTTATTTGCTCAACCGTCAAACGCTCTCACTTCTCTCGCGCACACCTGGCGTTGTACATATAAACTCTCTCGTGAGCTACGGCACGAATAGCCGAACGCCGAACACACAGTCACTGGGCGTCGTGGCGGGCGCTTGTGAGCCAGCTTCTAGGCAGTAGATTGGTGTGGATGGAGTGAGGGGAGGAGTCCCGCGGTAGTCGTTGAGTACGGCGACCGGGCGTCCGCGCCAAGCGTTGCGTCGCCAGGGGTCAGCCGCCGGAAGGTGGCAGGTCCTGGGCGGTCAAGGAGGGGTGCACGGCTCAGGCCCGAAAGGGAGCAGGCAAAAGTCCCCGCGCTACGCAGTGGACGGATAGCGCCCGCGAGTGCTCGCACTGCCACGGCCTCTCCAATACCTTCAGACTACCAATCGTTTTGCCTTTATTTTGTCTGACTACGTTTTAAAACCGTATGTGAAAATGCTCTCAAAAATCCCGAATTCTTGCAGTGAAGGGATGAAAAATTGGTCTAAAATGATGGAATCACTTCACAAAATATTGTCACGATCAAAAGTAGGATGTCAGCGAATACCGAAGCTTCAAAGTGAAACGAAGGACTGTCGAAGTGTCTTGATGTTGCTCGATTCATTTGTAAGCAAAAAGCGGCAGGAATAATTGTGAATGGAAAATTCAGAGCTGATATGGCAGCTGAAGCGCGAACTCGCTAAGTAATTGTGCTGCAGGTCTGATTTGTGGCTAATTCCCACGTCTCTCTTATAAAAAAAGTGGAGGCTTCGAGTTTTCACCTTTTATAAACAGAAGATTTTGTCTAACGCTAGAACTTTGTATGAAAATGGGAGTTAAACTGCTTTTGCTAAAGACCCTTTAGACGGTATGTTTGCATGCCTCCTGTGCTGCAAGCTGGCCAGATATTTCTTCTCAAATAGATACATAGAATTGCGATTCAACTGTAATGCAGAGAATACCGAGGATTTCTCATTATGTGTTTTAGATAAGACATAGTTCTAGCATTTATTTGATTTTGTAGCATTTCAATTAATTACCCCCTTCACTTATTTGCTCAACCGTCAAACGCTCTCACTTCTCTCGCGCACACCTGGCGTTGTACATATAAACTCTCTCGTGAGCTACGGCACGAATAGCCGAACGCCGAACACACAGTCACTGGGCGTCGTGGCGGGCGCCTGTGAGCCAGCTTCTAGGCAGTAGATTGGTGTGGATGGAGTGAGGGGAGGAGTCCCGCGGTAGTCGTTGAGTACGGCGACCGGGCGTCCGCGCCAAGCGTTGCATCGCCAGGGGTCAGCCGCCGGAAGGTGGCAGGTCCTGGGCGGTCAAGGAGGGGTGCACGGCTCAGGCCCGAAAGGGAGCAGGCAAAAGTCCCCGCGCTACGCAGTGGACGGATAGCGCCCGCGAGTGCTCGCACTGCCACGGCCTCTCCAATACCTTCAGACTACCAATCGTTTTGCCTTTATTTTGTCTGACTACGTTTTAAAACCGTATGTGAAAATGCTCTCAAAAATCCCGAATTCTTGCAGTGAAGGGATGAAAAATTGGTCTAAAATGATGGAATCACTTCACAAAATATTGTCACGATCAAAAGTAGGATGTCAGCGAATACCGAAGCTTCAAAGTGAAACGAAGGACTGTCGAAGTGTCTTGATGTTGCTCGATTCATTTGTAAGCAAAAAGCGGCAGGAATAATTGTGAATGGAAAATTCAGAGCTGATATGGCAGCTGAAGCGCGAACTCGCTAAGTAATTGTGCTGCAGGTCTGATTTGTGGCTAATTCCCACGTCTCTCTTATAAAAAAAGTGGAGGCTTCGAGTTTTCACCTTTTATAAACAGAAGATTTTGTCTAACGCTAGAACTTTGTATGAAAATGGGAGTTAAACTGCTTTTGCTAAAGACCCTTTAGACGGTATGTTTGCATGCCTCCTGTGCTGCAAGCTGGCCAGATATTTCTTCTCAAATAGATACATAGAATTGCGATTCAACTGTAATGCAGAGAATACCGAGGATTTCTCATTATGTGTTTTAGATAAGACATAGTTCTAGCATTTATTTGATTTTGTAGCATTTCAATTAATTACCCCCTTCACTTATTTGCTCAACCGTCAAACGCTCTCACTTCTCTCGCGCACACCTGGCGTTGTACATATAAACTCTCTCGTGAGCTACGGCACGAATAGCCGAACGCCGAACACACAGTCACTGGGCGTCGTGGCGGGCGCCTGTGAGCCAGCTTCTAGGCAGTAGATTGGTGTGGATGGAGTGAGGGGAGGAGTCCCGCGGTAGTCGTTGAGTACGGCGACCGGGCGTCCGCGCCAAGCGTTGCGTCGCCAGGGGTCAGCCGCCGGAAGGTGGCAGGTCCTGGGCGGTCAAGGAGGGGTGCACGGCTCAGGCCCGAAAGGGAGCAGGCAAAAGTCCCCGCGCTACGCAGTGGACGGATAGCGCCCGCGAGTGCTCGCACTGCCACGGCCTCTCCAATACCTTCAGACTACCAATCGTTTTGCCTTTATTTTGTCTGACTACGTTTTAAAACCGTATGTGAAAATGCTCTCAAAAATCCCGAATTCTTGCAGTGAAGGGATGAAAAATTGGTCTAAAATGATGGAATCACTTCACAAAATATTGTCACGATCAAAAGTAGGATGTCAGCGAATACCGAAGCTTCAAAGTGAAACGAAGGACTGTCGAAGTGTCTTGATGTTGCTCGATTCATTTGTAAGCAAAAAGCGGCAGGAATAATTGTGAATGGAAAATTCAGAGCTGATATGGCAGCTGAAGCGCGAACTCGCTAAGTAATTGTGCTGCAGGTCTGATTTGTGGCTAATTCCCACGTCTCTCTTATAAAAAAAGTGGAGGCTTCGAGTTTTCACCTTTTATAAACAGAAGATTTTGTCTAACGCTAGAACTTTGTATGAAAATGGGAGTTAAACTGCTTTTGCTAAAGACCCTTTAGACGGTATGTTTGCATGCCTCCTGTGCTGCAAGCTGGCCAGATATTTCTTCTCAAATAGATACATAGAATTGCGATTCAACTGTAATGCAGAGAATACCGAGGATTTCTCATTATGTGTTTTAGATAAGACATAGTTCTAGCATTTATTTGATTTTGTAGCATTTCAATTAATTACCCCCTTCACTTATTTGCTCAACCGTCAAACGCTCTCACTTCTCTCGCGCACACCTGGCGTTGTACATATAAACTCTCTCGTGAGCTACGGCACGAATAGCCGAACGCCGAACACACAGTCACTGGGCGTCGTGGCGGGCGCCTGTGAGCCAGCTTCTAGGCAGTAGATTGGTGTGGATGGAGTGAGGGGAGGAGTCCCGCGGTAGTCGTTGAGTACGGCGACCGGGCGTCCGCGCCAAGCGTTGCGTCGCCAGGGGTCAGCCGCCGGAAGGTGGCAGGTCCTGGGCGGTCAAGGAGGGGTGCACGGCTCAGGCCCGAAAGGGAGCAGGCAAAAGTCCCCGCGGTACGCAGTGGACGGATAGCGCCCGCGAGTGCTCGCACTGCCACGGCCTCTCCAATACCTTCAGACTACCAATCGTTTTGCCTTTATTTTGTCTGACTATGTTGCAGAATGGTGCTGATAGTGAAAAGCTGCGAATACAGTGTTATGGTTTTTAAATCAGCAAGCTTCTACTAAATTATTCACTAGTGCTGCTAAATCTGTTAAATCATAACCATTAGTAACGAGCCTTTTTTGACCCTTGCTGTGCACCTATTGTTGTTTGGTTCAAGGAGGTCGCTGTTTTGCATGTTGCTCGTGATCATTTGCGAGTGTTTTTTCATTGAGCATGGAAAAAATGATCGAACACTAAGACAGGAAGAAGCGGGAGTACAAATTATTTATTGTTAGTACATATTGAAATGTGAGTATCCACATTTGTCACAACACAACCCTGTTGATATAATCAGTATACAGCTGGCAGAAATGTGATGTGCTACTCTGTAAAAAAGAGAATTCAAAAAAGCTCATCCATTTTTCACATGCTAGCATGTAATCAAGTTGTTTGCTTACAGATTTTCAGCAAATTGTCTTGGGTATTTTGGTAAGGAGTTAGACTGCATCTCACTTCTAGTACTCATCCTCTTCGAGTGTAGCGGAATCACGGCTCACCTAAACGATTTTATCTGCTTCAACTTACAGTTATTAGCGGAGAACTAGGAAACCTCTTCATAATCCCGTTCTAATGCGGCCAAGTCCTCTCGTGCTTCTGTAAACTCACCCTCTTCCATGCCTAAAGATAAGTAGCAGTGTTTTGAGTAAGTCACCGAAAACTATGTATGCTCACCTTCGCCGACATACCAATGCACAAAAGCCCGTTTAGCATACATAAGATCGAACTTATGATCTAGCCTTGCCCATGCTTCAGCTATAGAAGTTGTGTTCGAAAGCATACAGACAGCTCGGTGCACCTTGAAAGAAAAACTATACTTAGTTGAAAGAGTTTTGGCAGGATTGACAGAATGACGACCATGTGGACCCGGGACAGCCCTGGCACATCAAGCTCCTAACGTAAGATTGTGTCAGAAAAAGTTTAGAAACAAAAGAAAACATTAACCCCCTGTTTCAACTTTCCAAAACCTGGAACGCTATTGTTGAAAAATTATGACTTACGTCAAATACTATCAGAATTTATACAGTTTCGAAAGGAATTGCAAGATTACCTTAGCTAGGTCTCCTCCTTCTACGGCGGTTGGAGCCTGATAATTTATGCCAACTTTAAAACCAGTAGGACACCTAAAAGCTTTCTCATATTTGTGTGTAACGAACATTGTTGACTACGAAGTCTTGGGATATGTCAATACTTTCTTCCCACTTACCAGTCCACAAACTGGATACCCCTTCGAGTTTTTACTGATGCAATGGCGGCATTCACATCCTTCGGCACTACGTCACCACGGTAGAGCAAGCAAACAGCCTGAAATAAGTGGTGCATTAGTAGGTGATTAATTTTTTCAATTATTTACTATACCATGTATTTTCCTCGCCGTGGATCACATTTTACCATTTGATTGCACGGTTCAAAGCACATGTTAGTGATATCTTGGACAGAGAGTGGCTCGTGATAGGCCTAGAAACAGAAATTAGTAAAGGAAGATGTAAAAAGTAAAGCAACGAAAGAGCAACGCATTTCCGCTATTAAGAACCTAAAGTCTCAATATCGCAAACTCATGCTTGGCCTATTCGAAATGCTAAACACAAGAATCGCACCGCAAGTACGCACAATTTTGTGGGAGTTACGGTAGAGTCATAATTGCCTGCCTAAAATGGCCCGCTTGATTTAGTCTTAGTCTTTCCTCAAGGTTCTTTTTACTGATTTCGCATGATACAGTTTTTCTTGCGGTTACGGTAGATGTATCGCATCCGATTTCATTCCTACCCAGCAGTCAAGTGTTAACCTACCGTGTATTCAACATTCTAATGTAGCAAATCACGTAGTCCCCCTATGCAACTGAGGAAATCTGAGATTTGAACCTCCTACCGTACCCACACCGTAATTCTACAAAAAGATCATATATGTATCAGGCAGTTTTTTGATCATTGTGTCTAATGAACATTATAAGCTAAATTCAAGTGAAATCGGTGTTTTTTTAAAATTTTAACCTCGGGTGGCCAAACAGCGCTGAAAAGGCAGAAAATTTGACATCACTACCTTCTCTGCGGATATCACCGGCGCATAGGTAGCAAGCGGAAAATGGATTCTCGGATACGGAACGAGATTGGTCTGAAAAATTATTCGACAGAAATTCATCGAAATTTTTAATAACATCTGAACCTGGAATTCGGTAAGATCCACATTCAAGGCACCATCGAAGCGTAGAGACGCCGTTATAGATGAAACTATCTGTGCTATCAATCGATTCAGATTCAAGTAGGATGGGCGCTGAAATAGAAAGTTTCTTGTAGCATAGAATTTTCAGATCGTCTGTCCAACCTCAACATTGAGATTTCTACGGCAAATGTCGTAAATCGCCTCATTGTCCACCATGAAGGAGCAGTCGGAATGTTCCAATGTGCAGTGAGTAGTAAGAATCGAGTTGTAAGGTTCCACTACAGAAGTTGAAACTTGTGGGGCAGGATAAATGCTAAATACATAGTTGTATGAGCTTGAGATCTAATAGGTAATTCCTACCTGAACTCTAGTTTACTCTTCTTTCCATATTCTACACTCAACCGTTCCATTAGCAATGAACTGAAACCGCTTCCCGTTCCTCCGCCGAAGGAATGGAAAACAAGGAAACCTTGCAATCCCATGCAATTTTCGGTCTATAATCTTGCTATTTACTAGTGAAACTATCAGCAAACTTGCTTAACTCACTTGTTTTCTGATTCTTTCAAGAACGATGTCAATTAATTCTTTTCCAATGGTATAGTGCCCTCTCGCGTAGTTATTGGCTGCATCTTCCTTCCCGCTGATCACCTGATCAGGATGAAATAAGCTTGAGAATGCTCCCGTCCGGATTTCATCTAAAACAATTGTATGCTTCGATTTAAATTGAATATGGGTTCTGTATATAATCCTCCTCACATAATCGTTAAAGACTTCAATTTACCAAACTTTTACATACTCTGGGCTTCGAGTGGTATCTAAATCATTCTGTGCATTCTTTGAAATTAGGAAATTTTTTGCAAACTGCCAGGGAAATCGAGGAGATTCGTGGTTTTCTCTTCCACCATTAATACAAGTGAATAAGCAGCGAGTAGCGGAGGATAAAATGCATATCAAAATTATGTTGCGTCTAGGATTTTCAGGACTCCAAATTTTCCTAATGAAATGTTCTGGTCCGCTTCAAGCTTTACTTCTACCCAGTTTTTTAATAGAGAGTACGATTCAGCTGAAAGCCGGAAGTCAAATCATTAGTTTCATGACAAAAAATACTAGACTGAAAATGTTGCCTACATCTATAATCACTGAAATTTCACACATCTTGGAATTCATTTCCTCATTGCGAATCTCTTGTTCAATGACGACGGTAAAGAACTTTTGCAAGCGCAATTAGTTCACAGATACACATCTCGACCATTGCCGCTGATCTCATTTGAGATACACTAGCGGTGGCCTGTCAGAAAATAGCTGATCGGTGCGCGGTAAAAATGTCACTTGTGAAAATTGCAATTATCAACATTCGTTCTGCGAAGATTGAAAGAACATACCAAGTACGGTTGGCTCCAGATCAATATAGATTGCTCGTGGAACATATTTTCCGTTGCTGGACTCAGAGTAGAAGGCTTGTAGAGACTGAATAAAGTTATCGTGAGATGATAAGAATTACATGATACATATAAGTACTCTTAAAAACAGTACGCAAAAGCGTTTATCTCTACGTCGCCGCAGACACTTGCCTATTCCTCCTTACTCTTCGATGGCCCGAAACAGCACAATTTTTTTGGAAATTCATAATCTCCTTCATTCAAACGAAGTCGCGATTTTCATTATTTAGATGAGATAAACATGTGCAACTAACTCATTTTCCCTTGCTGTAAATGAAAAATTTCTAAAAGCTGTTAAAAATTCAAATCAGCTCCGCAAAAACTCTTGATGGATATAAGCCCACTAAAAAGTTGGAATAACAAAAGCTTTGAGTAGAGCCCGAATTTTTGGACAGCCACTCGTATAATGCGATGATAGTTATTATATTAATGGATATGTAACTCAAACCCAAAACACTTTTCTCCAAGGTTTCTGACGCAGATTTTTCATTTCTTGCATGGCTTCCAAACCAAGCTGATGCATATAAAAAGCTTTTGTGGACAGAAAATCTCAACGATCTCAAGAAGAAATTTACCTATTACGGTTGAAGTTAATTTTGTTAGATTTCTTTTTGGAATCTTACGACATAATTTTGACTATATTTGAATTAGCTGTGCATAGCTGTCTAGCTAACACTGAGCAGTGAGTTTTTCCCAAAAAGCTGCATGAACTGTTATTTGCCTGTGTAAAGTGGAAATACAGTCGATAAATACAATCTTTATGATTACCTGAGAGTCCCTCTTTTTCTGATCGATATCATCCTCAAGGAATCCACTGCTATCTAGCCCGTGTTCGAGACAATACAGTTCCCAGCAGGCGTTTCCGATCTGTGCTCCTGCTTGGCCAATGTGAATGGAAATGCATTCCCTCTAAAGGTGTATGAAACAGGATACATGAGATGCAATTAGTCTCTCAGTTTTTAGCATCAAAAAAAAAACTCACCCCGTCTGAAGGCATCACGTCACAAAATGTTCTGAGCGCCGTAATGACCGATGTCACGAACAAGGCCGTGAGATAAAAAAGCGAGATTACAAGCCGTGAAAGAGACTGCTGCACATGAATGCTAGCAGTAAATACTGCGATGAGAAATATCGAAAAATTTGTCAATGTTTTCTTTCAATGGGTGTCGTTTTTTCTGCCAATCACATAGTGACTAAACAAAAAAGAGACTAAACAATTATTGAGAACGAGAATTAATCAGCATAAAAATAGTTTTCGAAAAGGCAACTTGAATACGTTCATGGTTAAACATTTTCAAAATACAGGACACGATCCAGAGAATATATGCATAGACATTTTGGACAACGTTGAAAATGAAAAAAATACCAAGAAACACCTAAGAGATAGAGAATTAAAATGGATACAGTATATGGTTACTGCATATCCATTTGGTTTCAATGATCAAATTAAAGGATTTGGTAATATCTCAGATAATGTCAATCCTTTAGAAAAGAACGCACATCCATATTTTAGATGTTCAGTCAGTAACAAAAGATTTAGAGGAAAGAAAAGAAGATCAAGAAAGAAAAGTGAATGTCTCGACAGAAATGAAGAAGTTTTGACGGCTATAAATACTTTACAGGGTAACGAACTTTTCGTATATTTCCGAAAATTAAACAAACAAGACGTTTCAAGGTTAATAGATTACACTTTCAGTCCCAATTTTACAATGTTATCGTTTGAACATAAATATAAGATATATGCATTGCTTGCCACACCATTTTGGGAGAGAAAGGATAAGCTTAAAGTTAAACAAGAAGAAATAATGGTAACCATACCTTATCTAGGTGAAATATTGGATAAGCTTAAACTGACTAAGCTATGTAATAGTACAAGAATGAAAAGAATAGTTAAGGAAACTATTAACATGCAAGAAGCTGATAAAATAAACAGTATTAAGGTCATCAATACGATACAATTTGAGAAAGCCAATAGGATTGGATATGTTCAATTATAATAGCTTTCTCAGAAAACTCAATGATTCTACCATGAAAATCATAGAAGAACAAGAATGCGAATGTAATAAATACAACGAATTTATTGATAATTACCATAAACATGTCTGCACAGGAAATCTGGATTTTATACCGAACGAAAAATTGAAATCTATCTTCAAAAAAGGAACTAAGTATAGAACTCATACGATGATTACTAAAGGCGACATTACAAAAGTGATAAATGATTTGAGTTCACAACTAGCAGTCAAGTACGTTCGAAAATACAAGGCTAGCTCTTACATTAGAATTCAACTTACCAAAGAACTATGTGAATATATTAAGAAAGGAATTAAAACGAAATTGTTCGACATGTAAGATCTAGAACAGATTGACTATGATGGATATGATGCAGAAGTTCTTAGAAAGCTGCAAAGACATTTTGTCATAACTTCAGTAGATAAAGCCACTTCAAACTATAGTTTCACGTGCAAGAAATTCTACTTGCATACGATGAAGAAAGAAATGGAGCAGTCGGCTTCAAATGGATATACTTACGTATCAACTAGACTAAGTGAGAACGATGTCTTGTTGAAGCACAAAAGGATTCTTAACAGTTTGAACATTAACTTTGTAGATGAATGTAATGTAATACCCAGAATATATGGCATTCCAAAAATGCACAAAACACCGATTAAGTTTAGGTACATCACTGGCGCTAAAAGGAGTACATTGAAACCTTTAACAAAAATACTACAGTTGATAATTGCCCATGTAAGAAGGCATTTCTACAATTATTGCAAAGTTATTTGGCAAAGATCAAAAATAAAACATTTTTGGGCTATAGAAAATAGCAGGCAAGTGCTGAGAGAATTGATGACAGCTCGAGGTAGCCTAGAAGTGTATTCAGCCGACTTCTCTAGTCTTTTCACAAATTTGCCACATGATATCGTAAGAACTGACCTCAGAAAGCTCATAAGTCTTTGTATGAAAGGTTATAAATACATCAAGGTACATGGCAATAAAGTCACATATTCTAGCACGAACTTAACACAAGGCAATTATTATCAAGTTGAAGACGTAATATATATGGTCGATTCTCTACTAGAATCAAGCTATTTATATTTCGGTGGTGTTATTTACAAACAGATAAAGGGTATACCTCAAGGTGCTTCGTGCAGCCCTCAAATGGCAGACCTTACATTGGCTTGTATGGAATACGATTTTATGAAAAGACTAACAAGGACACTAGGTTATAACAATGGCTTATACAATTTCACATACAGATACATAGATGACATATTGCACGTCTCTAATGATGCATCAGAATTTGAAAAAAGTTTGAAAGAAATATATCCTTCTACTTTAGAAATAGATAAGACCAACGTTAGTCCAAATGAAACGAATTTTCTTGACTTGAATGTGATAGTTTACGAAAACAAGATTAAGTTTAATATGTACAATAAAACAGATACGTATAATTTCAAGGTCAATAGATATCCACAATGGAGTTCTAATATACCAAGATATATATTGTTTAATACTTGTACTACGGAAGTACTCAGAATATATAGAAATTGCTCCGATTATGCACAATTTAGAGAAAGAATAATAGAACTAGCTATGACATCTAAGAATAATGGATGGGAATATAAAAATTTTATGAACAGACTTTACCACATATTCCTTGATAGACCATATATAATGCGAAAATATGGATTCGCCACAATTATACATTTACCACTTTTACATGAACTGCGAATTAATTGGGATACACATATCGCGCTCTGAGGTCACGGCGGGATAACACTCATTCGAATAGGAGGTTGAAATCAATTGCCAGGTCACTAGCTGTTTGTGTTGGATTTATGTAGCCATTTCATCTCCATTTGTCTTTAATTCTCTTGTCTTCTCTTTCTCTGTAGGTATTTCTTTTGCTAGAGTTTTGAGGCTTCCTTGGGAACTACTGATGAGGGGCACCAAGGAAGCTGCACTACCGGTATAGTTCTTAGCCCCGAAACCGGATAGTGTTAAATTAGAAACAAAACATTGTGGTGAACTTCTTGGTTGTCTTCATTGATTCAACGCTGAACTTTCACATTTTTCCATATAGTGGTTGGTAGTAACTTTATCTGACCACATGTTCGCACCGCGTTTGCCAGCAGTTTGGATGGAATGGCGTTATACGGTAGGTCTACCGTGATCCTGAAGCATAGAACCATTTTTCACGTGCATTATAGGTATAAGTTATAGATTTTAGATTATAGGTTCTTTTCATAAGAAACCTCCATTAGTACAATAGTAATACAGCGATCAATAAGCAAACTTAGAACTTGGGGCTATAAAAAAACACTGATAAAATGCCATGCTTGCATCCTTGCTTTGAACTTTCGAACCATGTTCCGCGTATGTGGCCTGTACTGACAAGGGAAGCACTTTTAGTCGAAGTGGCGTTTTCAAACGAGACTCATACCACTTGAAGAGCATCGACGATAGCTCCAAATCTGCCTCCATTATTTGCCAAGCGTCTCTGGACGTCGAGTTATGACCGTTCTTTGGAACGAGAAATGTAAATTTAGGTAAAATCAATTGTTACCTAGGGGCCTTGGCAGATAATAAAAGCAGATTTGGAATCACTGTGCAATACTCTCCAAAGCAGTATGGGTCTCATCTGAAAAGGCCACCTCGATTGAATACGCTCCCCTTGTGAGATGAAAGAAGAAAATTCATAGCACAAGTATATATGTAATTAGAAACCTTTAAAATCATGAATTGATGCATGAACAAGCCGTACTGTTGTCGTAGCATGCTGCTTGTTGCACGTCAATTTTTTTTCTCTATCTGATGTACTGCATGATGCACCAAAGTGGAGAATTCTTTTTGATAAACATAAAGGGAATCTCACTATTGTACCAAATCTCTATTCTCTGTGATCTCTCTAGTCTCCTTTCATAAATGATTTTTTTAGATGAATAGCTTTTTTGCATGTTAATGACAGCCTTGAAGTTGTTATGGAAGACTGTTGTAACCGCAGTTTTAAACCTCAGGTGATAACAGAAAAAGCTACAGTCGCATGCAGTGGCTTACACAGGATTTCCGCTCGGAGGGGGGGGGGGCGACAAAAATTTTTTTCGAATGAAGATGCGTGGCGTTAGCCACGCACTCCGAAAAAATGTTAGGGGTGCTTATCAAAATTTTTGCGGGCCCCCAACCCCTAAAGTCATTTGCACATTTTTATAACCCTTATAAGTAACTTTCAAAAATTTCGCGACCCAATCTCGGGGAGGGGGGCGCGCGCCCCTCGGTACGCCATTGGTCGCATGGTATGCTAGAGGTATGGACTCAGCGACCAGCAATACCTGCTACCTTTGTCCTCTCTCACAATGACCACCCTACCCATTTTCGTGTTCCCCTGGAACTCTCTCTCCTCCCCCCCCCTCCCCCGTCTCGAATATCAAGCATTACTTTGATGCATCTTTATCGACAGCGCCCATTCTTAACCCTTGGTTCACCATTTCATTTATCGGTTTGTTGAAGGAACTTCCAAGATCTAAAACTGGGCAAAACAGATGAGTGATTATGAAGGAAATGTTTTTATGACTGATTTGTTCATGATCTTAAGTTCATGTAATCAGCATACGCTACCCCAGTGCTGAAGTTGATAAGGGAGGGGTTCCAACTTACCTTGGCAATTGCAGTCCGTTTTCCTTCTGCGTAACAACTTTCCGAAAGAAGTTGTGAGCGTTTGAAATCCCAAATCAGTTAACCGGCCATACTATTAGCGGAAAGTTATGCACGCCTAATGAGTAATCAAATTTGTAATAGGCATAGACTGCAAGAAGAACTCCAGCCAATGAAAAATCCGCATAGATGTTTTTTTAGTTTAATTTTATGCTACTTGAAGCTTGACAAATTTGAACGTTCGAATCCCATTGACTTCTTTCGGACAATCGTTCGGCAAAAAGACGAAGCAAATTAGAATCAGCGTTCAAATACGCGTCTAGTTATATATTAGGGTGAACGGTAAAAAGTGGGACACTTACGAACTAACTGGAGGTTTCTCAAGAGTGAGAAGCGATTAGACTTTCCAATTTTGATAGATGTTAGATTATGCTATTCTCTTGCAGATAATACCTATATAAGGTCATTTACATAATTAACAACTTTTATACTTACTGAAATGCAAAATCAGTCACCTCGATAAATTATGAAGTTTGAGCAGTATCTGCGCAGTGAAACATGTGAGACCACCCAAAGTACCACTGCTGGAGTGGGTGGTGGGACAGTCACTAAATCCACTACGGCTTGGTGGCCTCAGCTTGCAAAGTCAGGAGTTGTAGCCATTAGCAGCTTTGAGAACATAGATACGCGTTATTCAATTCCTTCCAGGTGAATGCATGTTTTCTAGGTACCATCTGATAGAGCTTTTTACGTTCTATCCATCCATTTGCAACTTACCTCAGATTTTATCTATCTTCGGAAAATATAGGGCGAAACAGGATTTTTTTGGTTTTTTATTGCGCCAAAAATAGCCACTTTTCAAGTTTTTTCGCTTTTTTTTCTAAAATTGAAAGAAAGTCTTATGCATTTAACATATCATTTGAAAGAGCATGAAAAGCTCTTTCGAATGGTATGTCATATACTTGACGACCTTACGGTATAGCAGCGCAAGATTGAGAATTGTCCCAAAGACCCTGTCTGAGTTCTTCACGGCGCCACGCGTACGGTTATGAGAGAGGAGCGGTAACGCGTTGCCAGCATAATAGGCGAAGGTCGTTTATGTAAGCGACATTTAAGTTGTAGCCTGTTGTTGTTGGTGAGAACAAAAAACCTCAAAATGTTAAAAAAAAATCAAGCTGTCCCATTTTTTACCGTTCACCCTAATACATGACGATCGCCAAGACAAGTTGGTTCCTTCCCGTGTAAGGCCCCGGGCAGACTTCACGCGATTTGGTCGTCGCGACTGAATCGCGACGACCAAATCGCGGACCAAATCGAGACAACTGTTAGAATATCATTCCATGCCGATCAACTTGCATTCGGTTGTGATACTTGTCCAGCCCGAAATTTTTGAATGTGAAATGAAAATGAATGGAAATCTTGGCGATTAGATCGGGACGATTAAGTCGCGTGAAGTCTGTCCGGGGCCTAAGGTTATTCTGAAAACTACACTGATTAACTCTCCCCTCGATGTCGCGTTTAAAGGAGAGATTAAAGCATAACGACAGAAGATCTTCATTCACAGGGTAAAGCTTATTAGCCATACACAAGTGATTTGAAACAAGGATGTAACAAGAAACTATAATGTAAATACATGCCATTTGGATGAGATAAAAAAAGGAAAATGGTTAATGTACACATATACTGTATCTTCAGAACAAGAGGCAGTAAAAAAAGACTGTTCAAAAATGTGCGAATCTTCACATGATTTGCGAGTAGACCTATGCTCCACTATGCGCAGGTTCGTTGTAAACGGCGCCTAGGTATTCCAGCACCATGCAACGTACGTGTTCACATTCGCACCTCACTTTATAAGCAACTGTGCGTAGATACATAGCCATATAACGACCAGAAATTGAGCCCTCCTCAAATCGTTTCTGTAAGAATAATTCAAATTCTACAAAGAATCTGCACTCAAAACTTTAATGAAATACTTAAGTGGGAGAGAACTTGAAACATGAATAAAATTTCGGGAACTACGAAAATTGAGGTTGTATGCCGTCATGCACTGAATTTTGAGCTCCATGGTGTCAGGGGTAGGAGACTATAATTCGCCGAAAAGGGTTGGTCTCACATCTGCTACGGACCCGCAGCTCCACACATTACAGACGGTACGGATTTCTACCGGCTACCCGCGCGGGATGCAGCCTTTCGGCGACATACATACAGTCCCCTACCCCGTTGTCAGCCTTTCATAGAACAGTACATTCAAATTCCCCTAGGTGCCCCTGTGGCAGTGATCCCCTGGACAAAATCTCACGCGGATGTACACACGACTTTGAGCGCCTACCTTCTGCCGACCTAACTCCGCAAAAAGATCCACTGTGCTCACCCCAGTCAAGGAAATCATACTACCTGAATTTCAGTCATCTATACTGCAACCCTTCTGGACGAAATTTAAAGCATATTCATGATCTCGACTTCAAACCGAATAGTACCGCAACCGCCCTATGAAAAGGCCCACGCAAAAAGTATGATTTCCGTGATCAGCATGTCAAGTAACGCCTCTGGACCACGTTCCACCCAAATCTATGATTTTTACCTCTACCAAGCACATAAATACTTTAGCCAGATAAAGAGACGTTCTCGCGCAGATGTGACGTTTGTGATCAGCAGGTTTGAGGCAGGTTCGGGCAAAATCTCGACTTCCACGTTTTCGGCCTTTCTGGCTCTTTCGATGTCCATGATTCCGAATCAGAATTGGAAACTGCGTGAAATCCCCAGAACCTTGTTTCGGAACCCTACTCCAACAACCGCGGAAGAGTGTTAAGACGCTAGCCTGGTGTGGTGCCAGTGAAAACATGTGTCAGAGATAGACACAACGAGTGTAGTTGCCATGTGAAGCGGTGCGCCAAACGTGTAAGCTCGTTCTCGCATGTATTACCTGATTAAACTGGATTGGCGGCTGGAAGGCGTGGCTTCGTGACCTAGTTAAGGTTTGAGAATGGTCAAAGAGCACGAGCGCGAGAGAAACGACGACTGCGTCGCAGGCGCGAGCGGCCTTAATTAGGTCACAAAGCCCCGCCTTCCAGCCGCCAATCCAGTTGGATCGAAGGTTGAGGGTAGCAGAAAGGCGTAGGAAAGAGGCGTTCGGCCCGCCCACCTGGCTTTCAAAGTTCATATTTTCAAGGCTGATCTTTTCGGTTTGGTGAGGGGGCCTGTCGAAATGTTTCAACATCTGAGGTAGGTCTTCGCCCGAACGTTGCCTTTGAAGGCAGCGTCCAGGCAAGTCTGGACCTATGGGGATTTTACGTGGAAAGTACTTTTGGGGCCCTAACTAAGCCACTGCCCAACCGGCAGATCATGTAGTGCTTTAACGGCTGAGATATTCCCCTCGAAACTGGACCCCGCGATCTACTTCGTACGGATTCATGGCGCAAAGCGTGAGTCCTGGCGCGAAATTGCTATGAATCCATGCGAATACGATCGCGGGGTCCAGTTTCGAAGGAAGTATCTCAGCCGTTAGAGAACTACCTGCGCTGCCGCTTGGGCAGTGCCTTAGTTAAGGCCCCAAAAGTACTTTCCACGTAAAATCCCCATAGGTCCAGATCTGCCTGGACGCCTTTAAGGGCTGGACATACATCACGCGATTTCATCGCCTTGCGATTCTCCCAACAAGACAACTGTTGCCAGCTCATTGCATGCCGATCATCTTGCGTTTCGGTTGTGATAAGGAGGTCATACTGAGTCGCACAAAGCGGCACAGTTCCAGCACAGCGCACAACTCGAGCGCTGTGCTGGAAATGTGCCGCTTTGTGCGGCTCAGTATGAACTCTGCCATAGTCTTCTAATAACACGACTAATTGCGACTAACTATCACGCCGAAATGCAAAATAATCGGAATGCAATTGACTCAAAACAGTTGCCTTGTTAGGAGAATCACAAGGCGTTAAAATCGCTTGATGTATGCCGCGCCCTTTGGATAATCTCCTTGGACAAGTTTGAGCAACATCCATGGCCTAAAGCTCTATTTTGGGACCCGGAAAGTATGACAGCCCCTGATTATAATATTATGTAAGAGAAAATTACCGCTACTTTTGTGATCAACATCAACATCAGCGTTTTCATCCCCAGAAGAAACTCCACTTCCTTCACTATCCTCCTTCTTTTCATCAACCTAAATTCACAAAAGTGTAATAAGAATATATCGGAATGGAAGTAAAGTTCTATACCTGGCACGCTATTTCACGCAAGCCCGTTTTAAACAAAAGTCGATCGCGATACCACTGCTGCATGTGCGTCATGGTCTTGTCACATTGTTCCGTGTAGAAGCTAACCTCTTCCATCGCTGATGCTTGTGAGTGACTATAATTAGACCACAACTAATTCCAAAACATAACGGGCGTGCACATCACGTCTGTGTCCTCTGGCGTTCAAAATTGCCACACACTTTTGAACGCCAGAGGACACAGACGTTTTGAAACATCTGTGTCCCAGAGGACATAGACGTTTTGAAAAGACGAAAGACGCGAAAAACAAGCACCTCTCCATCAAAGCCCATTGTCCGCGCGGGGAGCCTACTGGCGACCTATTGTCCCTTACCCCTGTGGTGGCATGGACACTCTGCCGCTGAGATGGATACCATCTGGCCCTACTCTCCCACTGAGCATTTTCCCAACATTCCGATAGTACTTCTCGCTAGGAAAAGATATAGGCCGTCCGCGCTGTGCCAGAGAGTAACGCTGTCGCGTACAGTGAAGATAGTACGGGCGCAGAGAAGACATGCGGCGGGAGTGCACGGGGAAGGAGGAGTGACGCGCAGTACACACCTTGCGCACTCTCCGCCCCTGCGCGGACGACCTATAGGAAACGTAGTCCTAATGCGGAGCCTCGCCCGTCTTCTGAATTTCCTGCTCTGCGCCAAATCACGCATACCACCGCGATTGAAGGCAGCGTTATCCGGTACTGGTAAGTGCCTGAACGCTGCCTTTGAAGGCGCCGTCCACCCAGATCACTTCCATGTTTGGATCGTTCCGGAGCCTTCTCATGTCCCTAACTCCGAATATGAAGTCGAGAATCCGAGAAGACTCCAAGAATCCCCTTTCCGGAGAACCCCGAAGCCGGCTTTTTGGAGCGGTGGCTGGCTGGGGCGCCGGATGGGCGGGCATGGGTGAAGAGGGCAGTGCCGTCTGGGATCCTCGTGCCTCTTCCCTATTCCGAGACGATTTTCTCGCTTCCGAAGCGACATTTGGCGCTGCGACTTGGGCATTGGCTTGATAGAGGGACATAACATCATAGGCTGCCAGAAGCTCAAGACCCTCAACTTAGGGTGGACGGTGCCTTTGAAATCGTAAGTTTTCGACTCTGCGTTTTAGCGTGGCAGGCTGTGAGTGGAGGTGACTACACGCGCCAAAAGCAGGTGGTACCTTGCGGAAATCTGCGACAAAGCGCGAGCTCCCTCTGTTACAGGCATTACAGAATTGTACAGCCGTCCCGCGGGGTGCACCTATCGGCGATCGGGGCAATCCGTGGGTGGGTGAAGCGCAAAAGGGGCAGAGCGCAAAAGAAATCAGGTCCGTTGATCGCTTTTGTGGGCAAAACTGGGAGACCAAACCAACGCGGTTGGTCTCCTTTTAGGGTTGCTAGTGGATAAGTAGTAATCTGGGATGAATAGATTTTGGGTGGACGCTGCTGGCCGTAAGAGATTGATTCAATCATGACCACAACTGTCTAGGCTCTGAGGGAATCGATCCCTACACAACGTTGGCTTAGATGTTGCATACTTCCATCTCTGCCAGTCCGAGGTTGGGGATCTTAGAGGCAGTGTCCCGGCAGATTCGGGTCCTGGGGATATACTTGTGGTGGGGTTCCTGGTCACCCCATCGACCTCCAGGCGCACTCCGGCTGGGTGATGTTCCCCTTGGGCCGAGAAAATGGCCCTTGAACCGGCGCGCGCAACCCCAACTGGCGCGCGCTTGGACGGCCTCCCCGCCTGTTCGGCGCGGGACCCCACCAGCGCTCTCCTTATGATGCATGCTATCCAAAGCAAGAATTACAGGCGGCAGGATCTTCGTCTGAGGACCTCCCCCAACTTTCCATTTAAAATCTCGTCCAAGCTGCTTTTCTGGAATTAGAAAACGCCCCAAAATCGGCCTTTTCAGCCCGTTCAAATCTCTCCAATTCGGATTCTACGTGGCGAAAAGGCCTAAAACATGCAAAAAGGTGGAGGTGCAAAATCTGCCGGGACACTGCCTTCAAAGGCACCGACTACCCAAAGTGGCGGTTTACGAGATGATGACGGCATGCTAGTGTGGGCCCCCATACTGGACAACCCCCAAGTTGCGCCGCAAAAGATTGTTTCAGGAGCGAGAAAACGCTTTGGAGGGAGGGCGCCAACTAAATCTACTTAACCGGCTGCGCGGGCGGTCGCGCGCGTGCCATCACCGCGTGCTGGGACCTAAGGCTCGCTTGCTGCTAGTAGCGATTCCTTTAAGGCAGTTGCGATGTAAGAATGTTTTGCGTTGGTACGACAGGTATTTGCTATGATCTTGAGACTGCACGTATGGTGCATTGTCTTGTTGTGATAGAAGTGTTGTAAGCACCAGAAAGCTATACATTCTTACATTTCTCCTATCGTTACGAGTTCGAATGTTTTGATATCAGACGCTTAAAGACAGCGTCCAGGCAGATCTGGACCTATGGGGCTTTTACGTGGAAAGTATTTTTGGGGCCCTAACTAAGGCACTGCCCAAGCCCCAGCTAAGGTAGTGCTCTAATGGCTGAGATATCTCCGTCGAAACTGGCCCCCGCGAACGTATTCGCATGGATTCATGGCAGTTTCGCGCCAGGATCCACGCTTTGCGCCATGAATCCATGGGAAACACGGTCGCGGGGTCCAGTTTCGAGAGGAATATCTCAGCCATTATAGCACTACCTGAACTGCCGCTCGGGCAGTGCCTTAGTTAGGGCCCCAAAAGTACTTTCCACGTAAAAGCCCCATAGGTCCAGATCCGCCTGGACGCTGCCTTTAATCTAAGGTGACTTTGCTAGCCGACAGGGTCGGAAGTCTTACGCAAATGTGGATAAGTGTGCGATATTGCGACTGTTTCTATTTGATACTACAATACAATTTTTTGAAAAAGTTAGAGATAGCAGTTGTGCTTGCAAAAGAACTTCTTTCTTCTCTTCCTAAGGGAACTTTGCTATGGAAGCTAATCTTGGCTGTTAAGATTGACCCATTTCTATGTCTAATTCTATCATGAGCACTTGTTGATCAAATTATTCTAGCTCGGCCCTTCATTGACATGTGAAATGAATCTGTTACTGTGCCGAGCAGGATTGATGGACTTTGAATTTCTTTTTGCTCAGCAGAATCACCTTCAGAGTAAACCAATCATCCTAAGACTAAGGGTCAAAAACACCATCATTGCCATTAGTGAATTATATAGGTGAAATATGTGAACTGGCTTCTTCTAGGCTGAATAGTCGACCATCAAAGACGAGATAGTACGGTAGTAACTGACTGACTACAAGAAAAACTGCCTCCAAAACTCTAATTCATCATAAATCATAGATTCCTATGGAGAGCTGAGAGTTGGCCTTTACGAAGGCCAAAAGAAGACATACCTCAAAAAAACTAGCAATACAGGAACTTCTACATTCTACAAGGAGTTATGTAGCGCATATGGTTCCAACTGTTGGGGAGATCTTCAATAGCTATCGGAGATAACGGCCATTCACTCAGAACATACGCTCGATGAAAACAAGTACGAATGCGGTGCCGATCCTACATGTATGGTGTAAATCTAAGAGAAAGTTATTCTAATGGTTTTAGATGTCCAGCTCTTTATGTGGTCTTCTGTGCTCGCCCTAAAACTAGTAAAGTTGTCAAGCACATTGACAACCATGCTGCTGAGGAAATCATATAGCATCGTAGCAAGTTTTCAAACGCAGTGCTGGCAGCAAGCGAGCCTTAGGTCCCAGCACGCAGCGGTGGTGCGCGCGCGACCGCCCGCGCAGCCGGTTAAGTAGATTTAGATGGCGCCTGGAAGGAGCAAATCTGGAGCTGGTCACTACCCACTGGTTGTCCCGCCCACTTCACAGGCTTTTCCTCGCCTGCGCTTGTTGCAGCGGCCTTCTTTAAAACGGGGGTTTTTGAAGATTTTGCGGATTCTCGACTCCATATTCAAAATCAGGGCCTTCAGAACGCCTGAGAGCGACAAAATATGGAAGCTGAGAGTTCGAGTAGAATGCGCCTTTTTAGATTACAAGGCAATGTGAAAGCTGACCTCGAACACACAAAGAAAAGAACGCTCGGGAAACTGAGAGACCTATGCAAATAGCTACGCCTGAATCGCTGCGATCTGCGCGTGTCAGAAGCTGGCAATTCAGGCGTATCGTCCCTTCCAAGGTTGCCGCTACCCTTGGTCTGGTCTCTGAACTGCGGCACGTATGGCTAGCATGTTAGAAACGTACAACAAGTGTTTGCAACATGCAACAACATGTTGGCGAATATTTTGGCTATCAGCCTTGGCCTTGCGCCAACACATTGCTGCACATTGCTAACATACTGGCCACGCGTGCCGCAGGTAAGAGACGCACACTAAGGGTCAGGGCTCGGCACGAGGTGGCTTACAAGCAAGCTGGGTATCGTTGGGACGAAAAGCAAAGGGGGTTTCGTTTTTGTGACCGAAGAGACACGGAAAATTGGCGACGGCGACCTTTTTTTTTTTAGTCGACGTTTCGTTTTTTGGGGGATTTTGGGGAATTTTTCAGGTTTTTAGAGGAAATTTGGTTGAGGGTCAAAGGGGACTTCGTAAAAAATCCCAAAAGTCAAGGGGGACTTCGTTTTTTCCATTTTCATCTAGCCACCTCGTGCCGAGCCCTGCTAAGGGTGGCAGCAACTGCGACAGATTCGTGTGAGAGCGGGTTGCGGAAGTTCCCTGATTATAAAGATCAACCTGTTGAAACTCCATGCCATGGCATTGCTTTGCGTACTCCCTCGCTACCTTTCACCACTTTACCACCTCCTTTAATTTGATAGACTCCACCTCCACACGAACTGGAGGCCGATAATAACTAATTGTTCGCAAATTCTAGGCAATATCTCGGCACAGCAAGCGTATCATACTTGGCGACAAATTCTTAACACAGATTTGCCTAGCCTCTGCCTTTAACGCAGTAAAAGGCAGAGTGACAAACCGTCTTCAAATCTCCGCAATGTTTAGCGCTTCAACCTCCCCACGGTGGATATATGTCCATACCAGGCAACTAAATATGCAGCGAGGGGGAACAATTAATTTCAGTTTGGCTAACCTCAAAATACCACTACGACACTAATTTAAGATCAGTTGAAGAAATGAGGACCTTTTTCCTAAGGCTGGCTTCATACTGAGCCCGAAGTCCGAGAACAGTTCCAGCACAACGCTCAATTCGAGCGCTGTGCTGGAACTCTTCCCAAACTTTTGGATCAGTATGAACGCAGCCTAATTATCCTCATAAAGCATTACAGTTTCTAGGGAAAGAAAGAAGCGGAACGTAACGCTCTGGTTAAACGGGGAACGGTCAGGAGTCACGGTCGGCGAGAAATCGTCGCGATGGCCGCCGCACGCGACGTCGCGTCGTGCGAGAGCAGCGATGGCGGCCTATTAAAGGACGCAGAACTACTGTCGCTTCCGCGCGGGAATCCTGCCGACATAGCAAGCACGCCCTATAACAAAACCGCTGTTCTATAGGAATATGATGCTGTTTGGGCGACAAACTGGCATTCTAGTCGCATTGGTAGATGGTTTGTCAAGCCTCCGTCTCAGAAACTGCAGGACTACAAAAGTATTGATTTGAGCACATAAAAAGCAAAAACAAAGTGTTCTTTTTGTGAAGCCATAATATGAAGTAAATAAGCTGCAGGTTTGAGTTGTCCTGAAGGTAAGTATCAGCTTCTGGAGTATTGTAAATCCAGTTAGAGTGATCTAAGTTACTCGTCGCATATTAGATCATTTTTGTTCACACTTTCTTAGAGCATAGTATTTTTTGTTGAATAGCCTACATTTCGACCTCATATTTGAAACGATTTTTGAGAGCATAGATTTGATACGTCCACAAGAGATGCAAGGCTCCAGCACCCTGCCTTTTGCATCTTTACTCCTCTTGTTCCCACTTTGGATTCCACTAGTCAAAAACAGTTCTTTATTATGATATGATCAGAAACAGTTACTGTGCATGTATGTCAGTTTTTGAAGAGAAAAACCTCTTCAAAATTGTTTCAAATGATCATGCGCATACCATTCATTTTACACAAAAGAAACAAAACAAAGATTCTCATCTTATCTTTATCGTGAACAAACAGCAGTAGTGAACAAACGTTCAATAAGCCTTGAATAGGCAAACTAAAAGATAGTATCGAATTTCGACTGTTCAACTTCAAGGATTGGAAAGGCGCCTGCTAGTAGCTTGCTGGTCAAGAGAGTACTTATATATAAGCAGGGAAAGATCCATCTGGAACCGTCACCGTGATGTACTCGTATTAACATGAGGTACTGGAAACAACAAGATCAAGCAAACAACAAATCAAGACAGCTCCGAAGAAAGCAAAACGAAATTGGTGTGGAATGGTGTGAAAATGAAAGAGCACATCAAAAGCAACACGAAATTGAATTTGAACTGAAAGAAATCAAAGAGATACAGAGAAAAATGACACCTATGGGGGCAATCGAAACCCTAGAAATGACGACATATGAAAAAAAACAAAAATGTGAAACGTGCGATCAACTCATATGGCCTTTTCGCTAACAAAGCGCGACATGGCTCTACAGTATCTGCAACCACAAAATAGTTAAGAACCATTAGGGAAATAGTAAGATAATTTTTCCTACCTTATCAGTGCGCTTGTGGTGACTACTCCCTGTATTTGCCTCTCGAATGACTCCATTTTTCGGGATATCTTCTCTTTTCGAAGCGAATACTTTCTGCGAACATGTCTTCCAATGTCGAACTGAAAAAAATGGTCACTTCATTTCGACAACGTTAAAGTGATCTACCTGATCAAAAGTCATCAACTTAGCGACCGCATTTACGTTTTCTTGCTTGATGCGTGCCAGAACATTTTGGAAGCTCGCGTGTTTTTGGCCAAGTGATCGTCGAAATTTGCTAAATCTTGGTTATCTTGGTTATCTTGGTAATCGCGGTGGAAATATCAGCGAAAGATACCTGTGGTAGCATTCTGCAATATTGGTAGTTCTTAAGGTCCCTATTCTCCATTTGCACCAGTACCGACGAAGTGGTTCGCTAAGCCACGTATCGTAGAGATAGACTAAGAACGCTTCACAACATTCAAAGGCTGGGTGTGTATCGGGCATGGACGGACGGAACAAGCCAGGCAGCCTCGAGAGAAATCGCTCCGGCAAAAATGGGATTCCCTTTATTGTCCGCCACCACTTTTTCACAAAAGCACTGCGATGAGGTCCTTTTAGGGACTTGGTGATTCCAAGAGCGTTTCTTTTTCGGTTCCAGCATTGGCTAAGGTGAAAAAGACATCCTTCTACACTCGTATTCGGGAAGCACCGCTCTGCTGCTTTCAAAGCTGAGATTTCGAAATCCAGTATAATTCTTGAAGGGTCGGTGGCGCCAGCCGCTTGCAATTCTCGCTGTACTCTGCTAAAGATTCTTTCATACGTTTGTTGGGTTTTGTTCCTTGTAAACGCATAAACTAGCGGCACCTGAATATAATGTAGTCAATTTAAATCATTTTGTATGGAAAACTCATACTTCATGTTCGGACATAAGGACGCCGTGGATCGTATATAGCTGCACATCACCAAAATTGCTAGGTAGAATTTTGTGCATGCCATCCATCACTAGGGCATGCAAGCCCTTTTCGCAAGCCATCTGTAAACTAACTCTAAGCGTCGACACGTTCCCAAACTCTCCCGGAAACCAATACTATCCAATGCTCTCCATCTTAAAGTGTAGCGCGGACACGGTGCATTTATCAAAAGGATCCGAGGTTGACGGGGAGACGAAGGTAATTCCGCCCGCACTGATGGAAATGCAAAACCAGAACTTGTATTCTGTTTAACTTACCCTGATTGTAGTTGATGAATAGTACAACTGAATAATCTCATTTATGTCCTGAAGAAATGGACTTCCATCTTCAAGGAAGGCGTAGGCTCGGGGAACGTAGTCCCACGTTACATGACTGTGAATGTTGGCCGCCCTCGCTCTACAACAAAGCTGTTGCTTTTGTATTGATAAAAAGTAAACATTAGAAACCTTTCAATGGTTCTTCTCCTAGATTCCAGACCATACTTGTAAAAATATGCTACCAATTCCTCAGATCCACGACGACCGGTCATTGTTTGTTGTAAGGTTTCTTCCCATATCTCTGGGATTGACTTACTTGCGATAAGCGGATCACTTCGCACTTTCTGACAAGTCTGTGTAAGACAAGAAATTAGCTTATTGTTTAGACTATTCAACATTTTGACTACCTTATACATCAATCTGTTGGCTCTATCTTGAAATGTATTTACAGGCGTACATACGTGTCCCTCACAGGGATCGTTCAATATTTCATTTCCCACTACCTGAAACACAAGTGTCTCATCACGAAAAAGCCCATTCACCGCCCTTTCCTGCTGCTTGCTGTGCTCTGCCGCTTGCACAAAATGCTCAGTTCGCTCAAAACTTTTCCTAGAGCGGATTCTATGCATGCTCATGGCAATTATCATGTTCGCAGCCACATACTCGGAAGTCATGGTGATATTTAGATTGACAGCTTTTCCGCTTTTTACGCCAACCTTTATTCTAGTAATCACCGAAAAGGCTTGATCTTGATCTCCCTCTGGCAAAACTTTGAGCTAATGTGGATTCACTCATCTACAGTCCCACGGTAACTCGAGAAGATGGCGTTAATGTACAAAACGAAGCGCTATTGTGCAAAATAACTTCCGCAGACGAATAGCGAGACCCGAATTTTTTGTCAACTAATATGGAATAATACAGGCCGTCCGCATTTTGCAAATGCAACACAGTTGCACGCGTTGAATAGAGATCATGGTGGACAAGACAGCAGCCGAAAAAGCGACTTAAGCCCATGAGAAAAGAGAGACGCGCGATGCAAAGTTTTGAGTCCAACGCGGACGGCCTAGACCCAAAACAGATAAAAAGATAGCAGTTCGGACACTATGAGAACTAAAATAGACATGAAAACGTATGTAGTCACATACCTTTACAGTGAGATGATGCCGTTCTCTTTTGCAACCGCGACACGCGAAAACGACGGCCCGTAGTAAAGCTCGATCAGTTGAGGTGAACTCAACTTAACCCATCAGTTCACCGCACGTGAGGTGAACTGATGACCACCCACCCTACCATGCTATAAGATGGTCAAGTCAACTGATAGTTGACGATCTGTCCACCTGCTGCAGTCAACTCTTCCACATCAGTTCACGTTCAAGTCACCTCAACGTGAACGGATGTTAGAGTGATCCAAATAGTGTGTAGAAGAGGAGACGCAGACAAGAGGTGACTGCATCTAACATAAGTTGCTCCTGAGTAACTTACGATACACACAGCTTTGCCAAAAAATGCAGAAAAAATCGGCGCAAAACTGCACACCCGCGCCCGAAAAGGAGAGGATCAATGAACAGCTGATTTTGGCGAGGAAAACAAAAAACCGTTATTTCTTTTTTCCAAAGTTTGCCGACTTTTTTTTGAATAGTTGTTCAAGGCAAGAATTTGTAGATTTATTTGGTTAAATTCGTATTGCAATTATTTCAATTTTTCATGAAATTTTCGTCAAAAAATGCTTTGTTGTTTCATCCATGCGTTTTCTAGGCGAAATCCTTGATAGCGGTCATCATCAATTTTCCGATAGTGGTCGCTATCAAAGATGCCCTGCGATACAGCAAAAGTGTGTCGCTAGGCGGTATCGAACCATGGCCGCGCGCCTCCAATTCCAATCGCTTACCTGTTCGACCAAACCAACTCAATTGGTTGCCTTTTTCAAAGGCACACATGATTATCATGACTAGACAGCGATCCCCATCTAAATCAATAGCTCTCCGGATGCTGGACTGAGGCGCGATGAGCTCGCCCCCGGTCCGCGTCGAGTGAGATGCACTGATGGGGGGTTTACTACGGGCCGACGTGATCTGCGTTACTTCTGTGGTGAAGAAACACATAAGCCATACGACTTCCGGGTATTGTGTACGTAATGACCTCGCGTGTTCCTTTCTGAATTTTTTGAAGCTCTCCGTAGAAGTGTTCTTGCGACGAAGCGCTTGATGTCGACATGAAACCGCAATCATTAATGAGAGTCCGATGTCACAAAAAAAGTGGCTAAGGAGATTACGAAATCTATTAATTTGATGAGATTACCTGTTTTTGTCACGTTCACGTGTTGCAACTTGTGCCGGCGAAAATGCTTGATCGCTGACAAAAGCCGGGACAATGTAGCCACTCCTTTTACGAATGGAGTGAATAAACTAGTTAGAAGATGCGCGATTCTTTGACGATACATGAAATTGCACCGGCTCCAATGTAGCTAGGTGGAAACAGCCATTCTGTAATCGAACATATATTTCTGGGGGTAATCTGGAGAAACCTCCTTCGGATTCCGACTTCGACCTTACTCACAGTACATAACCAAGGCAACTAAGAAAAGGCGATACGGCTGACTCTTACATTTTTTTGGTTATAAATAAATCTTACATATCACCCCACAAGGTCATCATGAATCTCACTGTTTCTTGCTTTACCCTTTAATCGTGCCACAGCACTGAAAACCAACTCCATTCAATTCTCTAAGTATACCATCGTGCAAATGCTAATGGAAGTGGTGTCTCCCGGATATCTCATAGAATGTACCATGCGAGATATCTCAACAGCTATTTGTTATTTGATGGAAACAGAAAACCCTCTGCTTTCGTTCTTCACCCAAACTGTCTAATGTTCATTTCTCAGAAAATTGAAGTCATCCTTACCACTTACAGTTTTGCCTTGAGATCATTCTAAACGACGAACAGAGATTTCGTAGCTGATATTTTGATGATATCTATCAATATGACTATTGTTACAGGTCCTCTCATGACTTAAAACGGATGGCGAAATGACTAGTCTTACCATTCAAAAGATAAAGACACATTATATTGATTGCAGGACCATTTCATGACATGTCGCGAGACAGAGAAGGTAAAATGCAGCGTGTAACTAAGGTCAGCATGGAATCCGAAGAATGGTTTCTCTAAACTGGCATAAGCAGAAGGAGAAAACATTGAACGACGACGGAACGGAACGAAAGCAACAATCCGAAATGTTAGGAAAGAATCTAGGTTTCGGGCGGAATTTCGCAAGACGAACTCTAGAAAAACTAAGTTCGGTTTGTGTTGCATAGTATGCGAGAGAAACGTGGGGTCTTAGTGGAATAGATGAAGGTTAAGCGATTCAAAGGCACACTGGCAAGGAAGGCTTGAAGAAGGAAAAGTGGTGTTGTAGCGGAAAGTCCTGCTGCCTCAAATTTCATTCAATTAGTTGTGCGGCAAGCTTGGCAAGTGTTCGCGTAGAGTTGCTCGGCGTGCTCGTCCACCGCGCTGGTAAGAATTCGCGCGCGACGTGCGCGGCGAAGCGTCGACCAAGCGCGACTCCTGACGTCGAGCCGGTTAAACGAAGACAAGACGTGCTAAACACCACAGCGTTTTCTGCAATGGTTGCTCCCGCGCTCAAACATTGCGTGTCAGGACCTGAGCGCTTACGTTGAGGCGACAACCTATGTTGCTTTGTAGGGGTGAAATACTACATATCATAGATCATATCAGCTTGATGAAGCTACAAGAATAATGGATTAATCAAGTGTTTCAGCTAATACACATGACTTCATTCAGAAAATTGAGGGCTCAGCGCACATAATGTACGTAAATTTAGGCAGCAGTAAAGTAAGCACGAGAATCTAAATCTATACCATTTTTAGCCAAATAATCAACTAAAAATTTATATGCAAATTCTTTAATCAGCATTTTAAATATTAAATAACTAAATAAAATTAAAATGCAGTTGAATAAATTTTTCAGTAGGTACGACTTCGTGACTTTGGAGTGGAGTAAACTCTATCAAGTTAGGTTCAAGTATTGCCATGCAGAGTGCACTTCCTTGTTGTGGAAATGTTGTACTTGGAACAGACTATTTGCTCATACTACTCCAGCATAGGTATGTAGCTAATGTCATCCACATATCTGTAGAACATTTATCTGAAACCAATAGAGGGAGCTGAAACTCGTTTTCCTTTTGTCATCGGACAAGAACTGTTTGATGTAAGGCAGTTCATCAGACGGAGGGACTGAACGCGCGTGCGTTTGATCGAGATAATACCTGTTAAGAGAGAGATAGCAGACGATCAGAGCGATGGAAGTGCGTTCGATCTGAAAGACGCCGACAGGATCTGCCTCGTCCCGTCTCTGCATGCGATTCGTCCATAACATGTGTAATTAATAAAAGTCAGGTTAAAATGAACATTATTTCATCTTGGGTTGCTCTCTTGTAGATACTTTATATGGGGCGAGAAACGTTTTCCAGGAAAGAGGAGTTGGCTTCAGATACGCTTGTAAAGAAGCTTTTCCCGGAGCAGCATTTTTGATGAAAAATCGGAACCTCCGTGTGTGAACACCATAAGCGTTTTTCTTAGCGCTGCTAAATTCATGTAGAAATCAAAAATGTCTGTTAGGGTGTCAGTCAAAAGAGACCGTCTAGCTCCAACGCCATCAGTTTCTAAATGTAATTCCAAATGGATTTTTAGTCTATCGTAGGCAACTTACGCGCCTCTCTTTGTTTTTCGTTTCCCAACTTTTTGATGAGATTTTTTGGATACGTTGTAATACCGGAATCCAAAGCCTGCAAGATGTTACTTCAAATTAGCGAGGCCCAAAACTTCTCTCGCGCGATTGCCACTCACATTATTGGCGATTCATCGCATCCAAATCTTCTTCTTTTTCTGAAGAAATTCTGTATTTCTTGCTTCTCGAGTTGATTTGTTGGACTAAAGAGGTTGTATGCTACAACGTGCTTAAATCCGGAATTCCAGTGCTCTAAATGGTTTGCCTCGCCTCGGTGCTAATGCATGGTGAATAAGGGGAAAAATTAATTTTTACACTTCCATTTATGTGTCACGAATCTTACGACGTTATTCACCAACGTTCTTCCAAGAATGAGATGTTCCTTTTGTGTGTTCATCTGAAAGTAACTGTTCTACTCTTTTTTAAGTGTATGACGAAAATTAAGAAAGCAGCACACGCTTATCCTTCATTATTCGATAAATCAGGATCACTTTACAGTGCAAGTTATTCCGATAGATGTCATTGTCTCTCCACCCTCTCTAGTGGAGCAAAAAAAACACACATTGTTTGTTTTTTATAAGCTGATGATTAACTTGTTAACTGCACCACTTTCAAAATTTGGATCTCGGAATTTCATGAAAAAGGACAGCAATCACGGGACCCCTTTTCTATAAGACCCTTGCTTGCCGAACGAAGCTCATCCTACGATGTTTTGCAAGCTGAATGAATCATTGTTTCGTTTTTTCACGAAAGACATCTTCCCTGGGCCTCTAAAGTTCCTTCAGTTACAGTCGAGTAGATTTTTCGTTTAATATAGTGTGCTCGCACAGTTTATGAAATGCGGTAAAATTTGCGCGTGTACAGGTATATAGCTGCGCCAGCACTGCCGGTATTTTGCGCGCGCAGTTGGCCGGCGTTACAGTCGAAGCTATTTCCTCACGAGCAAATTTTACCGCATTTCATCTTCTGTGCAAGCACACATATTAAGCAGAAAATCTACTCGACCTCCTCCTTTTTGATTCTGAAAAAAAAAAAACTAGATAATCTCTATGAAGCTTGTGGAAAATTTCAAGACCTGTAATGAGTGTTCAACTGGTGCAAAGCCAGACAGCAAGCTGTCTATGACTGACTAATTTGTGAGCTGAAAATATCAAGAACATCGATTTGGCTCTAAAAGATTGCATGCAGGCTATTGACCTTATTTCCACTTTCTTATGAGTTTTTGCTATACTATTTACTCACATTCTTTTTGTGGATATATGCTTTATTCGTCAAGTTACATTTAGATTTGATTAGTATCACATTACCTTACAGCATGTCATCTGCGGGCCAAGAAACCATGCAAAGATGATGACGTCAAAATTTTATGTCTCCGTTGTGGGAATAAATTCAAATTTATATCTTGGAAAATTTGCCTATCGTTCTTTAAAAGATAAAACCATTGTTGACACTGCTTGCTAGCTGGCAGTACCTCGGTCCAACTGCACTTTTACTCAAAAAAGCTGTGATTTGTGAGCAGCAAACTCAGAACTTTGAAATATGCATGAAAAGATTGGTTCTAGGAAAGAATTTCTGTAATTTTGAAATATCTGTTGTATTAGGCCGTTGCAAAAGTATTGCCGCATTTTTTGATTGATTGTCAATCTGTCAGAATCAAGAGAAGGTTCTGGTTAATTTTTTTTTTCAAAATTGCAACTACTAGCACTATCCTAAACCATTTTTGAATTTGTTAGTTTGGTGTCAAAGATTAAGTAAAGTGCAGATAGAGCAAAACTAACGTGTACTTCTTTTTTCTCCCTGCCTGGTTTCGATTCCTCATTTCTTCGCAGAATTTTGCTTTTAGACTATTCCCTACTGCACCCGATACCTCAAACACCTATCAAAGATTTATGTGCCATTACCTACTATTCTTTTGGGCAAAATGTCAGTACTTTTTAAAAAAATGATTGTGCAGAGTCGCTGGGAGCTGATAAAGAAACCCTGTAAAAAAATGCTTGTCCTATTGGGGTTTGCTCTACCATTTGTTGTCTGTACTCGGGGAAGAGGGGGGGGGGGGGTACGGAAAATTTAGAAAGCGAAGCTTGATTAACGGCGAAAACCATGGGTTGTAGAGTTCACTGCTTTCAGTGACAGCTCGTTGGCGGCTAACATTGGCATTCGCGCGCATGAGCCATCATAGCGCCCGTACTCGGCAGCCGCGTTGCAAGCACGCTCGCGTGCGTTCAGCCTACAATGACCCGGGCGATCTCACGCAGTCGACTTTACCTAGCTTAAACACAGTTCTGTTGAATTTGTCTGTCTTCGACAAAATTAGGTTTCTAACAATGAAAATTTACACAGGAGAAAAAAATTACAACAAGGTAACAAGTAAAGGTTGCATCTCACTGTTACTTCATGAAAAACGGCCAAGGTGCGGAGCAGCCGTCCGCATACGTTGTTATATTAAGTTGATGCAAAAATAATGGCCATTTTTCCAGGCCTTTCTTTAGGCCAATCTTTTTCCATCAAAATATCTTCATCCAACCAGCTACGCATACCATTAGGAAGCTGTTTTCACGCTCTATTTAATGATGGCTGAGGTGGGCTTCCAGTCTCATCTGTTGAAAAGCTACAGAGCTTAAATGACCGCATCCAAAATCAGAATTTTATCGCATTTACTTTTGGCCAGAATTTAAGCGGAAGTGAACGGCGCATTTAATTACTTTATGAAAATTGTCTACGCTACGCATACTTGATTCTTTTCTTTGAAATTATCTAAACCGAGATATCGGCACCCCAATATAGCCAGCCATCGGTTATTGACATAGCGGTTATGACCCATAAATTTCTTTTGAAGAAGACAATTGCCAAATCTTTGTTCATTTCTGTAAGCGTATAGCTCGGCCATCCTGCTGACAATTTTTGCAGAAATATTCATCTGTCTAGTACGCAGAAAATCGGACTCTTCATAATTCCCGGCTTTGAGGCCTGCAGAAAAATGCTGGAAAAACTGACAATTTTACATTTTGATTTCTTTCCTTTTTGCAAATTTCCTTTATCCAAACTTTTTCCATCTTCTTTTGTCCTAATGATTTGCGGCTACAAGGTGAGCAATTTAATATTCATCTAACAAACTGTGAAGGAAGGTAGGATTTGTCAAAAACAAACAGGTAGGATTTGTGATAAACACGGTATTAGAAATTAAATGTTTTTGTTTTCAGTATGTATTTTCCTACCCGTTTGCGATGTGTGTATAGGTGAATGTGCACTGTACGCAAAAGGTTAGCTGCTCCTGATGGTTTTGATCGCATTTAAAAATTTCAGAAAGATTCAGAGAAAAATGAAAAATCGCAAAACGGCCATTATTTTTGCACTGACCCAACACAAACTCATTTGACCTCCAAAGTCCTCGACCGCCTCCATTTTTTTCAGGTAGGATACTCACTGCAATAGATGGACACTCGTTTGCTCAAAATGTACCGAGCTCAGAAATCATGCACTTAGCGGTGCTAGGATTTCTGCACCTCTTATCACAACCAAAGCAAGCATCTGACTTAAGGGCACCACTCGATATCAGCACTCCTCAATCACACCTCGTACCATCCAGTCATCGCCCATGCCTTTCAATGAGGCTTTGTAAGTCAATATTTCCATCTTATTCTTTCAAACTTCTGACAGTTCCTTCTTTTCAAAGTCGTCTATCACAAGCATCCATTTTAGCGATGATCCGGAATTCCAAAAGTCGAAATCTCCCTATCCAGATTTAGCGCATTTCGTGAAAACAGACGATCATGTTCACATATCCTGCTCAAGTCCAGTAAGTGCTATAGATTCTGTAATGAGAGTGATACGATAAAAGCTTGACTATTTTTCGATGTAAAAACCTTGAATATCCGGTCCCCTTATAGTGGCTACTACATGAAAATTCATGTTCTTGCACTTTACTGCATTTTCTTTCATGATTTTCAAAATCAAATATTCTGCAGGTAAATGAGAAAAGATAAATTGTAAGCTCTCGCTTTGATAAGGTGACCACTAAACAAATGGATCCCCGACTACCCGCCGCGTAGATCATCATATTGACGATTTTGACTGACACCACAAATAGAAGTCAAGCACTAATTCATCCTTCCCTAAATGTCCACAGAAATATTAGCTTTGCCTTGTTCAATCCTTTGGTCAGCATCAGCTTGAATACAAATGCTACCACCTACCTTTGCTTAGCTTTTAACTTTTTTCGCAGTTCATTCTGTCCCAAGGGCATGGAGATCACATAGAGCCAGATCTGGATCCCACATCGTTTTTATCCAACCGTTCACTTTTACGCTATCTTACGGCAGTTCAAAGCTTATGACTACTTCCTGTACCAAATACCCTAGCAATAGTGGCGGACCGAGGGTCGAGGGGAAGGGAAGGGTTGGGGCGTCGTGGTGATGGGCCTGCACTCTTTTGTGCCTCCCCCTCACCTCCCGGATGAGAATTATGAACCCCACTGCCTGGTACTTTTGATAATGAATAAACACCTTAATTTTCCTTGCATTCCCTGACAAGTGAAATTATCAACCCCGGAACTCATTCTTCTGTGAAAAACAAAAATGACTTCATACCTTTACATTACATCTACGCAACCTGAATCACATTAACCGTCTGTTATCTCCATCCCAAAAACAACAATTTTGATTATGGTTACCAGTTTTGGCTACACTTCCAAAACAAAAATTCTTGGGTCGTTTAAGATTTTTTGCAAATGTCCTGCTCCAACTCTTGCCTTTATGGAGAACTTGGAATATGATTCAAGAAAAATAAGCCAATATACCAGAATTCGAGAACAAGTTGAAAATGTTTGAAAAATAACTTCATCAATAAATTCCAATTAATGTTCAGTGGAGAATTCAAATTTATCGCAGTTTTTTTCTCGAAAATGAGCGATATTAAAAAGGTATGTAGCCGATTTTATTCATACTTGCTTACCACGAATTAGGAAAGAAGTTTTTTACTTATTTTTGGAAGTTTTGATATGTGTATATCTATAGTGATTATTTTCGCATTTCTAGGCTTTTCAGGACGGCGCTGTCGCAACATCGCCTCCCTCCTTGGAGCTATCTTGGCGAGGAATAACAGTTCATGTGGGTAGATCATTTTAACCTGTTATGATAGTGCCTTTCAAGTATAGATATCCTTAAGAAGTTGATTTTGACCCAACGTTTAGAACTTTTTCTCATCCGAACTCCCTCATTTTCAGGTCCAGGAGCAGCGGTCCCTATGGAAGCGCTGCTTCAGATCCTCCTCCTTTCCATCCTATCCTAGAACGATACTCAACAATGGTGAGCGCAAAATTTTGAAGGAAAGCGAAAAAAGGAAAGCATCAAACTTCAGTGCACGGTTTGGCAAAGCCGGGCGAATTGCTAGCCATAATGGGAGGAAGTGGAGCTGGCAAATCTTGTCTGTTGAATGTGCTTGCCCACAGAAATCTGAACAATCTACAGGTTCAGGGAACAGTAAGGGTATGTTTGTGAACTAGAAAATTTGCGTAACTCTGAGAAATATTATGCTTAGGTAAACCAACAAAAAGTCACAAAGGCTTTTATGCGAAATGCTTGTGCTTACGTTCAACAATATGATTGCTTTGTCGGATCGCTGACGGTCAAGGAACATCTAATGTTCAACGTAAGAAGTTTTTTTCTCGAGCTAATGGTGTACCGAAGGTATGTATATACGTTCATAACACGCAAAGACTGGGCATCGTTGCATTCGGCCGAGATAGTTCGTGCATGGCAGAGGCAGCAGATGGTAAGAAAAAACGAAAGAGCGCTCGATCAGAGAGACGCCGAAACGTCCGCAGTATTCGCGTGCTATGAATCGCCTATATGTCCCCGTATATATTTCTGTTCCCTCCCTCCATGTCTATTGCATTCCTCAAATTACCGTATTGAAGGCTATGATTGAGTATATTCACTTTTCACTGTATAACCACAGTAAAAAATTTTAACCTCATATCAATGAAGTCAAATTTTTGCTGTGTTTTGTTTGAGAACTTGAAGACCAGATACATTAACGTAGAAAAATACGTAAGCCTGCGATAAAAATCACTGTACACATGTTCGTTGGAATACTTACATAGTGAATATTGATTATAAGACGAAATCTAAAAATTTAATTTTCAGGCAATATTGAGGATGGGCAAGGGATATCGAACCGAAGCGCAGCTTAGAAAAGTCGAAGAAGTTATTGAAGATGTGAGTCTGCTTATGAATGTGTCAAATTGTACTGATCCCAAGTAGCGCTGCTGTGATAGATATCTGAAGGCACCATCTACCCAGATTCTCGATTTCCAGGTTCTCAAGTACCTGATTCCGAATATAAGGTTGAGAAACCGCGAAAACCCCGACAATCCCCGTTCCGGAGAACTCGCAGGCTTGCTTTTTGGAACGGTGATTGGCTGGCCCCGCACGGATGGGCGGGCATGGATGACGAGGGCGGTGCCGTCTAGTGGTCCTCGTGCATCTTCGTTATTCCAGAGCGATTTTCTCGCTTCCGAAGCCACAGTTTGCGACTTGGGCATTGGCTTGATAGGGGCTATTATCATATGCTGCCAAAAGCTCAAGACCCTCAACTTCGGGTGGACGGCCCTTTAACTAACTAGAAGATGACAAAAGAAGCGAGCCTAGATCCTATGAAAGGGAGGGTAATTCTGAACTTCACGATCTCTGTTTTAGCTCGGCTTAAGTGGTTGTGCAGACAGCTTGATAGGAACGCGGTCAATCAAGGGAATTTCTGGTGGTGAAAAGAAACGACTTGCCTTCGCTTCTGAGGTGCAAATTGAATATTTCTGATAGGCTTGAGTCAACATCCATTCAGATCTTGACTAGTCCTCCTATCTTACTATGTGACGAACCCACATCGGGGCTCGATTCGTTCCTCGCTTTCCAAGTCGTCCAGGTACGGACTTACAAACTTTACTTATATAGGTCTTGAGGTTACGGTATAGGTTCTCAAGAAACTCGCCGCCACTAAGTCGATGACCATCGTCTTTACCATACACCAACCTTCCAGCCAAGTTTACGAGCTTTTCGACAGGTAAGCACTGTGATGTCGAGCGCAAGATTGAAATCAAAGTTCTTGGATAAGATGCAACGATATGACTACAAATTTTGACAAATATTACTTTTGTAAAGGGAAATGCACGAAATGAAATGTGGTAGCAAGGAATGCTGCTCAATTCTGATATCTCCTCTCTCATCAACACTATGCTCCCCTCCCCTCCCCCTCCCTCTCCCCCTATACACTTAAGTACCTTTTGATTAAACTGGATTGGCGGCTGGAAGACGGGTTCGTGACCTAGTTAAGGCTAGGGAATGATCAGAGAGCGCGCGCGAGGGAGAGAGACGCCGACTGTGTCGCGGGCGCGAGCTGTCTCAAATAAGTCACAAAACCCCGCCTTCCAGCCACCAATCCAGTTGAATCTATGGTTACACCTCGTATGTCAACATCATATGTGCTGCCGAATACATTAAGAAATGGGAGACCGTTGAATATTGACAAACTTCGCCCTCATTGGCTCGCGCCCCGCCCACGTAATACGTTCATGTTCACCGCACGCAAAGATTCGGCACCGTTGCATCTAAATGAGATGGAAGGTTTGAGAGAAACCAGACGATCAGAGAAATGAAAGTGCGTTGGAAGTGAGAGGCGCAGACGGGGGCCGCTGTGGCGACCTGTCTCTGCGTGCGATGAATCGCCTATACATACTTGGGTGCAAATGCACGTCCATGTTCAGTTTCATGTGTAGCAGTAGTCAAAAATTATGGTGTACCCAACAATTTTTTTTGAACCTAATGTAGTCTTGTGATGTGATGCAGGAAACTTGCAGTGTTTATATGATGGCTGAAGGACGCTTAGCGTTTTATGGAACCCGAGAACAAGCAGCCGAATTCTGGACTGGGTTGGGTCGTCCACTACCTTGCAACTTCAACCCATCCGATCACTACATATCTTCTCTGGCTGACGAAAGTGGTACGAGGAAAAACACTGCTTCGGTAATTTAAACTAACTTAAATCTGTCCATCTCGATAGAAGATTCGTCTTTCAGGCCATATGCGACGCTTATGAATCGAGTACGCTTGGTTCAAATTTGCAAGCAGCGGTGAAACAGGGAGATTCTTTTCTTGGAAATCTCGCCAACTTGGAGAAAAATATCAAAACTCTTGATGAAAGTGCTTCTGACTCAAAGACATCAGCCAGGTTTCTTCCTCAATTTCTTTTTTTCTCAGAGTTTGTAAGTCTAGGGGGAGACACAGAAGTTTCTTCCCAATGATGGAGTGTGGTTGATCATTTTCTTTATGAAAAAAAGTAGGTGAAACTCTTCAGATTTTGCAAATTTGCAATCAAATCTTCAGTAGGCATAGTTTGCTTATGTGCATTGTCAAGTCAATTATCCACAAATGCAATTGTTTGCGAAATCTTTTGTCCATGTTTTTGATCATTAGCCATATCGGCATAAACTGGTGACAGGAGAGGGGGGGGGGGGGGGAGGGGAAGCGGGAGAGGGTCCTCCTCCCCTACATCTTATATATAAAGCTGAATGTCTGTTTGTATGTCTGTCTGTATGTATGTATGTATGTATGTACGTATGTTCCGAATAGAAAATTCCATTTCTGAACCGATCTGGACCAAACTTGGCACACATACACTACGGGGCCCGGCGGGTGTCATAGGCTACTTTTCGTCATCGATCGATATCGATTTTATCGATTTTTATCGATTTGTTTGCTGAGTTCACCTACGGGGCTGGGAGTTGGCACAGGGGGGTAATCGAGCATGGGGATTCCGAATACAATATTGGTTTTCAGGATTATCGATTACTTTTATCGATTTTATCGATTTTTTTGCAAAGTTTGAGCTACGGGGCTGGGAGTTCGCGCAGGGGGTAATCGAGCATGGGGATTCCGAATACAATATTGGTTTTCGGGATTATCGATTACTTTTATCGATTTTATCGATTTTTTGCAAAGTTTGAGCTAGGGGGCTGGGAGTTGGCACAGGGGGGTAATCGAGCATGCTGATCATCCCCAAGGGGGTGATCAGCATGCTCGATTACACCCCTGTGCCAAATTCCAGCCCCCTAGCTCAAATTTTGCAAAATCGATAAAATCGATAGAAGTAATGGATAATTCCAAAAACTAATATTGTATTCGTAATCTGCATGCTCGATTACCCCCCTTTGCAAACTCCCAGCCCCGCAGGTCAAACTTTACAAAAAAATTGATAAAATCGATAAAAGTAATGGACGATCCTGAAAACTAATATTGTGTTCGTAATCAGCATGCTCGATTACCCCCCTGTGCAAAATCCCAGCCTCGCATGTCAAAATTTACAAAAAATCGATAAAATCAATAAAAGTAACCGATAATTCTGAAAACTAATATTGTATTCGGAATCCCCATGCTCACTTCCCCCCTGTGCCAACTCCTAGCCCTGTAGGTGAACTCTGAGAAAAAATCGATAAAAATCGGTAAGATCGACATCGATCGATAACGAAAAGTGGACTGTGACACGCGCCGGGGCCCGAAGTGTATGTGTGCCAAGTTTGGTCCGGATACGGCGGAGCCGGGTAAGCCAGCTAGTGAGTTATAAAGATGTGGAAGTGACTCTATAACTGAAGATGATTGAATAAGTTTATTGAAAATTTCAAAAATTCAATTTAGCCTTGTATAAAACTGCGAAAAATTTGTGAAGCGTACCAAAAAATTTTTTTCGAATGCAGGTGCGTCAACCACGCGCATTCATTAAACGCAGCTTTTTCATGAATAAAGCCCTACAAAAATGAGAAAAAATCAATCATGGTTCTAAAGCGTGAATTTTTCTTACTTATAACGAAGTTTGCTTTCAGGGTGTACGTGACTAATGTTTTTATACATATGTATTGTTTCAAAATAAGAGTAGGCATTCTCAAAGAAACCAGTCCTTTGTGGAAGTAGATTCACCCTTTGATTCAATGCGATTGGCGGCTGGAACGCGGGCCTTTGAGGCCCAATCAAGGTCAGGGAATGATCGGAGAGCGCGCATAAACGACGAGAGAGACAGACGCAGGCTGCGTCGCGGATGCGAGCGGTCGCCTTCCAGCCGCCAAATCCGTTGAATCAAATTGTGGATTGTGAACTCAGAGCGAGTATCAGAATCGAGTTTGAATCATTTATACTAAGATTTGCGAAATCATAGGAACTTTGCTAATGTCGCGCCCACTTTTTTGGTCACTGAGTCTTACAGAACCCTAAAATAAGTTTTGAGGTTGGCGAATTGCTTTGGATTAGATACTCTCTTCTATCTAGAAAAAAAAATTGGAGGAACACCTTTATAAGTTTAAGAAGATGTTCAGAAGAACTCCCGCGCCAACTTAGGCATTTTATCACCCATATTTCTCTTGAAAATAAAGTCCAATGAAACTAAAGTCGAATTTTTCAGCTGTTTCAACCAGGTCCGTGTCCTTCTATGGAGGAATGTCATGACAATACTGCGCGAGCCAACTTTGCTCAAAGTTCAACTAACACAATCTATCGTAAGTATTCTGAATAACCAAACCATGTTCTGCGAAGAATGAAGTAACGTTTGGTTTCAGTTCATGTCTGCACTCACAGGGGTCATCTACCTGAATGACTCCTATACGCAAGAAAAGGTAGCGAATATCAATGGATCGTTGTTTCAAATGGTCTCAACCATGGCATTTATGTTTCAATTCAGTGTTGTGCATGTAAGTAGAAATCAGAATTGGCAAACACTCAGTCAACAAGATTTTTCCAGCATTTCTGTTCTGAAATTCATACTTTCTTCCGTGAGTATGGTTCAGGACTCTACAACGTGAGCTCCTACTTTATAGCCAAAAATCTAGCAGAAGTCTGTTTGTCTATGATCCATAAAGCATCCCTTCGTACTTGAAAATTATAGCTGCCAAATTTCACCTTATCTGCTTTACTCTTCGGGACCATTCTGTATTGGATGTCACGGTTGACGCCGCTTTGGGACACTTTCCTTTTCTATCTGCTAGTGGCTGTACTCGTTCAGAATACAACTATTTCAATCGGTGAGTTAGGTGAAAAAGCAATGATTACGAGGAAATGAAACGATTGAAGAGTGGAATTGACATGATGGCCCATTGCTGGCCTAGAAATTCGCCCCAAACTCTCGCCCAGGATCGTAATCTAGGTCAATTAGCGTCCTAAAGTACGGTAGTGGGCGAAAGTTTGTATCAGATTCTATTTAAGTAACAAAATAACTGGGCTTCACAAGTTTTCTCTAGGATATGCTGCTGGCTGCATATTCGGCACGATGTCCACGGCCGTGGCAGTACTCCCAATTTTTGTCACACCCATGTTGGCTTTCGGAGGTATGCTGATATAGCCTTTCTTATTCAACATAAAATGAGTATTTTTAGGTTACTTTATCAACCAAGCAACTCTTCCATGGTTCTTCTATCCGTTCAAATACCTCTCATACTTTGGCTACGCGTTCGAAAGTTTAGTAGTCAATGAGTGGAGCCACGTCGATGCTATATCAGGTAATTACGATTGGAAGAAGAACGAATTTCGCCGAAAATTCACCTTCGCGGACTACTAGTACTCACCGCATACGCTAAAGCATATCGCACGAGGAACAGTAGTCCGCGAAGGCGGAGCCTGTCGGCAATATTAGCCTTTTAGATTCCAAATTAGATATATTTGACAAGTTAAGATTTTGTCCATTTGAGGCTGCACAAGGCCGCATGGAGTAGGCTGTTACCACAATGGTACTGATGTGATCAACAGGCTCAGCTTCTCTTCAGACAAGATGTGGTTCAATGTCATCATTCTCGGTGTGATAATAATCGCTTTCCGTTCTATAGCTTTTCTAGGCCTATTTACAAGAGCAAAACTAAGAAAATAAATTGGATACTGAGTTTTGAGGTAGAGCAAGTTTAGAAGTTAGATATTGGGACTATTAGAGTAAGTTTTTGTGATAGAAAACTGCGGCTACTCTTGCAAAAATCAACACTAATAGTTAAGTCTTGACTGGTGATCAACTCGGCAGTATGCAGTCCGTGAGAAGGATTGAGAACATCATCTGATAGGGACAGTCGAGTAAATTTTCCGCTCAATATAGTGTGCTTGTGGCGCCGAGAAAATGCGGTGAAATTTGCGCGTGAACAAATACAGGGCTCCTCAATTACGGAGTCGCTTACACCAGCAGCTCCCGCCCCGCACGGCCGCATCGCCTAAACCTTGCGCCACGTCTACGATGCGTCACCCGCGCATTTTGCCAGGCCTCGATCGATGGCGCCGGCGCTGGCATTGTATTTTTTCGGCCGTTTGTCTCTCTTCTCCGTTCTTTCGCTCACTTTGCCCTCAACCAACCTTATCACGTTGACGACGGTGTCGCGCAATGGTGCGCGACAGGCAGTCTGTCCCTGTGGACGATGTCGCGCAATGGTGCGCGACACCCTAAACATCAGTTTTAATGTGCACTATGGTCCCAATTTGTGTTCATATAATCAAGTTAGGCTCGAAAGTATTTCATGTTGGCCCCGCCCCCTTTTTAGCAAACTCCGCCCACTCTATTGCCCTCTACAAAAAACTTTTTTCGTTCTCAAATCGCATAGAAAAGCTCATAGATGACAGGGGAACCTCAAATAATCTTAATTTTGACCCCGCCCCCTGTAATGCAGGCTGCACCCCCTCGGTGGCAAGCTCCGCCCACTCTATTGCCCTCTACAAAAAACTTTTTTCGTTCTCAAATCGCATAGAAAAGCTCATAGATGACAGGGGAACCTCAAATAATCTTAATTTTGACCCCGCCCCCTGTAATGCAGGTTGCACCCCCTCGGTGGCAAGCTCCGCCCACTTTTCAAAAATGCCGGAATTTGCACGAATTCATTGATTTTGAGCAATTTCCAGCATTTTTGAGAAGTGGGCGCGGGGCTTGCCAAAAGTGGGCGGAACTGCCCCGCCCGCTTGCATTTGTGTATCTCACGCATAGATGCATGCATATATATGTGCAGCCGGCTGTGAAAATGCCCGGGAACGGTTCGTCCACAGGGACAGACCTTCAAAAAATGGCTCGTCGTCAACGTGTCATAATAATTTTGCGATGTCATGTTATGCCGTCAATCTTCGTTACAGTTCTTTTGTGTACCTAGCTGATATTTTAGATTTTGGCTTGACATAGATGGGATTTTCTCGTTCACTTTATCTCGATTCTTCGTTCTTTCGCGCTGTGGTCCCTTAGAATGTTTTATCGTAGTTCTGTGATAAAGAAATATGCCGAAATGCACCGCAACAGTTTTTTTCTTGACTTATGGTATTTGTAGGATTCCTAGCTCCTGTTCTTCTTGCCATGCAAATGTAGGAGTTGTATGTTTGTCTCCTGGGAGAAACCACAGCGCGAAAAAACGAAGAATCGAGATAAAGTGAACGAGAAAATACCACCTCTGTCAAGCCAAAATCCTAAAACATCAGCTAGGTGCACGAAAGAACTGTGACGCAGATTGTCGGCATGAGTGACATTGCAAAATTATCATGAGGCTAGTCGAGGGCAAAGTGAGCGAAAGAACGAGGAAAAGAGACGAAACGGCCGAGAAAATGCGGTGCCAGCGCCGGCGCCATCGATCGAGGCCTGGCAGAATGCCGGGTTACGCATCGCAGACGCGGCGCAGGGCGTGCGGGGCGGGAGCTGCTGGTGTTAGCGACTCTCTAGTTGAGGAGCCCTGTAGCTATGCCTGTAATGCCAGCCACCTGCGCGCGCAAAATGCCGGCATTACTGGCTTGACCAATACACGCAAATTTCACCGCACTTTTACGGCACCGTAAGCACACTATATTCAACGGAAGATCTACTCAACTTTAGAAGTGAAAAACGAATCTCTATCCATCTAGACTCTATTCACGTTCAAAAAAAAAGAAGAGCATTCTCTTCTGAGACATAAAACAGTCCGGAAAGTAGAGCAGTCGATCTTCTTTTTACATTGAAACAAGAAGCTAACTTACTATCCTCAGAAAAATCTAATAAACTCGGTTTTCTACTCGTGGTTAGTCATTATCCATCCTTGTCGCGGTGAGGTCTCGTTGTAGGGGGTAAGGTTAGCTTTCGACAGTAGTTTCGCCTAATCCGTAACAACGCTATTTACTGCAGATGATAACCGCTGGTTTTACAGTTCGCATCTACTTTTGAAGAGGGTCACATAACATTTACAAAATGTTTTTTAAATTTCTTTGCAAATGACATTCTTAGTATAAGAAAACAACAACAGTGACTTCCTTCACACATCACATCCACAAACAATATACAAGAATTTTGCGAGCAAATGCCTCGACTGACAAAATGAAAGTTATTAATTTATTAAATATCCGTATAGAGCGATTTTTCTTGAACGACAAGAGCAGAAGTGCCGCAAATTTTGACCACTTTGTAAATCAGCGGCTCCCGTTACTTCCAAAGGCCTATGTTCTAGTGTTTTTCACCGACGATGTTGAACTAAATGCATTAGATTGGAGAAAGTATCAAACTTTAAAACTCACTGTAAAATTTGTAACAAAATGTAAACTCACTGTTTAATCCTGGAGGTGGTTCACGGAAATGTACTTTAAACCAGGCCAGAAGCTGATCAAGAGAGGGGAAGAACTTCTGTCGGAACTTTAGCCCTTCACTGGTCACTGAATCAAAAATGTGACTGAGCAATTCAACAAAGGGGAATAGGATGCTGTACCTGATATGTATTCATGACATGGTTTTATCCTTGCCAGATAGGAGAGCACAAACTTCGCTGGATACGTTCGCGATGCAGTCAATGTGTACCTGCAAGATTATACTCGAAAAGCGTATAACAAGAATGCATCGGCTTACGGTATTCGGGAAGGAGAGGCTCTTTTCTCATCGCGTAGCTTTTGTTCAACTTTGTCCCGCTCCTCAGAGAACGTGCCATCCATATAATACTGAAGATACAGATACATGAGTTTGAAAGCCCAAAATGGGGCAACAAAAGCAAACCTTATGTGACATTACGTCTCTGCAAAGATCCGCCATTGGATAAAGAAATCGCGCTATAGCTTCATCAAGGTCGTCAAACTCCTCTCCCCTTGAAGTACAATTTCTCAATGATGAGTAATGAATTGAAAACAAACTGACTTACAAGATAGTGAGGCGGCGACCAAGTTCGCTAGGATCATCCTTATCATGTTCTTCAACATCGATATTACCGACGACACCATCCGTCACTTTCCACGAAATTGTCAATCGATTATTTGATTTCGCCGAAGGTCGAATGACAATGTCACCCTGTAACTTCTAACTGATGAGCTTGGTAGAATTTATGTTGATCTTAAGACTGATGGCTAAACTTGCTCTTCAACTGACAAATGACGATCTGTCACAGTTTATGGGAAGTTCATGTAAGAGGGTAGCCCCCTATCATCCCACATTTCATGTAATCACCATTATTCTGGACTTCCCAGGCATGTCTTCATTTCTGAGCAATACAATAACCTTACAAATTTTGCAACAGACTAATAGGCTCAGCCTGGAATAACGGAAAGCCACTACTTAGGGATAACTAACTCAAAACGCACAAAATTACCACCGCTAGGGTTATCGATGGACTTTCTACGCCTCTTTTCAATTCCGAACAACAGGAAAATGGTGAAGGTTTCTCCTAGTGTGCAAAGTTTATGTTATGCTGCAGCGTAGGTGTTTGCAAAATAGGTCTAAGGACATACGGTGCATACTGATAAGGCAAACCGAAAAAATCGCTACGAAGACATTAGAGAAAAACAGTTTAATGTCAATATAAACACATGTAAAAGGAAGAGAAAGAGAAGTGACGTAAACTAACCGTATCTTTACTGCCAAGCATCCTTTGTGCTTCGCGGTAACTCACATTGTGGAACTGTGGGTGTACGATTTGCCGATGAGTAAAGTTGGCTTCAGCCTGCAGTGATTTCAACATAAATCGCTGCATATCTATCAAAAAGCATTACCTTGTGTATCTTTGTCGTACGGTCCTTCTCCAGATCCTCTTTCTCGGCTTCATAATCCCAAAATTTATCGTGCTCGGTAACAGGCTCCTTATTGAGGTCGGACGATCGGCATGACAAAAGACAAGAGAACTTTTCTGGCTCTATCTTGATGATGCGGCAATAAATTGGCTGATTCATCTATAATCTGAAGTATGAAGGAGGTAACCACATTGAGAACTAACAAACCTTGACTCGTTCCAAAGGATTCTTGAAAGATTCAGGTCTGTCAGATATCATTTTGTTCGGAATGAAACCGCTGATACCATTATCAAGCCTAACACGAATGCCAACAGGAATACCAGGACATCCGCCTTTTCGCGCGTCCTGTAACAGTGGAAGGCAATGGCGGATCCAGTGCAATTTGGAATTCTTACTCTTATCTGGAGATGTTCGTATAGCCTATTTGAAATGATTGGCATCCTACAGAACGAGCATTCCCAATACTCAGACTCTTGTATGCGTTGCTAAATAAAGAAGATAGTCTATTCAGAAGTATTAGGCTCTCAAGCTAGAGCTCACCATGTGTTCGTGACCAGAGATGTATGATTGTCTTTGCTCTTCCGGAATTTTCTTGAATTGAACTCCTGTAACAACGCCGCAGACTCTTTTCTCTTCCTCCAAAGTTGCCTTGGATTCTTTCGTCAAAAGTGTAAACAACTCCTAAAAAAACGATTATGAGACAAAAAAGTTATAGCGTCATAGACGCAGACCTGGTCGCTTAGTGGTATAAATGGTCTGCGCTGGTCCTTATACCTATGATTCAACTCCGCTGAGATATCGTATAAAGTGGCTTTCTTCTCACCAAAACCCTAAAACAAGATTCACTAGCTCTGTGCCCTCGGAAAAAAGAACTGCAGGACAAACCCACAAAAACTGTAACTTAAATAATGCAGGAAAGATAACGAATGCTACTTTCAAAGCAAGAAAAAACATACTTGTCTCTTCAGTTCCTCAGCGAAAGCATCAAGATCGAGATCTTTTAGACGATCTGGGGCTTGCAGAATCTCCTCTAAGGCAGTGGTAGGATCTGCTGAATCGTCCACCTGCAGAGAAAATTGGAGATGGGGAGATAATACAACCGAATGCACTTGAACATACCTCTAGTGCGTCAACAGCCATCTTTCTTGCCCATTCATAAGTTTCAGGATGAACACGAGACCCATCTAGCACTTCCACATATGCGTCAGTTTTCTCAGCAACCTAGTAGTCAAGCAAGATACATAACTCCGAATAATTTCGAAAACAACATTTTACCCTAGTTGTATCAATCTTGATGAAGCCCGCGCAGTTCATGAACACCTTCGGACCCATGCGACACAGGGTCACAAGTTTTGTACGACTTTCCAGAAGATGGTCGTGCTGTTTGAGCATTTTCAGAAGATGTGTCGCTTTTCGTGGCCCAAGACCACAGACAAACTGGAGGACATTCGCAGTATGTGGATGTTCCAGACACCTTCAAACCGAAATCATATTTCAAAGAAAAGACATGAAGAAGATATCTAACTGCGAACTCACCGATTTACATCGACTCCCACCTCATTGACCCGATTGATGAGTTCTCGAGCAAGCACATTACTCAGTTCTTCCTGAATTTCAAATTCAAATTAGGTGATTTTGGATGTCTGTGGCTCTGTTACCTTGCTTATTTCACTTTGCAAAGGATGGAAATTTAGGCAAAAAACATCTTCATCAGCGTTCCACAGATGTGCATACTCCCATAATGGGTCCAACATGAGTCGCGCTAGCGAAATGGCTTGGAGGAGTGTTGGTGGATAACCGGAATGCTCAGTCTAGACATTGAGTTTAAGTAACTATTGTAAACATGCTATACAAGATGAATTTAAAAAAACTTAATCGCACGGAAAATCCAAACAAAATTTGTACAATTACGATCTTACCATGGCACTTTTTGACAGCATAAATACTTTTGCAGCTTCATTGTCCATGATATATACGGGAGGCGCTCTAGTAAGCTCGCTTTCGGCTACCATGCTATTCAAACACTCTTCTACATCTCTCCGGAGACGAATGGCATCCAAATTTTCGCCACATAGAGCTATCACATGAGGACGTCGACGTTCCACGAACTTTTTGAAAAAGGCCATAGACTCAGACTGTAATCACAATAATCACGATACATGCTCCGATGGTAACTAGCCAGATTATAGGATACCTTCAATTGCGCTTGAGGACCAAATCCTCCTCGCTTGGTGAAATGAACCATTCTGCAGTAATCTATGACAGCCCCGTCCTGATCCACTAGCACTCCAAAAGAGGCCTCATCCATATCAGTTGAGTAGGCAATTCCCATGACCCGTACTTCTCCCTGTACAGCCAATGATATGAACTGTGAGGATGAAAGCAGAAGAACAACCGACTTGTCGACTGAAGTCTTCGTCTTCATCTTCCATTTGCTCTTCAGATGGATGGAAAGCTGCTGGTTCTAACCGTGCATACATAGCTCTGCCACACTTCTAACATGGAGAAAATTACCAGTTGCATATAAAACAGGGCATCTCAAAACTTACATATAGCACACTATTTTTGGCTTCATCTACAAGTTTTTGCTCCATTTCGCCTTCCAAATATGGGAGAAGCATCTCATCTATAGCCATTCTTGTTGCTTTTTCACGGATCGAGTTCCACTCTTCCACTATTTCAGAGTACTCGTCCTGGAAATGTACATTTTATGCTTGTCTAAAAAACTTGCATGGGAACTGTGAATGAGAGGAACTTACCACCCGGTAGGGTTGCTCAGTGAGGACAGCGTCTGATAAAACTCGCACGACCTCGTCGTTGGGAGTGTGCTTCTCAAACACAAACTTCACGTCGAGATGTTCTGCTTTCTTAGCCTGGTGAAGATACAGGAATTCCTCTTCTTCAAGCAGAGACACAGGTTTCCCTTTGATGTACCTGTAACCAAATAGATAGATAGTATAAAAAACCCAAAAAAAAAGAGAAACAAACAGCAAAACAGTCAGCAAACAATTACCTGTTCTTCCACACAGGGCTAGCTTCATCTAGATGTTCGCGACCTTTCTGCGTTGGTCGCACATATAATTTTGCGTGTTCTCGATACGTTTGACGTATCCTCTCACGCGCCTAAAACTCATGCTAACTGACTTATCTACTACGTATTTATACCTCATACTTGTGCTGGTGATGTTATCGATTACAGAAATAAATGAAAAAAGATTTAAAACTTACTGCAGGCTCGCGACTGAGCTCTCTGGCCATCATATAGATAGCACCGGCAATCACAGCTTCAGGAGTTGGGAAGGAAGAATTAGTGTAGTCAGCAGCGGCAACTTTTGGTGCCACCTAGGATATCAAAAATCAAAGGATAGTTGAGAAAATAAAGGAGAAAACCCAGACCAAGCTAAACCCGGGGAATTAAATAGCAGAAGAAAACATACCGGATCCTGTTCTACGTCATGTTTCTTCCAATCCAAGTTTTCCGCGAGCTGACGAGCAGTAATTCCAAAACGTGACACCATGCCACCAATGCCGTTATCAACGCACAACTGAAATCTCATGAAACTGTGTAGGAGCTGACTGAAGACGAGTAAAATTGTCAAAAAATGTGCAGGTTTATGGGTTTCTATTATAACCTCGTACATACCTTCCGAAGTGTGTACATTGATTCTTGGTAAAAAAAAAGAAGAACAAGAGCTAAAATTTATCTGAGTTTTGATTTTACCTGATAGCTATCATTTCGGGTACTCTGTCTGAATCTCGAGCCATGAACATTGGTACCATCGCCACCTTCATCAATGTCCTTAACAACAAATATTCATCGGGCTCAATCGCTAACTCGTACGCCTAGTACCTTTTGCGCAGCCTCCCAATCCAACATTCGATTCACTTCAGCTCCGTAATACAAGTGGAACTGGGCTGATAGATCGCTTACAGCATCTATAGAATCGGCATTCTGAACTCTGAAAAAAGTCGGTAGGTATGTCCTGAACAGCAGCAAAGTCAAGGCAAAGTTACTCGATTATGTCGACGTCTGAGATGGTACGGCGAAAATTTTGCATTGATTCGGTCTGGTAATACTGCATACGTTTCATCAATTCGACTAGCTGGAATAGTTTACTATGTGCGGAGCTCAGTGCATGACCAAGTTGGATTGGAGTTACCTTCTTTTTTCTATGTTGCAAATGGCACCATTTCTCGTCCCATTCGTACACTTTCCAAAGGTCATTGATTGGAAGCACAGTGCTCACCAACTCTTTTCGATAAAAAGCAATGAACGGGACCTTGAAAGGGGAAATATGAGAAACTGTAGGTGAATGATACTCAATGTACTTCGAACAGTTGATTCCGCATAAACTTCAGAGCTTCTTTTATAGTTTCTCTAGCTTCGTCCTCACACTGCGACCTATCGTTTCCTCGATAATCGGCCACATACGCCAAAAGATTGGACTTCTGTAAAAACAGGATACAATTATAGTGAAGGTCCAACACTTAACAGCCATACTTGAGTGGAAATGGATGTTGAGCAGAAAGCATGGTAGTATATCCACTTTGACTCCTGCTCTAACTCCATATCATCCGCTTCAGTGACAGGAGATTTCCGCAATTGAAATCTGCATCGGTAATCATAGAAATAAAAAGATGGAACAGCGCTTATGACTCTACCTCTCTGGTTTATCCTCAAGCTGGATTTTCTTGTCTGCTGGCGCCATGAAACCTCTTTCTAATTCCGATGGCTCCATTGTATCCAGAAGAGTACTAGTCTTCTCTTTCGCTCGCACTCGGCGTACCTTGAATACGTACATAAACTCTATAGAAAGCGATATAGAAACTACGTACTCTTCCTTCGCCTTCTCCCTCGTCATCCATGAGATCTTCTTGGTCTTCATCGTCATCCTCGATGGGCTCTTCATCTTCATCGTAAAATTCGTCAAAATTGAAGTCCTCAACACCAAAAACGTCGCGCGCTTCATCCAAAGCACTGAACACATAAGGCTAGGCTATCAAATGATGCTCACGGTTTGCAGTGTAGCAAGTGAAAGGTTAACCTACCCTTCAGGCATATTTCCATCCCTTCGCCTGTGATGACGATGACCATGTCGCCCGCCATCTTCATTAACAATGAAGTTATCCTCTAAAAATTGGGTTTGCCGTATTGTATTTACCCTCAATGAAAAAAGCGATATTCGATTTCCTCAGAAAAAAATTTCATCGTCAAAATTAGGTATAGAGTCTCACACTCCGCAATCATCGACGAAGATGGAGAAAGGATAAAGAAAATATGCAAGTGAAAAATGTGAAAAACAATACCGCTTTGCTCGGAGTCTGAATATCGTTCCCTGTCAGAATCTTCGCCGCTTAGATCTCCTCTTCGCGGGCTCGAGGGGCCTTCTCCATCATCTCCCTGAGGTACACTTGTAAAAAATCATAAAGAGTACATATAAGTGAAAAAGCAAACCTCGCCAAACAGTTTCTTTTGGATGGCTGTTCGATCGTCAACATCCTCATCAGAATCTTCTGGTTGTATGATTCGCTGCTTTTTTTCTTTTCTATTTCCCAGATTTTCCTGTATGGAACAATATTTTGAGTGTACTAGGAAAGACAGCAATGTTATCTTACTTGTATCAAATCTATATCATCATCATCCAGCTCGTCCTCTTCATCTTCAAGTTTTTCTGACTTTTCTGATTTGTCGTCATCAGCATCTTCCTAAAAACTTGCTTGACCACACATATAGAAAAATTTAGTTCACAACAACAACCTCTTCTTCCTCTTCATCAGCAATGAATCCTTTCATCTCTTCAGCACCTTGCTCGTCATCGTCTTCTTCTTCATCTTCATCACTACAATTACAGATTTTCATCAGAAAAATTCACACGTATGATATACTGGGAGCAAAGCAAGCCATCATCAAAAGTGATAATCTTATGCGAAACAAGCGACAGCGGTTCTATAGGCCAAAGTGAAAATCTAGTAAATTCTTCCAAGAGATGTAAAAACAAGGCATGCTGAGGTGATAAGGCGCACCTCTAAACCTCACTGACAGTGATCGCAAAAGCATTTTCATGCAGATATGTATGATGTAGGTCTTATTCCCCACTACACAGGATGTCTCAAAAAAAAATGTGCACAGTGTTTCGTTAATAATTTTCTTGCTTTGATTTCTTTCGTCAATCAGGTACCATTCTGTAAAGCGAGATTCAACTTAGATTTGCAGTATAGAGCGAATCATCAATGGCTCTTCATTACTGTGGGATTACGGTAGAAAATTCGACAAGGATTTGAGGCCATTGAAGGCCATATTCTGCCACGGAACAAAAAAGCAGAATCTTATACTACATAATGGAAGTTACTGATTTCGAATATGAAATACGATCTCCTCTTATACGGGTGATCATGGCTCCAAAAACCACTGTATCACGGCTGATGAAGGCGAGGATGCCGACGTCAGCCATCAATAAAAAGATCATACCTTCTTGGCTTATCTACAACAAAAATCAATACTGAAATATGAATATTTCCACTTTACCGCTTTTCTCCTAAGTTGTCCCAGGTAAACCTTAATAACTGAATTCACAGCATTTGTCAGAAATGTGATTACACAGTTAAAAAAGCTGAAAACACTCGTAAAAAATTGTGTATTGGAATTGGCGTGGACGAAAACCCTAGCACACGATTTTTCAGATTTTTTGAAAAAGATTTTGTCAAATGGCATATTTCACAATGATTCCATATGCTGGAACTTCCTACCGTGATTTTACAGTAATGAAGTGCTATCGGTGATTCGCTTCGTACCGTAAATTAAGCTGAACCTTGCTCTACACAATGGTACCTGGAGGTCAACGAAAGACATCAAAGCAAGAAAGTTATTAAAGATCAAGCAGTGTGCACATTTATTGGGACACCCTGTATAGGATTCATCCAAACAGTGGTTTCTCATCAGTTATTTTACTCGATACTGTAGCCTACGATAGTAATCACAGATGTGTACGTACTAATATAACAGATGATGCGCATCAGTTTGAAAACACAGAATTGATAAATTTCTACTTACTCGCTTTCAACAACGCGTTTGCTCTTTTTCTTCTTCTCTTTTTGTATTTTTCTCTTCTTAGCTTTAGGCTGGTCTTGCTCTGTCGATGATGTGGATGATGAGGATTCTTCGCCTTCTGATTCCTCTGCTTGTCGTTCAATATAATCCATAAATCTGGGAAAAGACTGCAAAAACTATAATCACGATTGTGAGAGCCACAAAAGCGAAAACTCAAGAGAAGCCTATATATTTTCTGAGAAATGAGGAAACGCACAAACCATCACCACTTTGAATATTTAAAAAAAGGCTTTTGAATGAACTAAGGAGCATGCAGGGATAGAAGAACGAGAGAAGGACCTTATATGAAAGCGGAAGCGGAAAAAAAACGAAAGGTAGACGCTTGGCTCAACGCCAAGCGTCGACGCGCTATTGCGGATATTGTGCAAAAGCGCGTAACTGTAGGTCTTGTGTCCGAAAGGTCGTCGTGACACTTTGATGGGTGAGAAGTCGTTTATAAAAGTCTTAGAGAACAAAAAGTTAGTTTAGTCACATACTCTGAAGTATTAAGTTGCAGGCCATAATGGTGAAGATTAAGAAGAAAGCGGTCCGCTTATAGTCATGTGGACAGTAAACCCACAACTCAACTCGGAATGATATTGTTGCTACCGGATTCAAAAGAACCAAAGCCATTCTTCTCTCCAATTTCAAGATCTCCGAAACGCGACAATCTCCTATTCACCCAAAAGGATGGTCAGTCGAAGTACTCCTTGCATGGTGTTCAGCTTACCGCACGAGACCAAAACATGTAACCCCCATCAAAGTTGTGAATTGATACACAGGATGCTCAATAATACGTAGACAATATTCGATCGCTAATTTTCCTCCCATACCTTTTGCCGAACTTAGATACTATTCTGCAGTCCTGCTTCAACATAGATCTACAGTATGGAGCAATTCACCGATCGCTCTTCACTATTGTGAGAAGACCTTGGAAGAACTGAAGAGGGTTTTGGAACAGCGGGGACCATATTTTGCCTGAGAAAAGAAATCAAAAACCGAAAGCGCATATGTCAGGGTATTCAAAGTTACTGGAAGTCCAAAGTTTCTCAAAATGTGATTGCATGTCAAAAAAGCTCGAAAAGTAAGTGAAAATTGTGTGATGAAATCAGCATACGTGAAACTGCTAAATATATTTTTAGATTTTTTTTAGAGAAGTTCTTTCAAAAAACCGATTTTGTAGGCTATATGTGCTAGATAGAGTTTCCTACCGTAATCCCGCAATAATAGGAGTTATGCAATGGTGATCCACATTTTTCCTGCAGGTGTAAGCTGGAGCGAGCTCTACGGGATGGTACCCCAACGATTGGCGAATAATTCTATCAAATAAGATCCTGTTTCGCCTCTACCCCTAGACAGGGAACTGCATAGGACCACTCCCGAGGTTCATCAGTAGGGAGGAGTGAGCTGGAGAAATAATAGTGATAGCGTATAGCGGAAGTACCTTTTACACCTGTGGAGTAGCTCAGATAGATCAAAGGCTAGGCCGGGAAATCAGATCATGCTGGTTACGGTATTGTAAACAAATTTTTCAACATTTCTGAAATTACTTAATTGATCGTACTTGTATGTACTACATTTTTTGAGAGTAATGCATTTGAAAATTCCTAGTTGTACAAAATTCATTGTGTGAAGAGAGATGCGAAAAGTGTGTATATTAGATATCTTTGAAACACTCTGTATATGCTGTGAACATCGAATTCTCAATATTCGATGCTTAGCGGGTTTTCGCGTGGTCAATGCTCATCAAATTTTTGAATATTCGATGCTCATCGATTATTCGAATAGTCGATGAACATCTATGTAGAATGTTCGAAAGTTGAAATAGATTTTCGAATATTCGACTTTCGAATAACGTTCGAAAACTTAGATTTTCAAATATTCGAATTTTCGAAGCATTCGCATTCGAATGGTTTTAACAATCATTTGATTGGGTCCAAAGTATATTGGACAGATCTAGTTTTCGCGGTTAGCAGACCAGATCTTATCTACAAGCGAAATGTCAAAAAGTCGAGTTTTTCGATTTTTCGTGGTTTCACGCTTCGAGCTCTCTCCGGGGTTTTCGCTGAATTATTGAAAACCTTGAACGTACCGGAAACCTTGCCAGTAGTGATTTTCAAGCTGTTTACGAAAAGCGTTGACACATCTCGAACGCGAACTCGCGCGAAGCACGCAAACCGCAGCCTTTTAACTTCCCTCAGATTGCTTAAAATATGCATCCGAAAAAAAGCGTTCCAGCTTGTCAAGGCGAATCTTGTGATATACTGCACTATGCCAATGGAAATGTCTCTGTCGGGTATCAATAACAACTCGCTGGAGAGCTTTTCGAAAAGAGAAAGAAGGGTAGGCAAATTTTGAGAATTGTTCACCCGAGTTTTGCTTGCTGTAACCCCATAGTAAAACGCTAAATTGCAAAGCAGATGTTTTTTTTCGCAATTCGCAGGTTTTGATACTGATCCTTCAATTTTTTCTAGTTCTAAAGCCCAAGGCTCGCCAACGGTTTGGCAAAAATATATATGATCTTGAGGTGAACGGAAACTTGGATTATAGAGGTTTACTGGCCCACTGCTTATGAGTATTGTGCTCTTTGTGCATTGTGAGTCCTTTTAGCAGAGTATACAGGGGAGAAATGTTGCGATACCACAAAGTCGTGATTTCGCCCGCACTTCTCGTGCACCTGATGGACAGCTTACCTGGCTGTCTATTTTTGCAAGTCGAGGTCTCCAGAGACAGAGAGTTCGGCAATTTGGCGAACTCCTGCGAGAACTAAGCCGAAGTCCACTGGAGTTCGGCAACTTTTTTGTTGGATTATGAGCGGTATTGCGTATTTGCATGTGGTTGAATATCGTGATAGTGTGTGCTCCTTAACCTTGGACCAAACATGAGAGAGCGAGTTTGTGAGCGCTTTGCGTGAGTATGAGTCAGCTTCCCCATTCTCTAGTGTAGCTGACTCATGGAGTTAGAGGGCGTGTCAAAATGCGAAGAGAAGAACCGACAGTGGCCGCAGCTGGCGACCCCTACTCCGGCTACGTCGACCGTCTGCCAGCCATCTCTGCAACCCTCGCCCCCCCCCCCCCCCCCCACACACACACACAGATCCCTTTGCTCATCGTGTTCATATAGTGCAATCTGCTTAATTTTTGATAAATCGTTGTTGATCTACAACTGTTCAATATTGGATCTTTTACTGGTAGCAGCGGGTGGTTTCGACCCGCCGTTCTCTGGGTTATTGGCTCAGCGAAATCAAAAGAAGCAGGCAGGCACTGGAGAGATTGCTGAGAGACCCGGATCGCGCGCTCCTTATGTCCGAAGAACGAAGGGAGGAGTGCTTCATTTCCGATCGACACGCTTCCCTGAATTTGAGGAGAATGGTCGATCTCATGTTTAGATACCACGCTCCTGCGGTCATCATCGCAACGACATCATCTCTTATCAACATCATCGGACGCAAAGATATCTTCAATATGCATATAACCCGCCTTACGGCACTAATTGGCAATGAGGCATCTCAGATCCCGGAGCCTGTAGTGGTCAAGCTTGCCACACTCAACTTCCTACCAGACAGTACCACAGGTACTATTCGAAAATGAAGCTCAATCCCAGATGTATGGAACAGACTGGTTTGAAGAAATGAAAATTCCAGACTTGGAACCAATTTGGAATACCATTCAAGCATTGGAAAGTGTCCCTGTCAATGTTGAGTATAACGGTCCTGTCCGTGATAACATATTTCTTTGGACTTGCGTTACTCCTAGCATTGGCCAAACTAGCATACATCTGCGTTGTGGCGATGGTGAAGGCAAGCGTTTTGATAGTCCACATGTTGTATATATGTCTAAGAGCAGCCAACGATAAATAAGTCAGGCGGCTTCACAAACATATATTTATTATACTCATCTATTACGTAAGCATAAACGACGCTACCGTAATGCGTTACCCGATAATTTTGTACCGATGTTTGTATAGGCGCCGTAAAACCTAATTGCCCGCGCCGTGCCTTGAACACCAGCGTAAGCGAGCGGTCGTCGCAAACGATTGTCGGCGTTCGCTACATTCCAAAAATTCTTTCTTTAGCTTTCATGTTGTTATCGTCAATGCAAGGTATATCTCGACGAAAGCCCCCCTCAAAAGTTTAAAAAAATATGTGTGGAAAGGACGCGCGCTCATTGTCGCTCGAAAAAAGCCTGTAGCGCTTTGGGACCAAACGTTTCCAGCCGCGCCGCGCGTTGGTGTTCAAAGCGACGCGTGGGCAATTGGGTTTTACGGGGCCTGTATGTTCCCACGACCCAGTTCGTTCCCACGTCCCTGTTCGCAAAACAGTGTTTGTTGTCGTGTTTGCGATTTGCATGCAACAAAAGAAGCTGCCAGTTGGCAGCCTTCCGAACACATAAAATTGTTTAGATGGGCTATATATAAACCCAGTTGCCTAACAAGCTTCATACTGTACTCGTATCAACCGACCATGCCGATGGACGAAATCGATGTAGCGCTACATATCGAGCCCGCTGGCGGATGCGGTAAAAGAAATGCGGTAGCGCGTGGAGCCGGCGCTGGCAGCAATCAACGGCAAGGTGGACGCCATCATCCAATTAATGCACGAGCAGTGGCCGCTGCTGCGGTACCAACTAGAGGTGATGGTCGAGAGGACTAAACCGAGGAACAACTGTGTGTTCTGCACAGTTGCGGATAATAGGGACCAGCACCCTACTGGGAGGTGCTGCAAATACCCTGACGCTATGGCCAGAGCGGTCCAGGCAGCAGCTCTTCGGTTATGCGAGCGCTGCCTACAATCCAAACACCGCGATGAATGTAGGGTCAACTATCCAGTATGTGGCCGAGCCCACAATGTTTTGCTCTGCCCAAACAAGGGGCAGGGAGACATGTCGTTCAAGCGACGCAAGATTGGTCAAAACCACTCAATTTTTGGTGCAAATTTGATCAATAAATTCATTCCACCATTACAGATGTGATTCAGTCTGCAAAACTACTTCTTCAGTTCCTAGCCCTCAGCCCAACGTCAATGTTGCTTCACCGCCTACAAATTCCTCCGTCGCTCCACTGCCCAAGAACTTCTTCGCCGTCCAATCCATCGTCGTCTATCCAGCATGGTATTTTTCCCATTTATGTTTTTACCCTTCTTCTCCTTTTACTATCCCGCATTTGCCTCTTTTCTTTTATCCATACTTATTCTCGATTGTTCATCCCTATATCATGTTTGGTTTAACCGTTGTATCGCTCCTCTCGGTTGCCAATTAACTATTTTTGAAAAATTTATCGAATTGCTGATTGGTTTATCGCTTTGAAATTTTCCTTTGAAAGTGTTGTTTTCACTTCTCCTCAGCGGGAGTGTCGTAGCCGACACGACCGCTAGATCTGCGGTCTTGTACTTCTATTTTATACGCTTCTCTCGAACCGTGCACATGTTGAGCACATAGTTTTTTCGTGTTCACCATTTCCACTGAACAAAGGAAGCTGCCAGCTGGCAGGTTCCCGAATACTTACTGTCTGGGCTACGCCCCTTTTCTCTTTAGTGTTTGTTACAGTTTGCCGGCTGGCGGAGAACCAGGCTCGGAAATAATACAGTTAATCCATCCGTGTTCAAAAGAAGCACGGTAAAATTAAAAATCCACTGAACCCCAGCACATTTTTGGCGCCTTCTCGGCAGTTATAACAACCATTTACTCTGCCTGCATCAATTTGGCAGTCTTGTTCGAGTAAGTAGTCAGCACTGTCCTTTAGTGAGTGTGATTCGATGGATACCCCGGCCTCTTCTGTAATGTTGGAATGAATTTATTAATTAAATATAGACGCACCAAAATTGTGGTTTTGACCAACCTTGCGTCGCTTGAACGACATGTTTCCCCGCCCCATCTGTAATGGTGGAATGAATTTATTGATTAAAGACAAATCCACGACATCGATTGGATTAACGGCCCACAATGGTTAAATGGGCCAGGCCCACACAAACAACTAAGGGGCACGAATTGAAATAACTGTTCATACGAACATAAAAGGGAAATTCTTTTCAATAGCATTGACGTCAAACTCAGTTTCAGCATGTTGAATGCAATCGCAAACAAGACAAAAACACTGTTTTGCGAACGGTTCGCGGAATCGTACAAACTGGAATCAAATGATATGACTGTAAAGTTTCACCACGTCTCTACGGCTTATAATCCAGCAGACGCAGGTACTGAATGCCGGGATCTCCGGCTTACAACTCAATCACAACCCCACGTCTCAGGCCTCGCGAACTTTAGCATCGCGATCTTCGGCGCTCGTAGCGTCTTGAAGTTTCTCACGGATCGCCCTATTGTTCCCCTCCGCACCACCTTCAGATCCCATTCCAGGTTAATTGAGCTACCGAATCTGGTAGCTTACCAAGGAACATTGGTCTCGGGAGTAAGAGCCGAAGATCACCGCATGCTCTTCTCCGTGATGCGCTTTCCATCGCCAGAAGTACCGTTCACGTCTACTGATGTCCCTGCCTGCTCGACCAGAACACGGAACAAGTTCCCTTCTAATGTAATTGAGTCGCAGGTGTGCTGGAACTTGGTCAGTCGCATGCTAGAGAGAGGAATCCCCGTTGGCCAATAATGCTGTTATAGCCTTCCATCGAGAACAATACCGCCAGATACGTGCGTATGCCCGAGCTCATGACATCCAAATGGCACGATTGACTCAGTGCAGGAAGGGGGAAGAAGATGGTAGTCGTCCTCACGACTAGAACGGACGCCGATCCCGACTCTGCCAAATTTTCTACAGGTATCGCCGTATCAACGTAGCTCTTTCTCGTTGCAGACATGGTCAGTTCATCCTTGGACGCGCGGACTCTCTTGTTCGCATTCTTTTCGGAGAGGCGTGCTGGAATGGTCGCACTCCCTCAATGCTGTCGTGCCTCACGTCGATCTTGACCGGTACTTCTAAGACCTCTACGTCCTAAGTGAGTTTTGCTTATATCCGTATAAGCCCAGGTTGGACTCAAATTAAGGTAGGGAAGTATAAGTAAGTTTGAGCCAGCTTCCCCATTCTCTAGTGTAGCTGACTCATGGAACAGGGCATGTGAAGATGCGACATTTGAAGAGCAAGGAGAAAAGGACCGAGAGTGACCGCAGCTGGCGACTTTCGACTCCGGCCACGTCGACGGTCTGCCAGCCATCCCTGCAAGCGTCGCTTCCCTTCCCCCCCCCCTCCCCGCACACATCCCTTTGCTCGTCGTATTCATATACTGCAATCTGCTTAATTTCCAATAAACCATTGTTGATCTACAACTGTCCAACATCGGATCTGTTACTGGCATAACTCACCGAATACGTAGAGAACAAAACGTCTTGGCCATTGTTCGATAGCAGAGATTTACTGAATCCCATATACAATACTCTTTTCTATGATAGACGGAAGAAAAGTACTGTGAATTTGGATCTCGCGTGGTTTAGCTCCAGTCCTTACACCGTTCTATTGTAAGACATTACAGTAAATATGCTGTGTTTTTCTCAAACAACTGTTTGAAAAACCACTACTTGCAAAGTTTCCGGCCAATCCAAGGTTCTCAGTTAGCGGAAACCCATGGGAGAGCTCAATACCCTGAAACCACTGAAAATCGAAGAATTTGGATCTTTCGAGATTTTGCTTCTAGAGATAATATGGTCTGTTAACCACGAAAACTAGATCTGCTTCGCAATCTAGCTTGCTATCGTAAAGTTACGGTAAGTGAAACTCTGTCTACGTTTCAGTGTAGGATAATCTGTGCCAACAGCTCTATTTACGTGTTCAAAGTCTCATAAAGTGACGTACGCTGAGCCACACCGTTACGAAGAAACCTTCACATCAAAAAAAAATCGATCCTGTTGTTGAAGATCGCGGTATTGAGGTTCACAAGATTTGCCTTGATAAATAAAGCTTGGAGGCAGCGTCCAGGCAAATCTGGACATACGGGGTTCTGGGCCGGTAGTAATCTACCCTACCTGGCGGCATCAAAGATGCCGCCAAGTTGGCACACATCGCGGAAAGTTGCCATCTTCAGCGGCAGCTCGCGGAGTAATTGGAATAATCCTACTTAACCTTAGTACGCACTATTTCGCACATTAATTTTTGATGATGCACACAGCCGCAAAATTGCTACATCGCGCGCGATCGAACCTATGTAAGTGCGTTAACTCCAAGTGCCACCACGTTAACCATTCGACCATTCGGTCAATGATTGACGGTTGCACCAGCAATAGGAGGAACGCAGTGGTAAGTGGCCGCCTGTAAGAGGGATCGATACATTGCGTGAGAGACTCTGACCTGAACGAACAGCTGATTGATATGAGCGAGAGAGGGGCGAAATCGGTGCAAACGAGATTTAGAAGGGTTTTTCAAAAAGATGGTGTTCTTTATGGTTCTCAGGCATTAATAGATTTTTTCTCTATAAGAAAATCGTCGTTTCAAAAAAGAAAAACTCATATAATGAGAAAAATGATAGTTTCTTAATGGAAAGTAGAATTTTTTGATTTTTTCGCCCGACGTAAATTGTGTGATATGCCGCACTACCCAAATTTGCAGACGGCGCCAGCAAGGTGCCACCACCTCGACATGGTAGGAGCACGTCAGGATGGTGGCACCTTGATCTCTCAAAAGAGCACGCTATTTTTTGTACTCTCTGACCTGGCGGCATCTCTCAGCGCTGAAAATTCGACGAGATGCCGCCAGGTCAGTTCGCGAAGCTGCCGCCAGCACCTCCTGCCTTCCTCTACAAATCTGTTTAGGGAGGTTTTTAGTACCCTCAGTTGCCAGGTAAGGTTCCCTAAGGTCACTATGACCTCCTCGACCAAAAATACATGTTGAAAAGGGTTGGGAGGGCACAGACTTGAGGTCGGAGTTCGCGCCGACTTCACGTAAAGATGACGCCGACCTGACGGCGAAACATGCCGCCAGGTCAGGGGGGTTACTACCGGCCCTGATGTGCAAAGTAGTTTTGGTGTTTTAACTAAGACACTGCCCAAGCGGCCGCTCAAATGATGAACTTACAGTAGAGATATTCGTCTCCAAACTGGACCCCAGGACCATATTCGCATGGATCCTTGGCGCTACATGCGCGGGTCCTTGCGCGAAACTGATGTGTCGCGCATGAATCCATGCGAATACGATCCCGGAGTCCAGTTTGGAGGCGAATATCTCGACTGTGATTCACCATTTGAGGTGCCGCTTGGGCAGTGTTTTAGTTAAGGCTCCAAGATTACCCTCCAAGTGAGATCCCTATAGGCCCAGATTTGCCTGGGCGCGGCCTTTAATGTTCCATTCTGAAAATCTGTGTTTTTTATGGCGCTACGTATTTTGCGTGAGCCAAGTGTATCGCGGCAGCAACGGAATGTCGCTCGAACAACGAAGTGTTCGGGTTTGCTGGTAGGCGACGTAGAGCTGACTGCCGGATTTGGATCTGTTTTAGTGAAGCTTGCACATTTTTCACACTTATTCATAACAAAATTGTGGGTGTTAGTTCCTGAACACGAAAAGGTGACCAGAGCACGGACATAATCGCAACTGCCTCGCTTCTACTTTTTGATTTTACTCTCATTTTTCGACTGTAAGTGCCATAATTAATTTTCAAATGCATCCATAAACTCTATACAACTTCAGTTTAATCTTGTGCCACACATATCTTAGTTCCCTTCGAAATTCGTGATCTCTTCTATTTGTATACCGCTTGCAAATTCCTTTGATCGCATTAGAATCTTCTGAGACACTATAGCTGATCAAATTTCATTTGTTATATATCGTTCTCTCTGTATATAATCTTCTGAACTCTTATTAGTACTTTGCCTAGTTGCAAACTTTAACGCGAAAACTTGCTTCCGATAACTTCTAAGTTTTCCCGAGCAATGTTGCGTTGCTGACATTGTCTCTATAGCTGGTGCAAGAGATGAAGGAATTCACACGGGAATGATCTGGACCTCTCTTATCAATTGTAGCGATTTGTAATTCTGCTATAGACGTCTGGAAACTAATTGGTGAGAGATTGAGCATTTAGACCCTTCAATAAAGCAAAATTCTGCTGAATTTTTATATGCTCGGGCATGTTTGGGAGATTGGGAAGGAGTTACGTATAAACGAACAAAAGAAACTTGAAAAAGTGGTTAAGAAGATATTAGTTGGAGTGAGTTATGAAATCGCTGACATTGTAAAATCTGCTAATCGCAACTTTGTAGGAAGGGTACAAGTTCCGTAATGGGTATGAGCACACATCAGCACACAACAGCACACATCTATATGCATTTGACTAACTTCAATCGATCCAATTCTTCTTATCTGGCATTTTGACTTGCCTGACAAACAGGAAATGTCAAATTCTTCAAACATTTTATTTCCTGGGTCTGACAGGGGAAGGATACTTGCACCGCGGCCATTCATAATAATTTGTACATCAAAAAATGCGCCTTTTGATGCTGGTTCGAATACTGTCTTCCATATCTGCGAAACGATAATCTGGATGGAGTTATGATTATTTTTCCATGAATAAACTGCGTTACTGCGGAGGGTCATAATCATCAATAAAGGTATAATATAACAGTATTTCTTTAGGTATAATACAACAGTATTCTTTTTAAGATTCTCTTCAATAGCTTCAAATGGAAACTTAGAACAAATTTGGTGATTTCAACTACACAAAAGTACGCAAATTTTCTACGAAAAAAAGTTCATAACTTCCTTCAGAAGATCGTTTCGCAGATTTCAAGTACAGATTTGAAATCAGCGTAACAAGACGCATCTTACGTATACACCGCATTCCAAATGGCCACGGTGACCGAGTATCCTTTCCTTGTGAGTAGTATTACAAAGGTCATCTTGGAGTCAACATCTATGGGCCATAAATATCAGAGGACATAAAGCTTGCATTGAAAAATTCTTGAATTCTTGTTCAGAGAAAGGAACCGTTTCAACCTGCAGAATACTACTATAGGTAAGTCATGGAGAACTTTGATAGGTAGAATTTCATTTCGAACGAAACCGCAAGTCTCAAAATCTCGAATATTACAGCCTTTTGTAGAGGCCTTCCTCAGCCCATCTCCTTAAACAAGGGTCATGAAAAGTGAACAGAAAGCGAAGTCAGGAACCGCAGAACAATCTACATTGGCTGAATTTCAAAAAATGTAATTATCTATCTCTATAGTTTATATTGCTTCAATATGCGAGTAGTAATTTTTTGAGCACCACTAGCACGGTCTCCTTCTTCTAAAACAGGGGATTTTCAAAAGTTGCAAAGCAGTACTTTGGCTCAACCTAGTAGATCGTTTATAAAACCATTTCCATTGGATGTATAAAGGTTTCCTTATGATAAGCATGTATTTACATCTTCTTTGAAATCCAGTGCGATACTGCGATAGATATACAAATAGTTTCTTATATGTGTAAACATTATTCCACTTCCGCATAATTGTGAATAATTGTGACTTAATATCGGGAAATCCACTATTATTGTTGACTTAGCTGCCAAGTTTTTCTGCTAATATTCACATTTCGACCGTTGCGAAGATTAGTTCCTGTTGAGCTGATCAGCTGCTTCTGAAAAACTCGTAAGAACTTCAGTAATAAGCTGTATTCAAAAAGAGAATTCAAAAATGACACTGAGAAAAAAGTGTACCGATTGGCAAAAATTGCTTAGCCTGCAGATCCCTTTACAATGTGTTTGGGTACCATTACAACAGGATGTTTGATTGCGTATTTCATGTTTTACCAAACAATTGATTGGATATTGACACATTCTTATTATTCAACCTTCTTTTTCAGAATTAGCACGGTTCATGGTGATCCTGCACCCAGAGCAGAAGCTTGGTCTCAGGATTTTTGACTGCTTCAGTCCTCACTTTACTGTATCCTAGGGAGAACTAACCTATTGTAGCAAATAAACTAAGCATAAGGCACTCAAACATACTGATGTATTATAGAGTGACTGAGTTGCAGTATCTGCAGCCAGTAGCGGTCGCAGGATTTCCGACCGGGAGGGGGGGGGGAAGGTTAGAAACATTTTTTGAGTGAAGGTGCGCAGCGTTAGTCATGCACTCCTAAAAATTTTTTGAGATCATTCCCGAAATCTTTATGGGCCCATGATCCCGAAACCAAGGAAAAAATTTTTACAAGGCTAATTTGAAGTTCTGAAATATTTCAAGAATTATTCTAATTGTTGCAAGTATAAACAAGTCACTGCACATTTTTATAACTTATAAGTAACTTTCAAAAATTTGGCAACCCATTCTCGTGGTGGGGGAGCCCCTCCCCCCTCGAACCGCCGCTGATGCACGCCTGTGCTGCTAATTATTTTTTAAAGATCCATTTCGATGATATCTGTTTTTTGTACTGTAGGTGTTGCACACACTTTTTTGATTCTCCATCCTTGCAATTTCTTAGTAGACCACTAGACTCTTTATCTCTATTTATTCTGGATTTTTATCAAAGCGAAAATTTACTTCTCTGCGTTTTTGGCAAACTCAGAGCACGGAAATCAAAGCTTTTGAGAACATTTGGCGGATGAGTAATTCACATAATGAACATTCTGGCGTTGTCTCAACAACCCTGGAAAGAAAAGTTTACTACAGCTCTATTGAAAGGAAACAAACATGCAAATTTGTATGACATTGTGAGTTTGATACTGATTTTGGCAAAATTCCGCTGCTTTTCTGTAGGCGAAAAACTCAGAGGTCTTGACACTGTGCAGACAGTCTAGAGGTGGAAATCCTACAGTGGCACTCAATTTTCCTGAATTTTGAAAAAACTAATTTTTTCTGACTATACACATATGGACTTCCCTGATTGAAGTGGATATCCAAAGTTTTCCGCAAGTTTAGAGCTCGAAGAGCTTTGTTCAAAGATTGAATATTAGTACTGAATAAAATTTTTTTAAGGAATTTTTTACACCAAAATTCAAGTTTCCTGCATAATTTTATAACTCATGCAGTTCACATTGAAAATCATGACGCGCTTAGTGTTTTTGTAATAAATGAGTTCTTGCGTGTGATCATTTAATCACTCACTTATTTGTACATTACTCAATATAACTATACAGGGTGTCTCAAAAGCATGTATACCCTGTTTGATCGTAAATATCTTTCTTCCCAAGAAGTCTTTTGCCTAGCTTTAGGCACCATTTTGTAGAATTGGGTTCAACTTAGTTATACAGTATGGTGCAAAATAAAGATCGCTCTTCATTTCTGTAGGATTACGGTAGGAATTTCTGGCTTACAGCGTCATTGTGGATTAGTCGCGTTTCAAAAAAGTTTCCGAAAATTTTGAAAAGTGTTGTACTAAGGATTTACGCGCCTAATTTCACTACTCAGTTTTTTGGGGGTTTGTAATTTCAAAGGGTGTGTTTACAATTTCGAGAAGCATTGCAAAAACAGCTATTACAGTTTACCTGGTATGAATTATGAGAGAAGCATCGCGGTCAAATGTGCAAACTTCACACTCGGTTTTAGCGACTCTAAATAACCCAGTGTAAGAATTTTCAGTTTCTTTGGTTTGCTTTCTGAGGGTGAAATGGGGCCCTCAATGGCTCAAAACCCTTCTTGAAGTTCTTATCGTAATCCTACAGTAATAAACAAAGATGATTGATTCGCACCATACTATAATACAAATAAGTTGAAGGACACCTTGCATTATGACTACTATTATGCCACTATATTTCTTATTACTTAATGGTAATATTATCATTTGTAGCAAATATCACTTTTGAAGGAATTATACTTCATTAAAGTGAGTCTGCAGAAAACGCATTAATTTTACATCGGCCCGATAAATTTTGAAGTTCTTAATTTTTAAAATCTGGTATCTCATCTCTGCCATCTTCTCGTTACAAACAATATCTATACCTGCAACACTACTTTTCGAAATCAAAAATTAACTAAAAAAATATCTTTAGCAACAAAAAAAAAACGAAAACAGAAACGAGGAACAACAAAGTGAAACAAGTTCATGGAAAAATTTATTTGTGAGCCCCAACCCCCTCCCACTCCTCCCTAGCACTTTCTTCTCTGCATATCGCTCAATGGGCAACCTTCTAGTTCATTTTTTTCTGATTCAGAAGTTTGCTTTTCGACCCTTTCCTAACCAGTATAATTTGTAGAAAAGCAGGATACATGAAGAATGCCTCAATCATCATCGTATACCTCGCGAATCGAGCATCTGGCATGGTGCCGTGTACACCACTGTTTGCTCTTACACCACTTTATGTTGGCCGCTTCCCTTGTGAAAATACGCGATGAAGAGTGAATCACGCGCGGAATGATTCCACCATTGCGTGAGATTCCCTCCGATACCTCACAGAGGTTATTTTGGGGGTGTTTGGTGAGCGGAGTAAACTGAGTGAGGCAAGAAGGCCTGAACTGCTTTCGCCATGTGGATTGGATTGACCTAGGGATATCGGCGCGAAGAGGTGCAAAAGGTCCGCGAAAGAAGTGATGAGCAAGCGGCTGACGAGAGGTAATGCATTTATGCGAGATAGTGACAGAAATTGAAGCGTGGCGAGAGAACGCTGGCTGTCGGAGCGCTATGTTGGCAGAATAAACAGTGGCCGTTGTGGAGAAGTGCATGTAAACGATGACACAGCAGACAAAGCGGAGCGTGGATGGAGTGCGGACGAAGTGGAGCGGATAGAGAATGGCTGGATAGAGAGAATGCCGAAGTGGAGGGATAGGCGCGTGAAGTTCGCGAAGAGTACGGTGACAGCTGGCGGTGAGAAGCGCCAGAGGCAGTGCGATGACGAACAAAACGCCGTGGCCGAGTTCAGTCGGTTCGAGAGCGCTGCGGGCCGAGAAACGCCGGACGGGGGGCCGGACGCGAGAGGCACAGCGGTCAACGCGGGGAGTTGTAGAGTGGGCAGACGGTCGTGGTGCGCTGCGACGGGGGGGGGTGGAGTGCCGCCCGGCGAGCGAGCGCGGCGAGCGAGGTTGGCCGCGGATAGCCGGCAGTCGGATGGAGGAGGACCCGGGTGAACGGACGCCGGCCCTCGGCGGCTCCGCTGGTCCCTCCGTCAGGGCCCATTCCTCCTCGCCTAGACGAGTGCCCATATTTGAGAGGGCATCGGCCCGATGGTGGAATCCACAGTTCCGGTCGCCGTCCCTTGAGGCGCAATACTGGAAATGCTCATTTCCACAACTCAGGTGGGCCCAACCTCTTCTCCTATAACTTGTTTCTATTTTTGGCATTCCGTATAATCCCTGTTCGGCTTCGTGACTTGCGAATCGCTCTAATTCAAGGGATCGCTTCCGCTCGGGGCTTGTGTACATCACATTCGTTTGCGTGGCGTGGACGATTTATCTGGCAATTTTCGACAAGGCGGGCCTTCAGCATTGGGTACGAATATTTTGAGGGTTTGGCTGAAAATTTTTTTAAACGCCCAGATTTTTCAGCTCACAGCTGTGGCCCTGGTCATCGTCTGCCTAGCCATGCTATCGTTTACCCTTTGCTCTGCACAATATCAAAGATTTTACATGCCAACGTCATTTTTATGTACTTTCCTCATATGTCTCGTCACACTATTGATATTCTCGTCAGACTCAAAGTCTGCTTTTATGACACCAGTTGCCAGCCTCGCTACCAGCTTCCAGGTGAGTTCAGGGCCAGCCTCGTACCAGCCGCTCTCAATCACTTTGCCCCTCTTCCCCGTGTTAAAATACGAGCTGTTCATTTGTTGCACAAAATCAATCAGTTGTGAACCACGAGTTGCACGGGGGAGAGGAAGGAAGAGTCGAAAAGCCTAAACAATTGCGATGTTTTGACAGTCATGTGTGAATTATGTAGTTGTGAGAAAATTCCCACATACTGACATTGAACTATACTGTCTCAAAAAACAAAAACATACATATAAAAGTTCGGCCAGTTATGGGGGACCAACTTTTTTTCTTCAGGAACATAAAAAACCCCTATTTTTATATTAGCCCCGAATTTACTTTTACTTATGTTTGTTTTTCTTTGTTTCTGTTTGTTGTTTAATGCAGATTTCATAGGCAATCAAACGATCTCTGAAAGCCCAATTTTTTAGTAGAACTGATGAAACCGCAATTTTTTACTCAATTCTTTTTCAGTATCAGTGACTTCTCAATTTTTCGCAGCCCATTTTCTGTTTTTATTGATTTTTTTTTGTTTTTTGAAAACTTCGCTTTCGCTTGTGATGTACTAGCCTCAAATACTTTTTCCAGAGCCCGTGAAAACGCAATTTTTTGCGGCCCAAATTTTTACTCTGTATTCGTTTGATATTAAAAATTCGCTGTGGCTCAATTAGCTCTGAGAATTATTTTAGAAGTTATAAAATCAAGTTCTTCACACCAAAATTTTTTCACTGTTTTTTTCAAGTTTGAAAATTCCCGCTGAGTTGAAATAGATTGTTTGAACCTTTTTTCAATGTTTATGTGATCGTAATTTTTCACGACCCCGGAATTTCCTTTTTAGTTTCCAGTTGTAACTGCTGACTTATGAGTTGCGCTTTTCCAGGTGCTGATGTTAAAAACCCAAAAATTGCAATTTTCTGCTAGCAAAAATTTCAAATTTTCTCACCGATCACTTTTTATAGGTGGTGTTGCTGATCTACACTGTAATTCCACTACCTTTGTATCTATGTATTCTTATTGGCGTTATTTATTCGTGCCTATTCGAAACTCTATCAAGAAATAGATTTGCTTATGGAGATACATCGAATATTCAACTGGTGCTACATATTGGCGTTCACCTACTAGGGGTGCATCTGTTTATCCTGACACAGGTAATATTTTTTCATAAACAGTTCCTGTATACTCTGTCTTATGCCTTCTATCGCTTGTAATGACTCAATTCCTTCATTTTGGTACTATTAGGTTGTTCATAAGTCTTGTACCAGATTTTTGGAAATTCTCAAAGTTTTCGTTTTCCAATAAAATTGGTGCTGTGTCGGCGTCTTCACCGTAATGGTTTTCGATTTTTTCAATTATTTTCATTTCTATTTACTCCCTTTTTTGTCCTACCTTTTCCCATTGCAAAAAAAATTCTGGTACTCATCAATGTTATAGCCTTCAATAAACGAGATAAATAGGGCATATTAATCGAATCGCATTGTTCCCTCGAACATTCTAAGTTTTTTCACAATTTTTGGGTGCTCATGGAGATTTTTAAATTCTTGAACTGTTCATTATCCAATAAAATTAATGCTGTTTCGATGCTTCATCGTAACGATTTTCGATTTTTTCAATTATTTTTCATTTTTATTTTCTGTTTTTTTTGCGCATTCTGTTTTGTTCTAATTCTCTTTTCTTATGCGCGATATCTTGAGTAAAAATTTTTTGGACACGGGGCTCCCAATCTGACTTGTGAAAGACGAACTCCTCTTTGATGTTTATAATAACCAACGACTTCCTTTTTGGGAAGCAAAACAAAGTTGTTTGATAGAGATGAGGTCATAAATCATGATCGAAAAAACGCCTCAAACTTTGGTTTGATTGGAGCGCGCTTTCTTCCCTAAGGCTTATATTTTTATTGCTGTTCGTAGAGCGAAACACTTTGTACAATATCTCTTTTGCTTGTTTTCCTACTTAAAGAACGCGAAGTTCGGTCTATCGATTGGGGCGCAATTTTTCTTTGAAGCCTAAAATTATTTTTGCTCTTCTCACATAAACACGCCCTCCTATGACGTATCTTTGCCTTTCCCTCAGCTTGATCAAACAATCCAAAATATGTTCTCAGTTCGATTGGAGCGCGCTTACTTGTCTGGGGCTTATACTTTTATTGCTATTTCTACTGCCCTATTAAAACTTTCTCTTTGCTTCTCTTTCACGAAGTTCTTCTCAGAGTGAAATTTTCCACCCTTGTGCCTTCCCATGATTATTTTCGATTTACTTCTGCTGTTTTATATAGCTCTCAAGACGTATAGTGGAGTCATCTGTGCTTTCAACGGTGAAATTGCACAATACGCGTGTCATCTCACGACTTTCTCTGATAAAGAGCTAGTAAAGACGGTTTTGATTGATCAAGCTGTCTGAAAATTGTTATATACACTTATGTACACTTGCTTATATCCAACTAAGCTTCAAAAATAAAGGAAAAACTAGATAATTTTCCTGTAAGACAATTTCAAGCTTATAAGAAGTAAGTGCCGGGCGAATTTTGCAAAACACAAATTGAATTTTGAATAGCTCTATTTGTAAAATAAGTAGGAACTATCGCCCTTTCTCTCGAAAATGAAATTTTCTCGCCTTGCCTTGCTTAGCGCAGCGCGAAAAATGAGATTCTCTCGGTTTCATCAAAGCCAAGCCAGTCGCGCCGATCCGAAAAAGGCTCCTATATCCCTCAGTAAGACTCACTAACCACACGCTTTGTAGCGAACACGCGAAGTGCACATCCATCGCCGCTGCAAAAAGTGCTCTATTGAGCTTTGCGCTGCCCCTCCCCCCCCCCCCCGTGTAAAGCGCGCCCCCGTGTGTGTCGGGGAAATACAACTGCGAACTATGAGACTATGGATCGCCGGCGTTAATAGAGCTTCCTCCGTGTTCGATTCGAAACTGCTGCGATTGCTGCCTTGACATCGAGTGCGCTTTTTCGTGGCTATAAATTACGACGAAATTGAATTTTTTTACGCATGACAGATTTTTCTTCTGAGTGAAGCCAGTGTTGGTTTCGCGTCGAAAATCCATCAGTCACGGAAAATGAGCTTAAAGAATGGAGATTTAACGCAAATGGAAACGAAATTTTGATAGAAAGAAAGCACATCATGGTGAAAAAGGCTTATCTTTGATATAGAATCTAGCCCCTTACTCCCCTCTCCCCCAAGAAAATGGATCACAAAATCTTCGAAAGTGCTTTATAAATCATAAAAACTACGGATGACTGTTTTTGGTTGCTGGATTTGATAATTCATAACCACTAAAAAACTTGATCTTCTTTTCTTTTCTCTTCTTGATCTCTAGATCTAGTTTCCAAAAAAGGTCAAATTCGAAATTTATTGGTTGCTCCTGCGGCCTCAAAAAATAATTCTTTAACCCTCAATGGTAGGTGTTAGTGTTTCTTGACTTCTGAATTCAGCTTGCTAATTTATTAGTCGACATAGGTTTTTTGCCGCTCTCACTTCGCAATATTCTATGAAGCATGTCTAATTTATCAATTTCCTCTATAACTCATGATTTTGGAGCTAAATTTAATTTTCTACGATACTCAGTGATATTTTAGGAACCCCTGCTTATTTTCGTCAATTCTCTAGTTTCTCATTCACGAATATTTTCGTAAATAAACTGTTCCGCTTTTGCTTATTGAATTGAAAAGGGCGCCCAGAAGTAGGTGTCCTTGAGGTCAAAATTGCCATCTTATGAATTGCTCAAACCCAATTTGGAGCCCTTTTTGCGGAAGTGCTTATTCACCATAAATTCACATTCTTTTCGAGTATACTTGTGGGCTTTAGTTTGGTCCTTGGATGAACAAAACACAAAGAGAAGCTGTAGAGAAGACAAAGAGAAGTTGTAAAATTGTCTTTAGACTTTTTGTTCGCTTGACATCTATTTTGAACACTTGAAGCTGTACAATGTATGGACAAGAAATTCAAAGGGCCGGGCATACCTCACGCGGTTTCGTCGCGACGCGATTTGGCAATATTGCAGCTGTCCATAACTCATTGTAAGCACCTTTTAGATCTACAGAGGATAGGGCATTTCATCAACCTACGTGAGTTATGCACTGTGCTTGTGCAGTTTGCTAGTGTTGGATCTGAAGACTTCTGGCGAATTGAAATCGCGTCGCAACTGAAATCGCATGAAGTATGCCCGGCCCATAAGACACACGATGTTATGGAACAAACAATATTTTTAAAAACGATATATGGTATCTATTTGATAATATATAGCATATATTTAGCATTTTTAGTTTTTGACTGAAAAAATCACGAGTTGATTTTCCTCTGATCGATGATTTAACATTCTAAAAAGGGCCATTTCCGAAGCTTTTATTTCCCTCCTTGTTAGAAACTCTTCTTATGCGTACTTTCACTTCAGCCCTTAATATTTTATGGGTTTGATGCAAAATTAAGGGCCCATATTGCTAGCATGAAAACTTGCTTCCTCACAATTTGCAAGAACAACACTAGGCCATTTATTGTTCTTTCACTCTAACATCTGGACCGATCATAAAGTCGGTTGAAAACAGTAGAGTCGTGATGTGTTCCCACCAGGTGCCAGACACCATAACTACCTGTATGTTGTGCTTCAGCAAAAAGTAAAGTGCACATGATATATTCCCTAAAAAACAGGGTTTGTTCGGTCTCTCCAGCCTCTTTGGTCTGCAAGACGGTTAATAGTAATCGGAGAAATATTTTGACGATCTACAGTATCAACTCAGTAGTGGGGAAAAGGAATCTTATTTGGTCAGAAAATTTAGGTGAATTCCGAAATCAAAATCAAATCTAATTGTGGGGACGTATATCTGTGAAAATTTTGGTGTGTTTGATCTTCTAGAATTTCCATATTCCGTTTTTTTCTTTTTTCCTCTATCCCGTTTTTTTTCATTTGCTCTAAATATGCATTGTTTTGAGTGTCTAGAGGAGACTAGCTCAATTTCTTGCGACAAAATCAATGGAAAAAAATCGCTACAGTTTTCTACAGCCTAAAATTTGAACCACATCCATCCTGTGTTAGAAAAGTCTCTTTATTTCTAGCCCGCTTATTATTAAATCTACTATGCTTTTTCTATTTTTGCTGCTTTGAATTCCAGATCAAAAACTATCGCGTTGCATTTGAAAAAAAAGGCTGCTGAGCGGCAATTTTACCTGTGAACAACAAATAAATGATTATAGCAGAGTGAGAGTTTAAGATTACTTTACTTCATCTCATTATATAATCTTTAATGTTTGACTCATCGGTTACCATAATTAGGTGTTGTTTGAACTCTTATCACTAATCGCATTTATAGAAAGAAGATATTGCTGCAGAAATTGCTCCAATGTCTATGATTGCTGATAATCCCATTTTTCGCGTCAAAAACATAAAGTATCTTACTATCAGCCATGATAATTGCAGTGATAATTTGCAGTTTTCTTAGAAATGTCAGCATGAATAGATTTAATATAGTTTTAACATTTATGAAGCAAGTTTTTCCTTCAGGCAGTAAAAGGCTTTCCCATATGAAAGTAGATAACCTCGAGTCATTCGTAGCTCAATATGTGAGATTGCACATTGAGCCCTATTAGCGACGGCACCATTACTGGTAAATTTTCCAGTGCAACATTTTCTAGCATAACAAAGTGTAAAAATGTGATCTATCAGCTAACATATAACGAACAAAAACAAAAGAGAAAAGGAAACAAGGAGAAATCACTGGAAATGAGCAGGTTCTAGTTTTGTAGTTCGTCAGTTAACGTGTATAGTGTGCACTACGCATATTAAGTTAGAAATGACTCGACGATACTTAAAGGCAGCGTCCAGACAGATCTGGACCTATGGGGCTTTTACGTGGAAAGTACTTTTGGGGCCCTAACTAAGGCACTGCCCAAGCGGCAGCTCAGGTAGTGCTGTAATGGCTGAGATATTCCCCTCGAAACTGGACCCCGCGACCGTGTTTCGCGTGGATTCATGGCGCAAAGCGTGGATCCTGGCGCGAAACTGCCATGAATCCATGCGAATACGTTCGCGGGGGCCAGTTTCGAGGGGAATATCTCAGCCATTAGAGCGCTAACTGAGCTGCCGCTTGGGCAGGGCCTTAGTTAAGTCTCCAAAAGTACTTTCCACGTAAAAGCCCCATAGGTCCAGATCTGCCTGGACACTGCCTTTAACTCGGAAAAAAAGGATAAAGTAAACAAAAACTTGACTTTTTTTGCAGTTTTTGTCATACGCATGCTTTCTGATTCCATAAAGCATATAATAACATCTCAGCTGTTCAAATTTTGCAGTCTTTATTTTCTCACATTGTTGGTCTTTTTTTCTCATGAAATTTTTTCTTGTCTCAAAAATAATTGTCACATTCCATCTATTCAGAATTCCACGGCGATAATAAATTTCTCTCGTGTTTTGATTTTTCGATATTATTTTTTGCTGTAAGGGAAATTTTTGCAGATTTTCGTCAACCCCTACAGTCTAAAACATTTTGATAAAATCACATCATCATAGCTAAATGTGTGGGCTCACAAATACTTCTACTTTTTCCAAGCAAAGTAACAAATGGCCATTAAACAAAAAAGGTTTCTCTTTGGCCATGCCAATTTTCCAAGAGAAAGTTGCTTCATTCCTGATGCACTCATTAGCTGCTGCATCAAATGTGATTACACAAAAAAGACGAAGAAGGGTGACTAACAGCCTCTTCTTCTTTCGTTTTTTATGTCAGCACAATCCTCGAGCAAAGTTTTGGCATTAGAATGGAGGCTGTGTAGAATAGCAGGTTGGAAAGTAAGATTAACAGTAATAAAAGACCAATTATAATGTCAATGAATTTAAAAAATCTTATGCTAATATATAGGTTAGGTTATAATATTTTGCGTTTTTACACAAAAATAGAATGATATTTACAAAACCCACGTCTCGTAAAGGAACAATGTTTTTATAAAACAACTTTTTTATCGTGAAGCAATTTCGCGCTGTTTTCGAATGTTTTGAGGAGAAATTACAACGATATTTATCGCTAAGATTCATACATATTGTTGCATTTTTGTAAACAATTTGTAAAGTTCATGTACATACTTTTTACTCCTAAACAAATTCACTTCTCACTATTGAAAATAATTTTTACAGAAATTCCCTCCTTAAGGTCTGAAACTTTTACTCCGTCCAAGGGCAGGAGCAAAACGGAGCCTTTTGGTTATTTACACATTGTGAATTAAAAACTTTTTCTTCTTATTATTAAACGAATTTTTTTTCAAAGATTTTGGTGCGAAACTTCAGGGCCAATTGGTCCAGTTCAAATTCAGGCAAGCCTCAGTTGTCTACATTTTATTATTTTAATTTTTGCTTTTTTCGTAAACTTAGTCTTTTTAACACCTTTTTTGCCTTGTAAACAATCTGTAGCTAGAATTGCTCTATAGCGCAAATCATCTCTACCTTCTCCCTTAATTCCATATCCTCAATGAAATTACTTCACTGATCAGAGTACTTAATCTTCTCGCCGTAAGATCAATTTTGTGATTATCTTGGATGTATTAATAGCAACAGAGCTGTCGCGAGCTAAAGAGGCACTCAACCAGATGAGTATTTATAGGTGCGGCAGCGGAAGACCTTCTTGAAAGTCGGGCAATCGTTACTGGCTAGGAAAGATTTGGAATTGGAAACACAGTTCAAAGATCATATGATTCAATCTGTCATGCCAAAAAAGGTAATACAGCTACGCTTATCACAAGAAATTTTATTGATGTAAAAAAAGGCTGTTGATGTTTCAAGGCGGTGCTCAAGTGAATTTCGGGTACCTGAAACTTCTTGTGCGCATTACCGTATTACCGTACATAAAAGGACGCTGATTGGTTCATTTGGGAAGGGTACGGTCTGGGAGAGTGTTTAGAGCTGGATTTTTTACCACAAATAAATCGTAGACGTTGCGGCTGGGCAATGGCTTAGTCAATTTTTCCCAATTAGTTTCCATATAAAAGGTGCATTAATCAGGTTTGCCTGTATTGCCCTCAAACCCACAGTCACGATGTATTCTGAACTCTTGCCCACACAGTACTCCTAGCGAGAGGACCAATAAGCGTCTAGAGTATACGGTATTGGGCGACAAAAAGTATAGTTTCCTGAATTTGGAAAAGGAGTTTGCATGCTATACTGCTTTATTTGAGATCAAAGACCTATATATATTGACAAATGACAAGAAATTCAGCTCTAAATTTTTACCCAAACAGTACTCTTGCCGAGCGGACCTATCAGCGTCCTCGAGTAGACGGTACTGGGCGCACAAAAAGTATAGTTTCTGAGTTTGCAAACTAAATTTGGTACTTTTCCGTTATCCGGACCCATTTTTTCAAAAGGCTCTTATAAAATACGTTCTGTAGTCCAAGTACAAATTTTCATAGATTTTACGAGGACCGCCAAAAAATTGACACGTTCTAATCCACTTTGACATGTTTTTTCGAAATCATTTCAGCTAAGGTAAAAGAGCATCAATAACCACTCGTTCAGCTTTTTTATATAAGAGCAAAACAATCTAGAATCATTACTGGAATATCTTGATTGTTTCCAGCAATGATTCAAGAATGTATTTCACTTTGAACCTTCCGCCGTGCGAGTTTAGTCAGGAAAGTCTACAAATGATGGCTTGAAGTAGTACCTCGCTGCTGCTTTCGCCGCTTAGATGATGGAACCCTAGCGCCCCTCTCTATTCTGGGCATGTCTAGTACGTTCATTGATAAGAGGGCGACGTTATTATTATAACAATGTCATTTTTGAAATTGTTTAATCAAAAATAGGGTTATTATTGACCAAAAAAGGTTGGACTTATGTGGCTAGGTAGAGCAACACAAACCCTTGGTAAAACTTGTTAAACATGTAAATGGCATGTCAAATTTTTTTGACACGTGGCAGAAGGTCGACACTCTTTCCTATGAAGTTGGGACCAAATATTGCGCAAGGAAAGAAGCAGTATCCTTCTTTGAAAAAATGGGTCCGGATAACGGAAAAGTACCCTAAATTTCATGCCTTTTTTCGATTAGAGTCGTTTTTTGAGCTTCAGTGATAAGAGCAAACAATCTAGCAACGAAAAAATGATTTTTTATAGGTCGCAGATGAACTTCTGAAAGATGCCTCTGAGTTGCGTCGACCATCAGCAAGTCTTGACTCGAACTGCCGCACCTCAAACGCAACGCAGCCTCCACCACAAAACGAAGAACAGCGTGGGTTTTCTGGTATCCCTTTCCGTTTGACCCCCCCCCCCCCCATATTATAGTGATTATTTCAGCCCTCAAAGCGATGAATTCTGTGCCGGATGTGCGAAAATTCCGTCCATTTACGATGAATCTGATGACGGATGTTTCCATCTTATTCGCAGACATTGCTGGCTTCACAAAAATGTCATCAAATAAATCTGCTGATGAACTCGTCAACTTGCTCAACGATCTCTTTGGAAGGTAGGGGATCTTGCTCATTTTCTTTTTTTTCGATTTTGAAAAATTAAAAGGCAAGCATGCAGATTCAGAATGTTGATGTTAGCCATTAATAATGCTCCAAGCAGCTTCGAACTTCTTTCTTCTCGTTCGTGTGGCTGTTGAGCCACGGCAATGAATCAACAGATCTTATTTTTTCGTCGTGAAGGCAAATGCAGCTGCCAACGCATGCAAATGACATCATTTATTATTCTGAGCATAATGAATGTTACATGATATCTGTCTTGAAAATAGGCTGCAGCGAATGTTGTTTAGACCTCCCAGTGTTCAATTTTTTCAAGGTCCAAAAAAGAGCTTTGGTAGACGCGACGAAAAATTTAGCATCCTTGCGGTGTTGACAAGATTTGCGCAAAGAAATAGTATCGACTACCAACTAAATTTGCTTTTGAAATTGGCATTAGAGCGCGTAATCATAAATCCTAAGTTAATCATGATCGGCTCCATCGGCAATTTCCACGCGCAAATGTTGTCATTGACGCAAATACAAAATGGTTTTTCGCTATCGATGCGGTGTTCGTAACATGTGCGCGAAAAATATAGCGTTCTATCCACTGCCAACAAAACCTGCGCGTAAAATGGAATATTTTCTTGGGAGCTATCACCTTTCTTACGCGCAAATGTTGTCGACACCGCAGATGCACTAATACGCGAAAACTTCTAAAATAAACTCTCATAGCTTACAAAATGAGTAGAAATCCCTTACACTGACTATTTTTATCCAGAAATAGGGTCTCTTCGCTGGGAGGGTTGGAAATGAGCCAGATATTCCGGGACGCTCAATGAACACATCATTTGCGACGGAAATAGCTTCCATAATTATGCTGGGCGAGGAAAGGTCAAAACAATTCTGCGAACGTTGGTCGATTTGCAGAAATTTAGACTATCAAAATTTCTCAAATTTTTATAAGAAAGATTTCCCGAATATTTTAAACGCCCTGAGTTCTATGGAACAGAAAAATACTCATATTATTTTTTCGTTGTTTGTGAAGATTTAATTACTTGTGAAGAAATTTTTGCAAAAGCGCACTCCATTATGAATCATTCTGGAGCTATATGACATAGCGTGATCTGTTAGCATTATATAGAATTCATCTACTTTTTCGGTTTTCACTGCTTCTATTGAGAAGCCATAGGCAACAATTTTCTATATATGGCGAACCTCGAGGCCATAATATGAGCCCATAAGATCAGCAAAAACCCTTATTTTTGAGCTGGTGCTTGATTTAATGTCACGGAAGGGCACTTAAGGGACTGTAATGTTGCTCTAAAGGATTTTTATTAGCTTTTTGAGTCCTTTAACCGAGCTATTGCTTCTAGCTAAATGCGCCACTATACATAAAAAATGTAAAAAAATTTTCACCTATTTTTACTAACAATATGCCATCAAAGGCAGCCTTCTAATTGTTGATATTTATAATTTGGCGTTCCCATGCCTTCTCGAAGCTTTAAATGGAATTTGAAAACGGTGACCCTCTCTCTCCCCTCCCGAAAACCTTTTCTGTAGAGACTTTTTCGACAAGTTTTGAGTTAACTTATACATAAAAAGGTGCGCGAGAACTTCGCACAGCATTATTTACAGGGTCAAGCTTGTGATGCGACTGTCGCAACGGGGGGTCGTAAGAGGGTATCTAAAGTGGGGGGGGGGGGGTCGTAAGAGGAGGTAGTTAGACTAGAATACCCTACGCTTCAAAGAATCAAAAAGCAAGCAATTAGCTATGTTCTTTACAATAAATCTATAAAAAAGTGGAAATCAGAATATAAAAGATAGAAAATCTGTAGAAATTCTCAAAAAAAACATTTACAAGAGCTCAAAACACTTTTGAAGGATGTATTATTTGATAAAAATGCTAAATCTACGGATTGCCATAGAAATCTTGCTTCTGAAGCCTTCCTGAAGTCTCACACACTCGACAAAAGCGAATGTCTTTACCAGCTGTGACCATCATAAAATTCTAAATCTTTTTGTAATGTTTTTTACGGGCTCATATGATTTATCTGTATTTTTGAGATGCTCCGCTATATCACTGCACAATTTGGTGTTATTTTGTCAATTGTGGATTTTCTTATGATTTTATGTATGGTAGCAAAAAGTCAGGAGAGGGGGGTCGTATCTGGGTCGCATCTAAATTTCTTCGGAGCTATTGAAGCTTGTTGGCTGCAATTCTGCTGTAATATGAGGCCATCCTCCTACTTTCCCTCGTAAAAATTGCAGGCTGTTTTATAACTTCTCTGGTAAATTACAAAATTTTAAGCTCAAAAATCCCAGTTTTTGCTTTTTAGGATCGCATCTAAATTTACGAGAGTCGCATCTAAATTTTTTCGAGCTTACTGCTCCTCAAGAGCTGAAACTTTTTCTTTGGATAGTCTGGGCACTATGCTACAGAACCTGTGCTTTGCAGTCTCTCAGTCTTTTCCTGGCCTTAGTTACGAATTTTCAAACTACCGTGCTCATGCACGTTTTTGACGTCGTTCTGGACGGCGCCCAAGCGGTTTTTTTTGCGGGAAGAACTGTGGAAGAGGTAGGAAGTAAGCTTCTTAGTCGAAAACATCTTTTGTAGTTCAAAAATGTCATTTTTTTCTCCATGCAAAAATTTGTGTCGCCTACAGGAATCGAATTTGCTGGCCTGAAGTATGCCTGAAAATTCAAAAAAAACTTGCAGAATCTCAAACATTATTAAAGGTGTGTATGTGTGCTACAGATGATGGACGCACCCATTAGCCTAAAAATTCTGCTTCCGAAACCTCACTGAAGTTCTCACGCAGATGTTTTTTGAGATTAACATTCGTTTATGCAGGTTACCGCGAGGAATGTGGGCAGGGGAGGTAAAGGGGATAAATGAGTGAGGGTGGGGAGGGGGGGGGGGGGGTAGAGGGAGGGGGAGGGGTCGTACGGATGGGTACCTTCAAGGGGGGTCGTAAATGAGGGTCCCGGATCGCATCAGCACGCTTGACCCTGATTATTTAGCATAATTGAGTTACAGCCAAACCCAAAAAATCTATATCGATCGGAAATTGTTTACGCGCATAAGAAAGTAACGATAGCTCACCGAAAATCCTATGATAGACGAGAAAGCGGTGAAGTTTTTTAGTTGGGAGTTCGTCTCTCTTTTTTGCATTTGGCAGAATGCCAGCTCGTGCTGGGCGCTGATGAAGACACATCTGCTTTAGTCAAAGGGATGATAGAACGCACATTTTTTCTATCATCAGCACGAAAAAGCAAGAAGAGGCATCAGCTAGACTAGCACAGAAAAAAGTGCTGCTTCTTTGCTGTATCAACAGGGTTTTTATTGAGATCAAATGTAAAATTCATACCCTGTCTGGCCAGAAAATCCCGTGGAAACCTGGTTGAAATTCTAAAATTTTATTAGGTTGTTACAGAAGTTTTGTTACATTCGACTAAAAAACCCTCATAACTTTGTCAAATAATTTCTCATCTCCATATTATGTGTAGTGGTTTTGATATATACATGTCACACATAAGAAGTTTCTCGAACTTTTTGAGATTTTTCCGAATTATTTTTGGCAACTTTCCAGTTTTGTTTATCGAAGAGCTTATATTCCAAACTGCCTTAGTAGTACTACCAATGCTCCTAAAAGTCCAAAAAATCTGAAAAGATGGATTGGAAGCGTCATTTTGTGAGGGCACAAATGGTCCCGATAGCCCTTCAGTCCTTTCCCATACGTGCCAAGTATGAGACCTTGTCCAGTTTTCTAAGATTTTTTTAGAGGAAGACGAAGAAAGTGTAACAAAACTTATCAACAAATACTAACTCATCCACGTGTTGCTTTACTTTCGTCACCTCCAAGAAAAAGAGGGCCACATGTTCCTTGAGAAAAACCTGCTCGTACATTTTCATTTCAGATTTGATTTTCTATGCAAAGCAGGAGGATTAGAGAAAATTAGCACCTTAGGCAAGTTGTTAGCTCTCTTGATTGCCAAAAACTACTTTACAACAGGTATTCTAGGGGACTGTTATTACTGCGTTGCCGGATGTCCAGAACCCTGCGCCGACCATGCGATTCGAACTGTTGAGATGGGCTTAAATATGATCGTTGCCATTCGACAGTTTGACATCGACCGAGGTCAGGAAGTAAACATGAGAGTGGGGATCCACACCGGGAAGGTTAGCTTAACCTCTAGAGGTTTCTGTGTCTTGGTGAGTTAAGTATTTTTTACCAGGTAATGTGCGGTATGGTTGGCACAAAGCGCTTCAAATTCGATGTGTTTTCCAATGACGTCACTTTGGCGAACGAAATGGAGTCAACAGGCATTGCTGGGAGGTAAGAGGAGTGTTCATACTTTTTTAATCAACTTTTGGTTCCATGAATGGATAAGTAAAGGGAAGCCTTGAGTAGACCATTGCCCAAGCGGCAGCTCATACGGTTTAATGATGGCCGAGATGTTTGACTATAAACTCTCGCCCAGGACATACCCACTCCGTCTAGTACGGTAGGCAAGTACGGCTGGGCGAGATTATAAAGTTATATTTCTTGACCACGACTAGACCTTATGAGCTGCCGCTTGGGCTACAGCTCGGTTAAAGCCTCCCAATCAGTTTCCACATGAAAAACTTAGGACCAATTTGTGTCATCAGTGCCTATTATGAGGTAGCTCTTGCTGTTTTTGAATTTTTTCCGCTTATTTTAGAGTGCATGTCTCCGAAGCAACGGCTAAGTACCTCCGTGATGATTACATACTCGAAGATGGACCTGATTATGACGGTGAGTCTTCTAATTTTGAATGAAATTGCACTTACATGCTTAATTTTTCGGCTCAATGCTTTTCTTCTACCAAGTGACGCGATATTCTATATTTATAGCCTTTTTCTTAGGACGATGTAAAGAGGTCTATTTTGAACATCTTTTGTATTTGTTCATGATTAGCAAGAGCCATTGTGCTTTGACTTCCTGCATTTAAATTCTGCTGGAAATGACTAGTGAGTGCCGTGATGGTCCTAAATTTAGCTTGGAAAGGATTGTGGCCTAGAATAGAAATGCTACTTAAAAGGGAACTAAATTAACTTTGATAGGGTCTAATGATGATATGAAAAATAAAAATAGCAACATGGGTTCAAAAGGGGGTTGAAAAGGGGTGTTCATTTATCAATGGTGATCCCTGAAATCTGGGTAAGGGTAGGAAAGAGGAGGGGGAGGGATAAAGGTGACGAAAATTACTTTTTGGAATAGTGAGGCGTAACTAAGAACAACGAAAAATTTTTTGGAATTATTCTTAACCTTTTTGTAAGCTTGGAAGCTTAGGATTTCACAAAAGGTACGTAAGCTACCACACTTCCGAAAAACTGTAAAAAAATTAAATTGCAATACCATTAGTGCCTTTTGCGTATAGAACAAATCTCTGTATATTTTATTAGCAGTGAAATTTTTTTTGAAAAGAATTTACTTCAGAACCTTCAAAACGCATTTTTCAGAAGAGAGGGATAGGATGTAAACTTATTTCTTTTTCCACTTCGACGTTTTGTGAATAACTGATATTCGTGTCTACTCTACTTCATCCCGCGACTGTTAAATTTGAGACCTCAAGAATCACGTGAAGCAAGGAAAGAGATCGCCTTTATTGTTTTCAAAACGCTATCTTTTTTCCATTTAAGAATGCTATACAATCCATAGAGCTTTTAAAAATCCTGAACTAATGTCTTTGGAGTTCTTCATGCCCTGTGAAATTTTCTAGAATTTGAGATTTCTGTTTTACAGGACCATATCGAATGCAAGTGCAAGGAACGGAAAGGCGAGTGAAACCTGCAAGTAAGTTAGCTCATCGTATCAGAAAATTCTCTTTTTGACTTACATAATCTTTTAGGCATGAAGACGTATTTTATCAAGGGTCGACTTCGAGAATCTGTCGATGAGGCGCTCGATTCGAGCTCAGACAAAGATAGCTCAGCTCAGAAAGCTCCACCAACATCAGCTCGTAAAGGTTTCAAGCAGGTCAGCTCATTCTTCACTTCTGTTTTCCTTTTTGGCTTGTTCTCATCACAAAAATTGTTTTTATCGCTTGTTATCTGAATGAAATTGTAGATTAAATAGATTAGGAAGTACTCAGCTTAAGTTTTGGTTCATAATCATTCTAGCTGTCATAGATTTGCATTTATATATTTACGCTCTTTTCCAGTTGTCAAAAATTATTACAACAATTCGCTTTGAGTTTATTGCCTTAGTAGAATTACATATTTGAGTATTCCTATCCTATTTGTGAGCCCGGGTAAGAGTGCTTCTGTTCCTAAGTATAGCCAGTTTCTGCTGCCTTTGTTTTTACCCTGTAGAAGTTTCTTTATAGTCATGCCATGCGCAGAAGATGCAGAATCAATAGATTTGGAACTTCCTTGTCTTGCTTTCTTCGAGAAAATCACGTCCTTTTATAGAGATAGACAGCGCTCCTACTAGCCTTAGGGAAATATCAACATAGGGCACGTTCACTCTTGCGGAAATAGGTTACCATGAGAACACTTAAGTAAGCAGTAAGGGGATGAAAGAGGTATTTTATAAGGACACACCTGAAATTTTGTCGCAAAATAACGAACAAAGGAGGGAGACGGGGGCATTTGCGTGAATTTGATGAAGAACTTGTGTTACTTGAAATTGTGAAAAATGAGTACAATTGTTATTAATTCATTATGTGTACTATACATCAAGCGCGGCACCTTACGAGTTACAGGGCCAGATTCTAGGGACTAGATTTTGTTATTTTCGCTCTACAAGCTTAAATAAGTACAAAAGCTACGTTCAGAGCAGTCCGGTGCCGGGGGTGTGCCAGCACCGTAACGGATCCCACTCGCATGCACCTCGTAATGTTGATCGATTTTTTAGAGCTAGCACGGCGCTGGAATGGGGTTGGGTTGGCGCTAGTATGGCAAACTCTAAACACATCCAAATAGGAGTAAATAAACATTTTCGAACTGTTCTCCACATTTTAACGATTTATAGAAAGAATATAAGAATATAGAAATAATATAAGAATATAACAGATTAAGAATATAAGATTATGGAATATTTGTAGAATGCGTAAAGGGTGAGTTCAATACATGATCGTATGCAATCTTATAAAAAATTCCCTTATAATTTCTCGAATCATTTTGCTTAGCATACAAAGTAGCATGCGTAATTAGCAAGGATAGTTGGTATGCTACTCTCAACAATATCCAGCAAACTCACTAAGAATTTTTCAATTTTTTAGAAAATGTTCGCGATCACCGTGCACTTTGTGTAGAGTTGCATTCCGCTCACGTACTTTGCAGCATCTGATCGATGACAGCGAGCAAAGTGGGCGTCAGCTGTTCGGCTTGATTGTCTCTTCATTCACTTTTTCATTGATGTAAGGGATGCCACAAAAAATGTGAACAATGTTGATTTACATTTTACACACTCAGAAAATGAAAACACATCGGGTGGTACGGGTTCTACGGACTCGGAATTGGTGACTCATAGATCGCATGATTTTGAAATGAAATTTACAGTGATAAATCAAGACAAAAGTGATTGTAGTCGTGGTGGGACCGTAGTAAAAAAAGTAAAGTAGTGGGTCTGTAGCCACATGCCACAATCTCATTTAAACTATTAAGTTGGTCAAAAAATAATTCGGTTGCTTTTCGGTCTGTAGAAATGCCACAGACAGATTTGTGTATGAATATATGGTACCGTTCGAAAAAGTAAAGAGAATCGGATGGTCAACTAAAAGACTAAGTTTGTTAAAAAAAATTTTTTTTTTGATAGCGAAATGGTGCAAAAAAGCAAAACAACCAGACTTTTTCGTCGAATTTCCGAAAAATCATGCTCCAAAAAGAAACCGAAATTGGGCGTAAAGTGCACGAATGGTACGCAGTTGCATGTCAAAAGAAAACATTTACTCGACAACCTAGCATTACTCTTATATGTGTTTATAGTAGATAAAAAACACTTTTCCCAATTTTACGGACCATTGTGTACTCGAGAATGTTTTCCAATAAAGTAAGAAGTAGCTTACATGATTTACAAAACTGCGCAGTGCTCCCTTGACATTACTTCAAATAAAATCGCTTTTAAAATTTTCATTTTTCTTGAGAAACCCAAACTAGCTCAAAATTTTTTTGGTGTGGCTGACTCCACGCTTTCTCTACTCAGTTTCTGAATAAGAGCGTTGAAGGTTCGGAAAGCATCCCAGGATTTTTCACTTGAAGAAATTTTCGTACTTTCACCCCCCCCCCCCCAAACCCAAAAATTCTCACAAGGGAACGATCCCAACTTAAGGTGGCGAATTGGAATAAACCGCATATCATTAGATGCGTCTTGATGAGCTGATTCCAAATCTACCTTCCATATCTGCGACAACGTTGTCTGGAAGAAATTATGAAAGATTAAAAATGTGAAGTAACGGGGGTTTTTATGCATAATTTGCTTTAAAATCCAACTTGAAAGTGCGCGACTAGCATCATATTGAGTGTACTGATTTCAAGGAATGCTCACATTCAAAAGAAACGCAAATAAATGTTTTTGAACAGCTAAAAAGCAACTAAAGTTCTTTGGTAAAAGCTATGAGCGATGAAAGGTTCAAATTTGGCAAATATACAGCGCAATACCTCAAAAATTAGTTGTTCAAAAACACTTATTTGTGTTTCTTTAGAGTGTGAGCAATCCTTGAAATCAGTACACTCAATATCATGTTAGTCATACACTCCCAAGTTGGATTTTGAAGCGAATTATGCACTAAAAGCCCCGTTACTTCATGTTTTTAACCTTTCATAACTTCTTCCAGATAACGTTGTCGCAGATATGGAGGGTAGATTTGGAATCAGCTCGTCAAGACGCACCTAATGATATGCGGTTCATTCCAATTCGCCACCTTAAGCTGGGATCGTTCCCTTGTCAGACCCTTTTGAAACTTGCCTATATAGCATTTGTTCTCACATGCTTGCTGTTAGAAACAATTCGCATGCAATTTCTTTAGATTTTTGTGTGACACATGATGTTCCTGAAGATCGAGCACTGCCTTAAATTCCGATCTGTACTTGAAAATTTCACACTGCTACAAAGCGTCACTTTGAGACTAAGAAAGTGAGATAAATGATGCTAAGAGGCGTATTGCCTCAAAAAACTTTTGCACAATGGGTGATTTTAGCTTCTACCTTATGACTATCATATTCGTATCTTAGGAACGATCGAGTTGGGTGTTATCTCCATAATCACCTCTTCATTATTCCCTAGGAAACCATAGAATAAATACCATCAAGTTCTTCCGAACAAGACTGTCTCGGGCAAGACTTCTTGATGTGGCTTGAATATTCAAGGGCGGAAAACTTCAGAACCAAAATAGCAGCAATAGCAATGAATTCTCCAATTGTGCCAATGAGATTCTTTGTAGGACTATGCTGTATCTCTTTTCCCATAGAGCTGACCGGCACTATCATTCTAGACTGTTCTTATAGCCCATGAAAAGAACAAAGTACAAAGAAGGTAAGAGGTGAAGAAAGGGGAAGATAGACGTTGCTGGAAAGGGAGGGGGGGGGGACAAGGGGGCAAGTGGAGGATTGGGCCATGCGTTACGCTATTTTTTGGATAACGCTTGTGTTGTTTACCAACAAAATAATAGTGCGTCCAACAATTATTTTTTTCCTTTGAACAAATGTTTTCAATCAATTTTCGACTAGGCCGCTTTAGATAGATAATGTACAGATAATCTGTCTTCTTCTTTGCTTTCTTCAAATTTTAGCCCAAATCAAGGAGACTTCTTTAGAATGTGTCCAAGTAAAATCAATCCTTTCTTTTCAGAAAATCACGGGTAAACTAAAAATGAACTCGTATCCTATCCGGACTACTGGTGGTGGATCGTTACGAATGAAATTAGCGGAAAGAAATCGCTCGACTCAGCTGCTTCCAAAAGAGGTAGATTTTTTTTCCTGATTTAAGGCCCATCTGTGGCCAATGTGCTGTAATTACAGTCAAATTCAATTTGCATTATGGAAGATAACAAAAAATCCGCGTCGATGCAAGCTCTGGCCACGACAACACTACACAGTGGGTCGAATTTTCGAATTGATATTTAGACGTGATAAAATAATTGGGGAATGTAGGCTTTGCAGGCAGTAATCCGGAAACTACGAACTCTTTCCAAGAAAAGCTCATTCAACGGAATGGAAGTGGAAGTAACAGCATCAAAGGCTCGCGAAGTTCTGGGTTACAGGTACAATTTTACCGTTTCATACTGTGATTTGTGCAACTGCACAAATGCGTACTTTCTACGCACGAGATCTTGTTGACAAGCACTAAGTACGCTTTACTCACTACATAGAAAGAAAAACAAGAATAAAGCAAAAGAAGCATAAAATACCCTAAAATCCCAATAAGAGCGGTTTAAATTACCGGTGAAAAATGAATTGGAATGAATTGAAATTGAATGCAATCACCCCTCTAACTTGATGGATGGATAAATAAAAATTGGAGAAGAAGTTTAGAAGAAGCTCCGCGCTCAGCTCTAAACCACGCCCACTTAATAAACAATTCATATAGAAAAATAGCGATTTTAACGGAATTTCGGAATTTCTATATGAATTGTTTATTAAGTGGGCGGGGTTTAGAGTTGAGGGGTGGAGCTTCTTCTAAACTTCTTCTCCGATTTTTATTTATCCATCCATCAAGTTAGAGGGGTGACTGCATTCAATTTCAATTTCATTCCAATTCATTTATCACCGGTAAATTAAACCGCTCTTATCTATGGGATTTTAGGGTACATGTTGCGCGAGATCCGGGACGAGACGCGTAATGGCGTGCTGTGTGTAATCGTAGAAATCGGATATAAATTGATTAGACCTTGAGCTATTCTGTTCTAATTATTTAAAAAAAAACGCCACGACATTGCTCAACTCTGTAAATCTGCTCCCAAGGGCCTTTGGAAACTTATTTTCTGTTGCAGCTTTCTCTCCAAGACGGGTCTGATTTGTGTTCTGTCGGAGGTCTGGACACTGCCATCTCACACCATCATAATGCTGCTTCCCTGACGAGGTAGGCTTTATTGGCTGTGATCGCTTATTAGAAAAAGCGTCTCTTTGCTTCTTGTCTGCTAGCAGCCATAGAAACTAATCTATCGAGTTGAGTGGAAGGAATGAGGTGCCGCTATGACTGGTGGAATCGAAGTTCGATTTTTCCCCTGGGATCAACAAGTTGTTCTGCCCCGGGTGGTATGAATACGAAAAGATTCTAGCACTAGCTTTGTAACCAGTTTGTCCCGCAATTAGTTAGTTGGGCAGGGCTGGGCAGGTTGAAACCTATTATATATATAGGGTGTCCTAAAAATGAGCCTACTGTTTGATTGTTAATAAGCATCTGTGATGAGCTTCAAGTTAGACTTACAGTATAAAGCGAACCACCGACCACTCATTCCTACTGTAGCAGTACGGTAAGAACTTTGATCTCGTTTTTTGTTTTCACAGTCAGAAAACGCTTGCAAAAACCTATGCAAATTTGAAAAAGTTAACTTTAAAGTTTTCAGAGAGGATCCTTGAGAAGGTGCTTTAACAAAAATCAGCATCTCTTAAAACCTTAGTGTAAACTCTTTAGAATTACACTACTCTTTTTGCAAGCATATTCTGGCTATAGAGAACTAAAAAAGAGTTCAAACTTTCTATCGTAGTCTTACGGTAAAAATGAGTGATCTGGATTTGCTATGTACTGTAGATCTAAGTTGAAGCCAGCTCTACAAAATGGTGTAAGATTCTCCAAAGACTTTTTGACAAGAAAGTAATTATTAGGTTGAACACTAAGTTTTGCAACTGGTCTCATAACTTCCCTCTCACTCAACATGGTGCACTCAAATTTTGCCACTGTGTTGGTTATTACGTAAGCTACAAGCGCAGCTGCTGTCCTACCAAATTCTGACGTCGCAGTGAGGGTTACGGTATGTGCATGGTATGAAGGGGAAAAATTCAAAGTTTGACGGATTTGGCTGAAACTTGGCATAGGAGTGTTATCCGACAGGCTGATCACGAAAACGATAGTGAAATTCCGTGATAAGGGCTTTTTTGTAAGATTACTGTAGGTGTACGATATGGGGTCTCACCCTAAACAAGAATGGCGTTGATTCAACAAATGAATATGATATTCGCGTTCGGCAGATTAAATAACCTTACTATGTGAAGTCTCGGAGGAATTTGAGCTTCGGACTCTTTAGTCATTGACGGTCGTCCCCAGCAGCTCCTGCGTACATCGGCTCGTTCGACTTCGTGAGGACGCCAAATCTCGACATGCCCCTGAATTTTGTTTCTTTCTTACTAGGCCAAAGTAGTCAACCTCCAGCAATAATTTGTAGACGAATCCGGATTACTGCGCATGTTGTCTAGGCTGCTAAAGGCTTCATTTAGCTTGAAACCTCAAAAATTCTCAAATTTCACTAGTTTTCGAAAAATGCCTGAAACTTTTCTATTTCGTGTTCAAAATATAGACAACTTGTGCTCGCTTGTAGCTCACATTGCGTTCTACATGATGCCAAAGTTTGAGTGCGCCATCTTGAATGAGAGTGAAGTTATGAAACAAGTTGCAAAACATAGTGTTCAACCTAATAACATTCAAACAGTAGGCACATTTTTTGAAACACTCTATATAATCCACTTTCATTCATAATTCGTAAATGCATTAACGAAAAGTTTCTTTGCAATTGTGTAGAAGATAAGACGATCAACGTCATGCATTTACTGCCGACAACCTTTGCGCGTAAAAAGGGCCATAGTGTGCACATTCTCATGTTCTGCGCCATATAGCTATTAATCATGCGCAATTGTTGTCGACAACAATAATACTACATCAGTCCCAAGCTATGCTGATTCATATACCATCTCCGTCGGTAGAAAAAGCTTGGAGTTAGGGCTTGCTGGGGACTTTTGACTCAAAAAATGACGTAGAGTATGACATGCTGGTTGATCATAGCTCAATTTTGCAGACTCCAGTACGTCATCCGTGACGCAGGCGACTCTTCTGTATTGGTGATTGACATCGTTCTTCTGCCCTTTTTTATTCCATATTTGAATGAGTTTTCAAATCGAATACATTTTCAATGCAAAAACACGTATGTAAATATGGGGCTCAACAGACTCATCGCAAATTGAAAGTGTTCGCGCAAATAACTAGATTTTGTCCAAGTGCTGGAATTTCAACATGGGTTAGGACAGGGATGGTAGGGAATGGGAAGGGCAAAATTTTGAGTGTTTAGTAACCATGAACAAGCAGGAAAGAAGTTTTCCTATTTATTGTGAGCATTTCATAAATTGTTGATCATCTGTACAAGCGATTGATACATCCAAAAATATTAAACGATTGTTTTATTTTCCTATATCATTTCTATATTATTATTACGTGGATTTTATCATATTAATAAGAGCAATTACAACTGTTAGGTATTTCATTACTCAATTCCTGCTACTTGACTGGAAGTTTTTTCATTCTGCGCTGTGCCTAAAATTCTGTCCTTTCGGGGATCTGCACAAAATACTTCAATTTTAAACTTTTAAATTTTTCTTATAAACGAACCATCACTTCCCGCATCCAATTACCCCAAATCTAGGTTTGACACCGACAACAAAGACTTCGATCAACGTTTAGCGACGGTCATAGGACAAGGAGAAGGTGGATTCGAAAAAGGTTTCTGGGAACACCATGACAGTCTGAATCGCTGGACTTTGAAATTCAATGAGAAGGTCTGACACTTTGTAGATTCTGTTACTACTGTCTTTTATACGAATTTTAGGTTGTCGAGGACGAGTATCGAGCTCATTTCGCGGACTCAGCTGACCGTCAGTCTACAACCAAGACTCCTGTGGGTCTTCATCAGGTGAGAAATTTGGCACGGCCTTTAGACTGCCTCCAGAGTTGCTGAGCCAACGCCGTGCCAGTGACGTGCCACCGCCGTGCCAGAACTCTGTGAAGTCGATCAATCAATACACGTGCATGGGTTCCGACACGGCGCTAGCACGCTGCCAAGGCTCCGGCACACACTAGATATTACGCAGTAAAAGACGGCTTTGAAAATATGCATTGACTTATTTAGGACTTCAATCGACGGCAACAGTACGATCATACTACTCAGTACAGATATTCGGGAGTTTTTATCGGTAAAGGCTTTTTTGAAGTGAAAGTGGATGTTTTGGTCAAAAGATTTTGTTCCAGATATCCTTGTAGCAGCGATTTTACTCATCGTTGTCTCAGTAGCCGTTTTTATGTCGCCAACGAGAGTTCCACTTTCATTCATAGTCTACTTCTGCCTTGCCCTTACCATCGTAATTACCGCGCTTGCCCTCATAGGTTGGTCTCAGTAGGCTTAGCTCGAACCGTCTAATCATCAGTCTTGTAGGATTTCCTCTTCTCAGCAGAAAATCCATCCTGCCATGTGTGAATCTGTGGCAACCGCGTCATATCATAGGTAAGCTAGTGAATTCATTATCAATTTTATGTGGGAAGTGATTGGGGCATGGCATTATAACAAAGCCATTGCCCAAGTGGCAGCTCATATCTTTCATTTGAAACCGAGAAATCCAGCTATAAACTCGTGCCAGTACCGTTCTCGTTGGCCGCTCCATGCTAAGAGAGTACGGTAGTGGGCGAGAGTTTACACTTGAATTTCTCGACTACTAATGTTTCGTATGAGCTGCCGCTTGGGCATTGGCTTAGTTCCCCCAATCAGCATTCTTTGAAGAGCCCACCTACCCCTTTACCAGGAACCTCTTTTCGACCTCCATTTTTAGGTGCCGTACTGATCGCCTTGCCCTTCGGAGTAGCAGTCTGCGTAATGCCCTTGTGCATCGCCGAAGGTTCCTGTGCGAAGATTCCACTTCTGCCTGGACGATTGCTTTTTTCCTACATCATCATAGTAGCCCTATTCGCCCACTGCAATTTTTCACAGTTGGGCGCTTGGCCAAAGACCATCCAGTGCATCATCGTTGGGATCATTCATATCTCAGCTGTTTGTTACTGCATGACGAATATCGATCGGCATGATGCAGAAGTGAGATTTTTGCAAAAATGTTACAAAGTGAGATCTCTAGGGGTATACTTCGTTGAATGCAAAGGGGAAGTGTAACAACCGCTTACGAATTGTTATAGGTTGTTAGGTTGGGATAGGAACAAAGATTACGTCGCTTGGACTTGTTGTACGTTTCTCCAAATCCATATCAAAGAAATTTTGAATAAAGGGCATGTTGACACCAATTTCTTTAAATTTTACTCAACTGCTTTGATTTTTGAAAAATTGTCGAAAATTATTCAAATAATTTATGAGTTGAAACAAATTTCTTGAGCAGTTTTATGACTCGCTTAAATTGTTTCGCAATTGCTACTCTTTATTCTATTTGTAATAATGCTTTTTACGAGAAGGCGAAAGGAAGGAGACTTCCTGATAAATACTTAGGCATGTGCGGCTAATCTGCATAGAAAACTCTTGACACTTGCTGAAAGTCACTAGCGGGACTTTTGAGGGTAAAAGTAAAGAATTCATGCACAAAGGGGCCTAGCCGAACAGGGCTCGGCATGAGCAGACTAGGCAAATTTCAAAACGAAGTTCCCTTTGATCTTGAAAATTTTGTACGAAGTCCCCTTTGACCTCAAATCCTACACGTAAAAACTCAAATAACGAAATTCGACTTAAAAACGCTGTAATTTTTGTATCTTTTCGGTGCATTTCAAGATTATTGTTTGATTCGCCATGGTAATTTCTGATTAGTTCTGGAGCCTTGTGTGAAAGATATTTTTAAATCCATGAGGTGGACGAAACGCTTCTTTAGTTTTCTTTCGAGAAGCTCCAAGAGCATAATCTTTTTTTGAATGACTATATAATAAGTGACCGAAATTTGTATCCCTAAAGCGATGTAATAGCTATTCATAATTATGTTCTTTTTGGAAATCCAAATATAATAACAACACATTGATCTCTTTCAGTCACCATGTGGGAACGAGACCTCTGCGGTACCTTCGGGCACTTCTTTCGCTTCATCGTTTTTCATCTGGGAGATGCTTTTGGATGTTGCCCTGTCCATCATTCTCGTCGGCTTCCTCAATTACCAGGTTAGTCACAATATCATTCTTGTATGCTTTTAGCCCATATTTCTATCTTGCAGTTTGAAGCAGCCTTTCGGATGTCTTTCTATGGAGACGTACAAGCAAGAAGGGATACCCAACGGATGCAGGTGCTGTAAGCTAACTTTGTGTCGTATTTTATTTATTCCTCATTTAGATAGTTCGAGATCAAGCTGACTGGTTGCTGAATAACGTCATCCCAGCACACGCTGTCGAAAGTCTCAAGACCGACACTAAATACAGGTGAGAGTAGCTATCAAGGTGCTCTGTTTGAGTGCTTGAAAAGCGGCTGTAGCTTTAAAAGCGGTTGTAGCTTCTACTAACTAGAGAAGATAGGATAGCAATTTTTTTCTAAAATGTAATAGCTCCGGTTTGATCAGATAACAAGCGAGAACAGACATCGAAAACGGGAGCTTGAAAGTCTCAAAGGGATCCGTCATACTTCGCCGAAAAAAGCCAGAAGCGCCCAGAAAAGCGCGAAGCCCAATGCGCCGGGTGCGGGAAGTTTCTCACCCGAGCCATTTTCTCGCACCTAAGTGATGTGCCTGCCAGGCACATCCGAGCTCGCTACAGTTACGAGCTCCTCAGGAGACCGAGACATCGCAAGCCCCGCCCCTCATTTAGTGTTCGCTTCAGATGATGAAACCGGAATTTCAAGGAAACTTTCGAAATCGAAGTTCAGAAGTGAATTTGCTCCAATCAAGACCAAATTTCGGATCTAGGGGTTTTCGAGGTTGCTCTTTCCAGTAGTACGATTTGTTTGTTGCAAAGTCGACGTTCAACACCGATGATGCTTAATCAAGATTAAAATTCGGATTTGGAGGTTTTCAATTTTCTATTTCTATACAAGACTAAAACTTAGGTTTAAGGGTTCTCGAAAATTTATGAATGGACAACTGAAAAAACATCCGTGGCATGGATTTATATAAAATTCAGTCCTGAATACCAAAATACGGTTAAATCAAAATAGATTGAAGCAAACTTTAAAATGGTATGTAAATTTAGGTTTTCCCCTTCCAGTTGCTTGTGAGCGTTACATTTTTCGTGGCTTTTCCATGTAATTTACTAGGTCTTAAAACACTGAAACTTCCTAAAACCCAAAACAAATTTAAATTTGAATATTTTCAAAATAATAAAGATGTTTCTCTTTATTGTTTGACACTACTCCGAGCTTTCCACGTCTAGCATGAAGCTTTCTGGCATTGAGCCAGCCTCGATGACCTCAGTGACCTGTGCTATACCAGGTTTCAAGAAATAGTTGGCTGGGTCATCATAAGGGCTGTACCTTGACATATTCTTGAGAATGAAGTCAGGAGAAGAAAACACTACGGAATCACATACGTGTTCCCGCATCTGGCACAATTCTATGAAAGTAATCCGTTTTGAGAAAAGAACATCTTTTCCCCAAAAAATTTCTCAAAAAAACAAATCCTACTGATATTGCACAAAACATATACCGTTACCGAAAAAGCGATTTCGAGAACTCTTGAACCTGAGTTTTGGTCTTGTATTGAAATAGAAAATTGAAAACCTCCAAATCCGAATTTTATCTTGGTTAAGCATCATCGGTGCTGAATGTCGACTTTGCAACAAACAAATCATACTACTGAAAAGAGCAACCTCGAAAACCCCTAAATCCGAAATTTGGTCTTGATTGGAACAAATTCACTTCTGAACTTCGATTTCGAAAGTTTCTTTGAAATTCCGGTTTCATCGTCTGGAGCGAACACTAAATGAGGGGCGGGGCTTGCGATGTCTCGGTCTCCTGAAGAGCTCGTAACTGTAGCGAGCTCGGATGTGCCTGGCAGGCACATCACTTAGGTGCGAGAAAATGGCTCGGGTGAGAAACGTCCGCCCCCCCCCCCCCCCAATGCGCCAGAAGGAGCCGGAATGCCTCATTTTGTGCGCAAGTTTTGGCGCTAAGACATGTGTGTTAATCTCGTGACCGAATCATTTTGCTTCATTTTCTGTCGTCTGTACATCAAAAAATGTTCGGAATGCTACCAAAAGTTCCAGGGACGTTCCGACTCTTTCTGGTGCTTTTGAGCTTTTTTGGCGCTTGTGAGCTTTTTTTCGCCGAAGTATGACGGGTCCCAAACAGGATCACGTACGAACGCTATTGTTTTCTAACGAGATTTTGCACATTGTTCTTCTCCGGGTTTTTTCCTCATTCATCATGTCCACAGATATGGCAATTTTCTTTTCCATCATACATAAACAATCGTCCTTTTTTGTCATATCTAACTTGGCAATGACATTTCACTGACTAGAGAGTTTCTACTGCATAATACGAATTATTCTCACTCTGAGTTCTTTTCAGTGAAAATCACGAGTCGACAGCTGTGATGTTCGCAAGCATTACGAACTGGAATGATATGTATGAGGAAAATTACGAGGGCGGCAGGGAATTTTTGCGAGTACTGAATGAGGTAGGTATTTTGTGTAATAAGGTGTCCATTATAATGCAGTCAGAGTTGCCTGCGTGCCAGCGCGGTGCTAGCGCTATGCCAATGCCGTGCCAGAGGTCACGCTTTCGATCGATCATCACGGGACGCTTACGCATCCCATAATGATCAATCGAAGGCGCTGTCACAGGCATCTCATGGCGCAACCTTAGGGCAGAGCAGTGCCCATTTTTTCTGGTGTGAAAAAGATTGCAGTGTCATTGCAGGTAATTGGTGACTTCGATGAATTGCTGGATCGGCCTGAGTTCTGCCATATCGAAAAGATTAAAACCATTGGAGCAGCATACATGGCTGCTAGTGGTTTGAATCCCGAAAGAAAGAGAAATATGGAACATCCGAAAGAACACCTCTACCAGGTGTGTTACATTTTTGAGATTTTTTAAGTACCCTCACTTTAAAGGGAAAGCTATCAATTACAAACACAAATTTTCAGATGGTCGAATTCGCCCTTGCCATCCAGCACGTGCTTTCGGTATTCAATGAAGATCTACTGAACTTCGACTTTGTCTGCAAACTCGGCCTAAACATCGGTCCCGTCACTGCTGGAGTTATAGGAACAACGAAGCTGTACTATGACATCTGGGGAGATACAGTCAACATCGCCTCTCGGATGTACAGCACTGGTGTGCTCAATAGAATTCAGGTTGGGTTTTTATCTAGAGTACCTCGAAATCAGAGTTTTTCCCTTTTTTGTAAAGTTCACCAGCGACAAGGCTTTTCTGTCAGACTTATGTGAGTTGCGCTACTTAGAAAGAATAATCTTTGATAATGGTAGGCTTTCGTTCACTACTTACTCTGCGATTAATGATGTCCAGTTCCATTATCATTCGAGTCACATTATTAAAGCTAGACAAGGGCTTTTCCTAGTTAATAGTATGTAAATCATAAGTCAAGCGAATAGGAATTACTTCTATGTTCATTTGTTTTTGTGTCAAGTTTTTAAATGTAGCAATGTTGTCAATTGTTCCGATTGTTGTTCTGTGAGGTTTGAGTTGATCAAATATGAAATTTGATGGAATTGAAAAATTGGTTCCAGTACCTCTGAGAAGCAAGGTAAGGAAAAGGAAAACATCAATCGGTGTCCTATAGGGTTTGCTCTGTCTACCTGTCACTTGTACTTCTTCGGAAAGTAGGTACAAAAATTTGGAAAAATAGCCGAACTTGACCATGGCAAAAAGCATAAGTCGCAGGTTTTGGTAATTTTTCGAGAGCTTATTAGATATTATGAGCTGAAAGTGCAACCGCTAGAAAGAGGATGAAATGCTGCATCGAATGCTCCTAAGATCTCTTGAGAATCTTGATTCCATGAAGTGTGGCGTTCATTTAAAAAAAAGCGACATTACTTTCGGAACGACCTAATATAAGAATGGCCCAAAAGTTCGTTCGCACCATTTTCAAAACCATATCTTCTTTATCAAAGAAATTTCTCAGTTTCAATCCTACCTAAGAGAAAATCATGCGCTTTAAAACAGCGTTTGAAAGACTTTTTAACATGCGAACATTGCAGAGATTGAAGCTGTAGAAAAAAAATTAAGACAAGGAAGGACATATGTCATGATAATAAGCGCTCCCCTGTTGTGCTAGTTCCACATTTTTTGGCAATCCTCAAGAATTCAAATTTTGTGTAATTTGTTTCTTCGCAGTGTTTGCGTGTCAAAAGTGTTTTTGATGCTTTTGAAAGCGCATGATTTCTTTTTAAATAAATCAAAACCGTGCAATTTTTGGTAGAGCAAAAAACTATGGATTTTTGAAAATGGTGCTAACGAACCTCCTGGCCAACCGAATATATGTCTCTGTCACTCTGTGACTGAATAATCACCTTTTTCAAATTAAGAGTCGAAATATTTCTAAGTAGAAAAAAATGAAAGTAAAATCCCCAGAAAGTCAACCACTCTGGTTTAGTGTTGCTACCACTGAATGCCATAGTGTAAAGTGTGTAAATTGAACGGTTGATGTAGTGCTACTGCTGTGACGACGCATGAATGCGAAAATAATGCGCACGAAAATAATCTCACTTTTCGCCCCCCCCCCCCCTCATATTTGTTTTCTATGTCGTAATCTTACATCTTCTTTACAGGTGTCGGCGCATACTCGAGACATACTGCTGGATCGGTACGAGTTCGAGTATCGAGATCACATAGAAGTGAAAGGCATTGACGGTGGCATGGATACCTACTTGTTGATCGGCAGGAAAAGCGACAAAATCCCACCGGCCATTGCAGATCAGCCAAACAAAGAGTAGCCATTCGTTTGACCCTTTTTTATTGCTACATTGTTTGTCTCTGTGTCTTGCCAACCATTGACGAACTCTGATGTTCTATTAACACTTTGCGGGTAATATTAGTTTAGACGGTGAATTCGAAGGAGTCCGTGGCAAAAATCGCTCCTCGCAAAGATTCCAATCAAAGTTATATAGTCTTCATAATCTCAAGCTTCTACCTAAGTATCTCAATCTCTAGTCACACACACTGGGCATTATGCTTTAGATCGGCGTTTCACGCTGTTCTCCTCCTCCTGGTCTTGCATTTCTATGTTATTCATATGGTTGTTATGTGCATTTCAGTTTCAAATGAATCTCTGCAAGAGTAATCTTAAGTCGCTATCGCTAATGTGAAATTAATCTACGTTGTAATACGCTTGGAAGCGGAGAAAGTTTCTCAAAGAAGTTGCACTATCTGGTATAAGCCGCAGGCCGCTAGAGATTGAGCAACTCCCAAGAAAAAGGCCCCAAAATGTGTGGTTTTGCATTTTAGGACCGATAGTTTGTCTTTGCTAAGCCTTTTTTTATAAAAAGGAGCACGACTTCGTGTCTTGATTTTTCTTCACCTATACCACTTGTCACATGCAGGGTATCTTCCCAAACTTCCATCGCAGGAGTCGATGCCAAATCAGGAGAAATTTCTATTCTATCTTTATCTTCATCTGCTCGAGGCGTGCTAGAAAAGTACCACAATTCAGTAAAAAACAGAAACCATGTAACGGACTAGTCAATTAACCAAGGAAGGGATAGAAAAGGGTACCAAAACAAAAAATCTGTAACACGATAGTAACGGCAGTCTAGGTCCAATCACTCATGTATACATAGAGCAGCGACTCCTACTAGATGAGCTTGAACGACACAATATCTTTTTAGAGAAATTTATTGTTAACAGTTCAACCAGCGGTATCAGACTATCCTTGATTGGGACGACCATGACCAAGCAGAGCCGAGCGGACGCCCCGCAAACAGGATGAACCGCCCGTCAGAAAACCCAAAACGGGCGCACTGGCAGGAGACAGCCAGTACACCCGCATATTCCCGCAAAATATTCGCCCGGCCATACCACCCAGGCACGTCTCCGCAACCGTCAAAAAGGATGAAACGATAGAGCTCTAAGGGCCGCATGCACTAACCTCCCCGCGGGGAGGTTAGTGCATGCGGCCCTAAGACCCGTAATGGGGGAATTGCGTTTAGGATCATACTTCGGTCGGAAGGCTATTCAAGCTCACTAGCCCGAAACAGCAGTGATAAACATGCACAATCACTGGGTCTGATTAAAAATGTGATCACACCGGAAGAGCAAATCGACCAAAACAGTAGTGCTTGAAAATAATTGAGGAGGGTGAATAAGAAGAAGTGCAGCTGCAAAACAAGCAACAAAGGAGTGAAAGAAAACCGGAACGTAATCATCACTTGATATCAGGAATCTGCGGAAGGTGAAGGATATCAAGTCCAGAAATCGACTTTTGAAACAAGCAGGATTTGAGAAAAGTAAAGGTGGTGGTAGACGTTCGAGCCACTTGGCATTTCAGATTAAGGTACTGAGAAGATGTACACGATTTAAGATGGGCAAATTGCACAAACGAAATGCGAAAAAAACATGTCGGCCATAGACAGGACGAAACGTCCAGTAATTGGATGGTTTCAAATGCAATCCTCCTCTTAACTGAAGACTAAAATCAAATCTAATTCAACGTTTCTGTAATACAGACTTTGAAGTTTCACTCTCGTAAGCGAATTTTAAAGGAAGGCAACCATTGCGGGTAATCGGAGCTAGGAAAAGTACGATAATACATAACTTTAAGATTCTCTGGAATTCTTCAATTTTATCAATTTCTTTCGGTCGAAAAGGTCTCCAAATGGGATTACAGTACTCCACCAGGGGAAAATATATTTTATAAGTTACCACAGAAACATATGAACTTTGTATGTTTTTAAAGAGGCAGTACAAAATTCTCAGGCTTTTTGCTACCATAAGCTCAATAGGTTATTAAATCGCATTCCGTTGGAAATCGACACCAAAGTCATGGACTTGTTCTGATACCAAGATCCTAACTGTTCATTCTCAATCTTCAAAGACTGATGCCCTTAGGAAACAATTGGCTTCCACCGAAGCTTACCGTGAGTTTCCAAAGCCTGGTCCACTCAAATATTCTATCAACGGCTTTAATTAAGGCAGCATGGACAACTTCTTCATCACTTTTACCATAAATTGCTGTAACCTTGATATCGTCAGCATAGACATGAACGAAAATCCTTGAGTCCGTTTTTGAGTATGCGGGTAAATCACAGGTGTAAATAAGAGAAAAATAGGCCATAGAATGTCTTCTCCTTGAGGGACACCCGAAGGGCAATTCCTTGGAAGCGAAAGATTCTGAGAGAACCGTATCACCATCTTTCTATCATCAAGATAAGAGCGAAACCAGTTCAACAAGTACCGTCTATACCTAGGCTACACAGCCTCATTGAAAGACTCTCGTGGCCGATGCTATCGAAAGCTTTGCGAGACCAAAGTAGACCAAATCAATTGCTTTGCCCTGACTTAACGCTCCATTCCAGAGATGTGTACTATCTATCAACTGTGAACAAGTTAAAGAGCTTGACAGGAAACCAATTTTCCAATTTGAACAATTTTATACTATCAATCCAGTCGAGTAATTACTTTGATGAACTTGTCCATAATTTTCAAAGGAGCCAGGAGAATACTGATAGAACCATAGAAACAAGGTCAGTGTCCGTTTTTTGATATCGGTGTTATGAATGATGCTTTCCAGACAGGAGAAATTTCACCAATCATCAAAGGAATATTGAAAATATGCGTGAGGGGCAAAGCAAGTTGTGCAGCGAACATCCTATAAAAGTCTGAGGCACCTTAACAGATGTGATTGATTGCGACCATTCCAGTGTTTTTCAAGATTCACTCTGATTTGTAAGTGTGCTTTCAAAAAAGTTGCAAACGCTTCTGCTTCTTCAAAGTCAGTATTACATTTTGATCCATCTTCCTCTATAAGCAGCGGCAAGGCAGGAGAACCTTTTGTAATTTGATATATGCTATAATATCTCCCATATACTTGGTTTTAGTTTTTTTCTTCTTTTCCTTTTTTTGATAGGATTTTGTAAACAATCCTACTGACCAAATCGCTTCGATGCGTGCTCGCTCAATCCGTTCCAGCTTGCAAGTTTTCATATTGTGCATCCCCTCCTTCTCGGCAGAGAAAGCGCTTTGGCGTTATTCAAAACACTTCATCATGCCCAAACTGCATGATAACGGCCATGGGTAATAGCGTCCAAGCGACATCAGCCGCGGCCTTGCCCGCCTTCGTGTAAGCTCGAGCCTCTGAAGGGTAAACCCGCTCTTTCGCGTTAACGGAATCGGTTAAGTGTAAAATCAAACAAGGTTTAACATTACTTACCCTTGCGGTCATGTGATCACCATGCTTCTTCTTACAGTCTCTGCGGACAAAGACTTCATCCTTTGCTTTCTTCTTTGGAAGGTGAACATGTACGACAAGCGGCCCGGGGTCCTATGGCGAGTGATGCCGGAGTTCGTTTTTGGCTAACGTTCCTCTCCTCGGTGCAGCGCTGGTTCGATTTTGATGTTTTAATTGGCATAGTAGAAGAAAATATTAGCAAGTATACGAGGGTAGATATAGGTGATTTTTAGAAAGAATCAGTGATAGATTTATTGATGTTGATGTTTAACCTCTATGATCTCACGTTCATCTCCAAGTGAGCTAGTCATAAAAGGTTACCACTCTTGTTTGTTTCAAGGTTATTGTGCTTCAAAAGGAATCCAGTAATCGGCAGCACAGGACTACTAACACAGAACGCGCGGCCCGTCCTGTGTTAAGTTTTGGTCAATCTCTTTAAGAACCTCGTCGCTTTCTTTGTATATGTGTTTTGTATTTGTTGTTTCATGTACATAAACTCAATCTAATTATACGCGCATTGTACATGGGTTGGTGAGTTGGTTGACCGTGGGTACGCGCCGGCTAGGGCTACCGGTTGAACCGCATGATGTCCTGAGGTATGAGTTGTTAGAGTAGTCGAGCACAGCACTGATAGGTGCTGGGTCCACCGAGGCGCAACAATATGTGTGGCAGAAGCGTTTGATTATAGTGGTACAATTCGACTATAGTGATACAATTCGACTATTATCATTTGTAATCTTACAAAGCGTGCGTAAGAACCGTCTGAGCAATTTTTCGGTTGACTAGTTTTAGCTGAGGATAACCTACTTTTCTAAGCATGAAAGACACGGAGAGAAATCTAGCATCAAAATTCACCCCTGTGCGTGCTGTAGCATATAGTCACAAAAAATACTATCTAGCCATAATACCAATAGCACAATAAAAAATCACTTGCCAGCATTCCGGCATACGAATGTTTTCCTCCAAGTTGTCAGCAAATCGAGCAAATTCACGAATTCCTATATGAATGCGAAGTAATAGTAGCTAGATCGACAAGCTAAGAATGTGATAGAACCATCAACTAAAAGTCACACATGCTCTTCAGTGTACTGTGGCAAACGATCATCTTCCTTGTACCGATATTTCGCAATCACTATGATCGCACCATGGCATACAGTGTCGAAATAGAGACTCCATAAGCTGACGGCCTTTTCTTAGCCAAATTCATGAATTTCAGGTGGTTAAATAGGAGACGCTCTTCGGTCAGGATGTACTACTCGGCATAAAAAGATAACATACTTAATTTTACATGTATCGTCCCCTGCACAGCTCGTGCTTTCCTTGTGGCGTCGCGGACGTGCCACGTGTGACTAACACATTGGCAACGTTGGCAGCAACACGTTGGCAACATGCAGCAACATGTTGGCGTAGCCAAATGTTCTGCCAACATGTTGTGGCATGTTGCAAACATGTTGGTGCCACGTTGCCAATGTGTTAGTCACACGTGGCAGGTCTGAGACGCAGACCAAGGGTAGCACGAGCTTTAGGGGACGATACACCATAACCTGTTTGTGCAAATGTACTATGCTCAATATCGCAACAATTCAACCTTATGAGGATCTTTCAGTGCAGTCGCTTTCGGTGATATAGTGCAAACTCTTGCTCTTTGTCGACGTTCCGTTCTGCTGGAGGAGCCAAAAGATGCCAAACCTGCGCGCTATCGATAATGGAATGGTTGTATCAATAGCATTAAAATTATAGAAACAACTAGCTTGCTTACCCGGCTCCGCTCGGCCCTGTCAAAACACTGTAATAAAGGTCCCATCCCTATCCCTGTACAGACTTTCCCTGTACCCACTTCTACACTTCCTTTCCCGTTCCCTGTGTTGTTTTCGAAATCAGCATGCCCACTTACCCCCTGTGCCAACTCCCAG